GTATACAAACGGGACATTTGTCAAATACAACAACAAGTGAAGTCATTACATGATTGACAGTTAAGCATAAACTTGTGAATCAGATGGACAGGTATTTGGGGAGTTAACTGAAAATGAATAGGAACCATGTGGTTATGTTGTCCTATGTACAGTACAATGAATGCACTTGAAGGGTTCAGTGATGACGTCGTCTTGCTCTATTTAAGACCGGAAGCAGGTGGATGGCTTCACTATTCTGGAAAATCACCCTATGATGCTGGATGTAATTGCCAGCGAAACGTCGTACTCAAATTGTAAATGTTGTGGATGTACTCTCCAACACACCGGTGGGCTGAAATAGTAACTAATTGGCGTTTTCTTTACGTGACAAATCCCGTACTAATTGGCTGTCGGGTAATGGAGGGTGATGACACATTTATACTTATGCGATCTAACCCAAAAACCTTTATTATGAATAATATTGGTCGCGAAAGCCTACGTGTTAAACCGAATACACTTTAGTCACTCATACTGAATGTTAACACTTCCTGATAGTGCAAACCAAAGATGTTAGTTGCCCTCACCAGTGTTGCTTGAACAATATTTAGCATTAATAAATTGTCAGTCACCCCATATATTAATATCTCTCAATGGATATGCAAAAACAATAGACCTGGACCAGTTGTATCTATTATAAAAGCCCAGCATTCCGTTTGTACGTCAGCTAAATTATAAGAGCCTTTCAGAAGGCCTGAATCAAGAAGTTATAGAAAGTGGACCCCCATATACATGCCTACACAACACTCTACATACAATAGAGTCAGTAGTATCTGCACACATTTGGGGGGGAAGAAGCAGACACCAGTGGGGGTGATGGGCGAGGCGCAAAGCGCTGAGAAGCCCTCCACAGGAGCGAGAATAAGGCGGCCGTAGCCCGCCCAAATTCTAGAGCTCGAAAATTCTAACTAGAATGCTTCATTAATATGCAGAGATATTCAACTACCAAAGCACATTAACACTGGCTTGCAAATTACCTGGTTACATATGCCACCACTGCAATTCTGGGTTCATGATTTACAATCACATGTCTAAGATAATTAAACATTTATATGTTTTGCCATATAGGTATAAACGTCTGTCGAGGTGATGGATGTGTCCACCTTGGCTAGGTGGACACAAACTGTCTTAAGTGCAAATCCATCTTATCACTTTTGGATTCATAAAATGAATACCATTTAGTGGGATGTAAACAGTGGTTATAACATGTGGTTAATGTAATATAGCAATAACGTGTTTGACGTGATATATACCAATAACACCTTTGCAGTTATACCACTTTAATGTATCGTTACCTGGGTTATTATCCCCAATGGAGGTGTATCCTTTAGCACAAGAGCAGTTGTAAGATCCAATCGTGTTGACGCACTGTACAGATTGGTCTGTGCAATTTGTCAAACATTCATCGATGTCTGCAAAAACAAAAGACACGGCACAGTGTATGTGGCATTTTTACAAGGGTGTGCATTTATTCTATGACGTCATACCTACAGTGTATTCACCGCATTGCAACAGACTTTAATTGCATTTGCTCTGTCAATTACAAAATACTTTATACGCATACACAATTCTACGTGTTTAACAAACCTTCTTTAGAACTGCAATTTGTGTTTAGTTTGTTGTCCTTCCCTCTGCACCTCCGATAAGCACAGTTGGCTACGTATGGTGCGAAAGAAGTTCAAAATACATACAGTGCAATCTGGGTTCCCTTTCGAGATTATCCCCTGTTTTATCAGAATTTAAACTTGTATCCGTTGGTTTTTCATTGTACCATTAATCCGTATGGAAGTTTACTGCTTCACATCTGTGACACGCTCGTTGACACATTTTCACTACCTGCGCAGTTTGTCCCATTGTAGCCAGGAAAACAGTTACACTTGTAGGACCCTGGAATATTCTGGCAATCGCAACACAAGCGGTCGTCCGCTTGTGTAGCGATCGAAACGTAGTAGTTTTTCGTTATTTTCTTTGAACCTATCTACATGACTTTACCGAAAGACCCAAAGAATATGATGCAAATATGTTTGATTTCATGTCATACATCGTAGGTTATTTAAAATACTCAAATGACAATATCACAGTTAACCGTCAGATATCTTTCAATTAACATCACGTATTAAACTTAATATTCAAATAGGAAAAAAAGAATGGTTGTCAAATCGCATTCAACTACCGAAAAGACATTACCCCTTCTAATATTTACGTTTTGTCAATATATTGTAACAATGTAATTGATACCTTGGCACATAGAGCTGTCGATGGTGGTGTTGATGTAGCCAATATCGCAAGAGCATGTATATCCATGATAGTTGTTCAAGCATGTCTGATTGCATTTGGCGGGTACTTCCAGGCATTCGTCCACATCTGCCGATCCATCAAAGGTGCATAACACAATCAGGTTATGACATCACATTTACCCCTCGGTTTTTGAGACCGAAACAGGAGGAGGATTTCTCCACAATTCTGGTCGTCACCTAATGAGGGGCTGGTTCTAATTAGCGGCAAAACGTCGTACTCAGATCGTAAATGTTGTGGGTTTAGTTTCCAACACATTGGTGTGCTGAACCAGTAACTAATTGGCATGTTTCGTTTAGGTGACAAACTTTACTAATTGACTGTGTCGGGTGGTGGTGGGTTTAACGACACGTTGATATTTACGCGATCTAACCAAAAAATCCTCTATTATGGATAACATTGGTCACGAAATCCTATGTGTTAATCTACTTTAAGCAGATTTACAATGTTTAAGCATTATCAGGTCTCATCTCCTGGCAACGGCAGTTGAAACAACGGTGGAATTTTCTTAAATCCGCCCACTTTGGTCCACCCAGAGGTGTACATGTGTGCTGCACAGTTAGTCCATGAGGAAAGTCGCGTGGGGTAAAGTGTGGGTACTCGCACCTCTTCCACAACATCTGGGATAGCATGGAAGAGTAGGTAAAAAATATACTCCAGTTGAGGTTCTCCTGCCAGCAATGGAGTGAACAAGCAATCGGAGTGCCGCACCTTGACCACCTTTGTATATGCATACCCTATGTGTTGCATTCAACGTTCTATTTGTGGTGTTTTTTTTATCATTTCTCAACATCCAAAATATCTGAAAGTGACAGTACTAAGTCTAATGAAAGTGTGCAATCTTGTTAAGCAAAATAAATATATGCCTATGGGACCTTTTTTGCCAGGATTGAAATGATGGAAAAAACAGAATAGGTCTTGACTTAAAGCTTTCGTGACTGCAGGAATTTATATTCTTTGGGTATTTCGGTAAAGTCACGTTGATAGGTTCAAAGAGAACCTATCTACGTGACTTTACCATTTATTGTAATAACACAGGAGGTGTAATAACACAGGAGGTGTTAAGACGTTCAATCAACAAATAGACACCTTTTGAAAGGCGTCAAGGCTGCATTAACCACACACGATTGTGGCAAAACATGCAAACAAACATGCTCTGATAATATATGCATTGTCTTTGAAACGAATTGCCATATACCAGAGACATGGCCTTGTCTCACCAAGACCAGAGAACGCAATAGGTTTCTACTTGGTGTTTGAACATCTTAACACTTGTGTTATTGCCAGGAAGGGTAAAACCGCTTATTCTTTTTCAATAAAAAGTTATGATTATTCATTATCACTGCAGAAAGTTGTTAATATTATATGGTGGATTTTTATGGCATTTTTTTATTGAGTAAGAAAAATTATTCATTGATTGCGTGAAAATTGTCTGTACTGCACCTTATTTCTAATGAATGAGGAATTAATTAACACAATTAAAGAATTAAATATGTACACACCGTAACACTTGCTCCCGTTGCCTGTGAGCCCAACGGGACAGGGCCCACACGAAAAGCCTAGGGAGGGTGCACGATCATCTGTGCAGTTCACTCCAGGATGACAAGGGCTGTCTACACAGGCATTGTAGTCGTCCATGCAGTATGCTCCCGCGTAGCCGTCATCACATTGACAGCCGGCAACCTTCAGACGATCGCAGCAACATGGCAAATAAATTAAGCGTGACATGGGTTATGTACGCAAACTAAAGCCATCTCCCCCCTAAGCGCCGACCAAGCATTATGATTAAACGGTATTCAAGCGCACTGAAAGTGGTAAATGTATGGGTTTTCCAATACATAAACTGAAATGCTGTTTTCTGACTTCACATCCAGATAAAATATTATTTTTACCAAAATTACGTAATTTTACCCCTAAGTACTAGATTAAAATGTACGACATTTGAATAATTATAAAAAAATATATATGTTGGGTAAATTTTTATCCAGCACTATGCTGTACATATATGGCTATTTAAATACATTCTTGAACTTTTGAATGAGCAATTCATTATTAAAGCAAAAATAAATTTAATAACTATAAATATATTTTTAAAAGACAGACTTTCCACCAGCACAAGGTGTCCACTACTTAAGAATAACATCCAAGGGAGCACTTGAATTCACATTCAGTAACTATTTTAATATATTGATATTTGACCAACTTTATATATATATTATTTTAAGCGTGAAAACTGAACCACAAATACAACTTTCACGTGAAAAAACACATCCTAATTTTGTGGGGAAGAAACTCACAAAGCAATCTCGTCATTTAACATAGATTGACGAAAGCCAACACATGCGTCAATAACACTGCCCTGAAGAGGAAATACATATTGTAAATATATTCATAGCTACGAAGGAGGGACATCGTCTAAACGTCATCCATTAAATATATTATTTCCATTATAAGGGCAATGTTATTGAAATATGTGTTTGAGTTTGTGTTATTTGCACTTCTGCCCCAATGCCAAAGCAATATCACACTGTTTTGATTCATGGAATGAAAGGAGAGTGACCCATTAAAAAAAAATTCGTGTTGAACTTTCCAGAAAAGTAATTTTCTGGAAACAACTATCACGTAATGGCTGCGAGTGAATTGGTCAAGTGAATGACTGCCCAACTGACCTGGAAAGTGGATCCGTCGCTGCCGGTGATGCTCAGGGTGGTCTGGTTGTAGAGGCACGTGGAGTGGGCGCTGCAGTTGCACAAGATGAGGTTGAGCAGCAGCGAAGAAGAGGCCTTGCCGTTGCTGGCACTCACCACGCCAAATGCTGGCTCTGAGCTTCTGGGGCTCCACGTCAAAGTCCCATCGGCTGCAGAAACCCACCACCAGCAGTAATCAATGAGCACAGATGAATGACCTTCATGGATTGTGTTTGTATCGATGTTCAGAAAATAATATTTTGGCAGAATTTTTTGTTAGGCTAGTTTTTATTTTGAAAAATAGTAATTTACCAGAAGTATTTTACTGAAAAATAAAATAAGGGAAGGAACAACGTATGGTCAGGCGGGGTAATAAGGTGGGCAACCTCAAGGGGTGAAGAGTACTGAAGTAACACCAACAAGTGAGGTAGGGTCCCACACAGGGAGTGCTCATTATATGTGAAAAAGACACAGTAGAGTGATGTATTTTAAATACTGCTAAATATATTTCTGAATGTATTACACAATAAAAAATATTAACCAGTGCAACTGAGAGTCCCGCATATGCATTGCATATTTCCAGGACGAAATTGGTCCGGTAAACCTTGTAACAAAGCCCAATGTCAGCTCAAGTTCTGACCTGGTAAAATCTATTTTCGGACTTGGAGTCTCTGAATCTCCAAATATCCACAATTCAACTAGTTAAATATTCATCATCTCTGTTCTTGCTCAAGCTCTTTTTGTTCCTGGCCACTTTCAGAGGCATCGGGGGGCTCTGCCACCCAGCAAATTTGTACGAAAATTGTCACCAAGTTGAACGATATGTGGAATAAAATATAACAAGAACCTTTCTAAAATTTTACATCGAGATGTCAATTTAGCACGGAAAACATTAAATTATCATCACATAGAGCAACAATTGTATGAATTCCAACCACTGACTTCTCAAAAATGCCAAAATAAATCACACACACACCTGTGATGTTGAGGTCTGAGGAATTTCTTGAAATGGTAAATACAATGGTGTCGTTGTTCGGGTCCACTGCGCTGATATTGACTGTAACTACTTGAATCAGCTTGGCAGAAATTTGCCCGTCGCTGGTAATGTTGGGAGGGAAGTTTTCTGAAACAAAACAACACATATCACTTATACATTTACGCACAATAACACTCCTGCATGTTAGACATGTCTGTGTTATAATAATTTACATTTGTAAGGCACACTTCATCCAAGTATCCCAATGCACCTCTGTGTTATACACTATCAGAGGTAAATCACAGCAGAAAACCGTAGCAGTATGTGTAAATGTACATTGAGTGATACAACGATGTATCACTACTCAATGGTTAATTAACCTGCGACTTTGAGATAAGTACATTTTTAACAAAACTATATGTTATGGTATCACTAGTGTCGCTTTACTCAAGTAGTGTGTTAGATGTACTACTATTATTTATTATTTATCTTATAATACATGTCGTGTGTTTGAAATGTTAATGTAGGACGCCACTGTTTTAACTATTTGACAATTCAACTCCTAAGATGCTTGAGTATGGCTCATTGAAGGCGTAAATTATTCTAAAGTAATGCATGATGTGAAAATTGTCCTCAAAGTCACAGCTCAACTTGTCTTAAGTGACTGCTAATCAGGCATGTAATGTTTAATACATTGTGAGAGATGCTTGCACACTCACGAATCGTGCAAATAAGACTGAAAAGGATTGATTCGTTATGATTGGAACCATATTGTATGCACGTTATACGCTATTTTTGCATTCAGGATAATGCGGCACACACGTCTATCTCTATGAAGAAACAATACAAATGACAAAAAATCATCTGGGCCAGGGGGATGATTGTTACATGCCTACTGCTTATTGTCAGGTCAAGAATTTATGTGGATGTACAATGCTACTTTCTCCACTGGCACATCTGAGCCGAGCCAGCGGGAGGACCCTTACGGTACGGGGTTTTTCCCACTGGCTATTTGCCATGCTGAGCTAGAAACAAACCATGATACATTCATCTCACAAAACGTATGAATCTGGCTCGGGGCCAAGCAAGGGCAGGAGCAGAGGTAATTGCAATTTAATTGCTTATAACATCAGTCTATACACTGAGAGGACACAGCATCAATGCTTCACGTACACGCATCTTGCCTCGTTTGTTGCGTGTGATATAAGTAACCTGACCCGCCCCTACTGGACATCCGTGAAAAAGAGCTTCACGGCTCATCGGATTCCTCCAGTCTAAATAAAGATTTAAATTCTGAAGTGGCACGGCTCGGCTTCTCCAGTGGAAGGACAACCTTGGCGCCACGTGAGCTGCAACGTGGCTGCCTTGGGCAAGGTCCCGGGCTTTGCTCTTGTAGTAGAGTGAAAACAGAGGCACAGCATAATTCAACTCACGTAGAGCTTTCTGCTGAGAGCCAAATTCCATAGCGCTCTTCAATGTGGCCAGCCCAAACTCGGTGTCCCCGGTACTCAGCACGTCAAATATGCAGTCAAACTGTCCTCCACATGAAGCGTTAATGGAGGCAAGTCGTTCTGCAGATGTCTGATTTATGAGTTCTTCATAGAATGTAGGCACAAAGCTGTTGTTGTTGTTGAATGTGGACCAAGTCTCCCCACTGGTGGCGTTATAAGTAAACAGGCTTGTGTTTTCGTTTGTTTGCCCTGTAAAGAGACGGCATATTTTTGTCGAAATGTGTTTTTAAAAAACATTATTGATATACATAAGCAGCAACAAGTATAAACCAACAATACAAATGCTCGGTTGTTTCAGCTTTAAAAGCTGCGGTGCAAAGCACCAAGGTGGATTTATAATTCACTTATATTTTATATTGTCAATTTGTGGAATGTAACTGGTGTTCTTGTCGCTCACATCATTTAACGTTTTATTAAAAGTCACTATGAATATACACTCTGCTCAACGTAGCAGGCAGATGTGTCACCTTAGTGAACATGTTTATAGGTCTTTGCTGATAAATCTGAACAGTCTTCTATCAAATGAGCACATAAAACATATATATTACATATCAGTCGTATGATGCGTGTTGGTTTTTTGCAACAGAAATATCTGCTGATAACATGTAACAAAATGTTAGATGAGGTAAAATATCAGCGGTATTTTACATAAATTATGTATCTTCACTTAAAGCTTTCGTGACTGCAGGAATTCATACTCATTGGGTCTTTCGGTAAAGTCACGTAGATACCCAAAGAGTATAAATTATGTAGTTTAAAAAACCTCTCTTTATTCTGCCAGCATAACAATGCCGTGACAAGCGGGAGCACCTGATCCATATCGTTATTTGTTTGCGAAATGCAATGTTCGATTCACAATTCATAACTACATTAATACACCTCTGGTACACTTACATGTAACTCCAAAGCTATAATATATTTGCGATTCATTAGGCACACTGCTTCCGTTGAAGCGAAGAACTGTTCCATTTGAAGCTTGGAAGTCATCGGTGGGATCCTTGTTGAAAACACCTGCAAAGAAATCCCATTGTTCATATATCAGAAAAACGATTTAAGTCCAAATTTAGTAGCATGGGGCCGTCCATAAACACTTAGGGGGGGTAGGGGGGTCAGACATTTGTGACGATGTGTGACGAGAAGGGGGAAGGGTTGAGAAATGTGATGTCACATCAAAATGCGCAACTTTAAATACATATAAACAATAATTGTTATAACATCACTAATTTTGATCAATTTTCATTATTAACTATATTATTATTTTAATTTACTAAGGTCACCTTTTATTTATTCCATGAAGAAGCATTTTGCTTCTCCATGGGAGAATAGAGAAGCATACATTTTGTAAATTTTTGAATGATTGTTATTAAACATTTAGATTTTAATGATTCTACCAGGGCTTTTCATTCTGTGGAATTAATATATGATTGTTATAATTGTACTCTCCATTTTGCTTCGTTCTACTACAAAGTTTCAAGTATTTTCATAGTTATAATTACTTTTAATATTTAATAAGAGAATTTCAACATAATATTCTTAACATCTGCAGTTTTAGTTAGACGTTGAATATTTTCAAGTGAATTTTATGCTAAATTTCAGCTTTCCAACACCTTTTTAATACGTGTTTTCTCCTATAACATCAGAGTGCAGCGCCACATTAAATACGCACTACAATGACAATAGTTTAAAGTGATCTGAAGCATGTTTTATTTTCAAAATGGAAATATGGTTTTGGGGGGAGGGGCAGAGCTTTGTGACGTCATATTTGAGGGGGGGTCTGACTTTTTGTGACGCTGTGTGACGAGGGAGGGAGGGGGGGTCAAAAATCGGCCAAAATCGCATGACGTCATTTATGGACGGCCCCCATCTCAAAACACATCGTTTTTCATAACAAGACAGTGGATCAGGCTGGCTCATGAAGTTGCTTCTAAATGAACCTTATTTTGATTTCTGGAGTCTCGGACAATGGCTGTGAAGCTCAAGAAAGAAAACGGGTAAATACGTAACTAAAAACACAGTCGATAATATTGCCAAAATAGGAAATAAATACATAATAATTGATGATTATGGAAATCGCCTTTATTCGTAAGTCAAAAATCCGTAACACTCTATCCAGTAATACCTCGTTATGTCGATATTTGATCATTCGTAATTGAGGATAATTCGGCATGGCTGCACTTTCAGCATATATAGAGTACTAGCTTTACTACCCGGCTTCGCCCGGGACTTGGATTCACCACGCCCGGCCGCCTTTGTCTCCTCAGTGGCGATGTTCACACACCACACTAGTTACTCGTTTGAGGCTGAGTCGACCTAGGGGAGGCCCAGGACCGGTTCAAATAATCGTCACCGGTGGTGGCCGTGAGCGGGAATTGATTGCCTTGCAAAATATATGCATTATTGCGCCCCCCCCCCCCAAAAAAAATACAAATATCTATTTTTATAATTTTTGCATGGTGCATAGTCTGGAAAGTACCCACATGGCAAATTTCAAGTTTGTTGCATGTCGGGAAGTACGCTAAACATTTTGAACAGACACACATAATCACAAATTTGCCTTTTATATACTGTACTAGCTGTACTACCCGGCTTCGCCCGGGACTTGGATTCACCACGCCCGGCCGCCTTTGTCCCCCCAGTGGCGATGTTCACACATCAGACCAGTTACTCGTTTGAGGCTGAGTCGACCTAGGGGAGGCCCAGGACCGGTTAAAATAATCGTCACCGGTAGTGGCCGTGAGCGGGAATACGAACTCGGGTCGCCGGGTTCGTAGCGCAGCGTGCTAACCACTACACTACAATGCGTTACGCTTCCACATGCGTGGGTCACATGACAGATTTGACGTCACAGCTCACTTGCCGTGCAAAAAATATATGCATTATTGAGCTCCCCCCCCTCCCCACCAAAAATACAAAAGTCTATTTTTATAATTTTTGCATGATGTCCAGTCTGGAAAGTACCCATATGGCAAATTTCAAGTTTGTTGCATGTCGGGAAGTAGGCTAAACATTTTGAACAGACACACATAATCACAAATTTGCCTTTGATATATATGGAGATATAGATTAGTAATTTACCATGAGCCGAATTGCCGTACCGAATGGTCCAATTTCAGCATACACGTGGAGCGACGCCGCATGCCACAACCAAAACAATGACTTACCGTATTTTCCCGCATATAACCCGCGGGGTGTACCACTTTTTACAAACAAAACAAGACCCTGCGGGGTATATGGAGGTGCGGGCTATCCCAAAAATGTTTTACACGTGTGACTCGTTTAATTTTTTAATTGTAGGACTATCCACTGTTCAACACTTACCTTTGACTAAAGCACTGCTGAATAAACCACTCACTAAAATTGCGCATGTTATCACGTTTTAAATTATTGGAATTGTTTGTACAATGAAACGACAATGTTTGAAGTGGGCGCACTTTGTGTTATAGTGACCTCCTATAGCGCTGTTTCGTACAGCGCTTTGTTTACCAAGAACGCATCCTGAGTGCCTGTTATGGACATCCCACATTACTATGGAATCTGCAAAACAACCACGATTGACTTCCTAAATTATCAATACTTGTTTTTGAAGCCCAGAAGGTGATGGGATGAGTCAATTCATGAAATGGATTCGAACTCGCTTCCCTGCTACAGCTCCATCCTACCAGATTAGGGACAATGACGAGCAAAGGTTAAAAGCCATTGACTGTGTGAAGGGCAGCTTCATTGTGACTCACCCAGCAGGCCTTTCGTGCGGTTGTTAAAACTCTCTTGCAATGAGGTGATGAAGTTGAGGGCCCCAGGAAGGCTGGACACGTTCACTGAGATGCCTGATGCGAAGGTGGCTACCACCTGTCCGGTTATTGTCCATTTGATCGACACGTTCTGCCTGTAGATGTCATCTAAATGAGAAAAACAAGGTGATAATTTAATATAACGTGGGCACATAAAAGTTAGTTATTATGCCCCGTTTCCACACCTATTAGGGTCTGAACCCTATACTCTTAGTTTTTTTGGTAAAGTCACGTAGGTAAAAAAAATTAAATTAAAATTAATAAAAGTATTAATAGAAATAAAATAATAATAAATCACGACGTTTCAGAGGCAACACAAGTCTCAGTCATCAGGTGGGACCGTCACAGCTAGATTTGCTGTATCAAGGTCTGAACCCTGTTGGCCCAGTACCGGTTCATAAATATCAAGAGGGGCCCTGGCCATTGGCCTCCATGCTCAACATGGTTCCAAAGTCTTCACCCCTTCTGCTCCACCCACGTTCCACTTTCTTGCCCACTATCATCCCGCAGGCAATAGGGTGGATGCCAGGAAATACATTGTCTAAACACGTGGTCTTTATCAAAGTGTATGGCATGGATCAAGTGATTGCAGGTAAAGTTAAAATATTCTTGCACTGCTGAGTAGATTTTCGTGATTGTGCTGTATAGCTCGCCGATATGTTTTAGGGCTATACTCCTTTGTTTGGCATATTCAATTTCTGCAGCTCTCAACACATGGAGCAAAACGTCAGACATCATGCCAAACAAGACGCAAAGCGCACCAAACACACATCAGAGCTACATCATGGGACCTCCTTTGCCAGTACCAAAATATGAGAATAGGTTTTCCCCTTTTTTTCTGGCAACAAAACAGATGTTAAGATGTTAAAACACCAAACTGAAACCTTTTACAAGGAATCAAAAAAAAAATCAGAGTGTTTTTTGTTTGCATTCTGACCACAAGTATTGTAGTTAATGCAGACATGATTCCTTGTAAAAGGTTTCAGTTTGGTATTTTAACATCTTAATACCTGTTTTGTTGCCAGAAACAAGGGGACAACTTATTCTCACACATCAGAACTTAAATATATCGTTTTTGTATTTTTCATCTTATGTTTCATTACTCCTGCCAAGTTGATTGCTCTTCATGTTCCAATTAATTTCGAGTGAACTTTTCAAATTTCACAATTGACGTTACGGGATTTTAAACGTCCTATGTGAAACAGACAGTGAGTATTTGTATGTATTTATTTGTATGGTTAATAAACTATAAAAACTATTTATTTTTTTTACCAGGTAAGGCCCAGCGAGCTATATAACTTTTTTTCAGAAGCGACCTGGCCACAACTAATAGCTCAATGAAGTGGCTTATCATGTGGACATTTATCGCAGCCAAATACTCTAAACGAATGTTTCTAAATGTCGAGGGAATAACCGTAGAACCCGGGGAAAAATCTATGCCACCATGGAAGGACGTGCAAACTCCTACTATACAGGCATCAGGGTCAGGATGGAACACACAACCTTCTGTATACCATGCGAGGTTAACATCTCGCAACCGTGGCACCCTAATGCACCCATAGTAATAATAACCAGGGGTTGCAACAAATGGCGAACATGCTCCTGCTAGGCCATGTTTTTTTTCACTAAAATAGACGGAAAGTTGAATCAAGGGAGTCATGTAACGGCATGTGCACATATAGATTCCATGTTGACTTCAGGATGTCGCAAATACCTCCAGAATAGTCCCAGCCCCAAATAGATCCTTCATTGACAAACACAGCTGGTGCAAAACCCTGTTCAGTAAACCAATTCGATCTATTTGACAGGCCAGTTGATGCGAGAATGCACAGGCTCTCCAGTACAGCCCCACTATAACAGAACGGCGCAAAATTGTGGTACCCATTGGCTGTAGAAATGAGGTATTATAGAATGTTAAATTGTTTATACAAACCTGCAACTTTAATACATTCAGAGGGATCAAGACAGGTCACATCAGTGACAAGAGTCAATGGTATGGTTATCATTAGGACTCCACAGATAAAAATGAAGCACATCATCACCGATACAATTTGTCTTAAGAGTGTCATGTATACAAAACATACAGAGAAACACAGTATATACGAAGCACAGCGAAATATAAAAAGAGATACTGCATGAGTTGTTTTCGTCCAGGTAAAACATTCAGAATTATTTACCTGTTGAATTGATCTGTTTGCCATCTACCAGTACTAATATGCTGTCGTTTTTGAGAATCCATTCAACCTGTAAAAGCAAAATTAGACAGTTTGTAAACAATCACGGGTAAAAACGCAATATTTGTTGTCATTGAGAGGTATGGGTAATAAAATACAGGACAGAAAAGTAGATTTTTCAATATAAAAAATAACATGAATAACGGATGCTTACTAACATCTCAGGTGTAATTTTTCGTGAATGCTTCTGTCACGTGCTGTTGAAGATCACTTGAAACTGTTTGGCTTTTTCACATAACCCCATAGTTCCACCGTGCCGTTAAAAAAACTGCTGCCTAATTATCATTGTTAAATAATTTATGAAACCTTCATCTATCTAACCTATATAATTCATTTTTTGTCTGTCTGTCCGTCCGTCTGCGTACGCTCCCTACCGGGGGATGTAGCTCTCGGACCGTGGGGTTCGCCGAGATTAAATTTTGCAGGTGGGCACGCCCCCGGCCCTGTGGTAAACTTAGGCATTTCCGATTTTTCGTCTCTAAACTTTAAATCGGACCGATTATCGATTTAGTGCGATTTCTCTTTATTTAGTTAGTTAAATCTTTATTTATTTATTTAATATTGCCGACTGGCGCGGACCACGGCGGTTGCCCCTGGCAACGGGTAGCAACGCCTTCGCTGCGGGGTGGACGCCATTTTTAATTCCCGTTAAAAATATGCGCACACATTAACACGCGACTCTGAGATAAATTCATCAAAGTTTCACGTCCTCTTCACTCCCCCCCCACCCCAATGTGTGCAATTACTATTATAGGGTCGGTAGATAATAAAATTATAGCGATTAGACAGTATTATTGTAGCGCGGTGGGGGGGGGGGGGTAACGGCCCCAGAACCCAGCCTCAGCCGGGTGAGCAATCTAGGCGCGGCCGGAGGCTCTGCACGGTACTAGGCCTCGACACGCAACTCTGTCAGGCGACGACTTTGTGGTATAAACTCGATAAACCCAGCGTTGCCCGGGGGAAAAATACATTTAAAATCTTCTGAAAACTTTAAAACATAACATACCAATGAAAATACAACTGTGTAATTAAAATTCTAAACCCGACCGCGCCAAGAATCGATTCTCTGAATCGCGAAAAGGAATCGAAGGTTGTAGATTCATTTAGAATCGCCCTGTTCCAGTTTAATATAAGTTTGTTATAGAGTCGATGTAAACTGCTACGAATGGGAAATATCCGGCGTTGACCGGGGCAAAAATATAATTAAAAACTCCTGAAAACTTTAAAACATAACATACCAATGAAAATAAAACTCTGTAATTAAATATGGAAACCTCCTACGCGCCAGGAATCGATTCTTTGAATCGCGCAAAGGAATCATCGAAGGTTGTAGATTCCTTTAGAATCGCCCTATTCCTGCCACGTTTGCTTAACATTTCCCACACACACATTCACACATTTAGCTTTTACATTTAACATACAAAACGTCAGCATGTACTGCTGTCATCATAGCTAAAAATATATACACCTTCACCACTCTCCCTCACCACTCTCCCTCACTCACCATCACCACTCACCCTCAACACTCACTATCACTCACTATCCCTCACCACTCACTATCACTGACCACTCACACTCACCCTCACCACTTACCCTCACAACTCACCCTCACCACTATTCCTCACTACTTACCCTTACCACTCTCCCTCACCAATCACCAATCACCCTCAAGCATACTTGGCGACACGTAAGTAAGTTTTTAAAACGGGAATAGGGTGAGTGGTGGTGGTGAGTGTTGAGGGTGAGTGGTGAGTGGTTAGGGTGAGTAGTGAGGATGAGTGGTGAGCGTGAGTGGTGAGCGTGACTGGTGAGGGTGAGGAAGAGTGGTGAGGGAGAGTGATGAGGGAGTGGTGAGGGAGAGTGGTGATTGGTGAGGGTGAGTGGTGAGGGTGTGATTGGTGAGGATGAGTGGTGAGGGTGAGTAGTGAGGGTGAGTGGTTGTTGTGAGGGTGAGTGGTTGTTGTGAGGGTGAGTGGTTGTTGTGAGGGAGAGTGGTGAGGGTGAGTGGTAAGAGTGAGTGGTGAGGGTGAGTGACGGTTGTGAGAGGTGATTAGTGAGTGGTGAGGGTGAGTGGTGATTGTTGAGGGTGTGATTGGTGAGAATGAGTGGTGAGTGGTGAGGGGTGAGGGTGAGTGGTGAGGGTGAGTGGCGGTTGTGAGTGGTGATTAGTGAGGGGTAAGGGTGAGCGTGAGTGGTGAGGGTGAGTGGTGAGGGTGAGCAGTGAGGGTGAGTGGTGAGTAGTGAGGGTGAGTGGTGAGCGTGACTGGTTAGTGGTGAGGGAGAGTGGTGAGGGAGAGTGGTGAGGGAGAGTGGTGAGGGTGAATGGTGAGGGTGAGGGTGAATGGTGAGGGTGAGTGGTGAGGGTGAGTAGTAAGTGGTGAGGGTGAGTGGTGAGGGTGAGTGGTGATTGGTGAGGGTGAGTGGTGAGGGTGAGTGGTGATTGGTGAGGATAAGTGGTGAGGGTGAGTAGTGAGGGTGAGTGGTTGTTGTGAGGGTGAGTGGTAAGAGTGAGTGGTGAGGGTGAGTGGCGGTTGTGAGTGGTGATTAGTGAGGAGTGCGTGGTGATTAGTGAGGGGTGAGTGGTGAGGGTGAGCGTGAGTGGTGAGGGTGAGTGGTGAGGGTGAGCAGTGAGGGTGAGTGGTGATTGGTGAGGGTGTGATTGGTGAGGATGAGTGGTGAGTGGTCAGGGTGAGTGGTGAGGGTGAGTGGTGAGCGGTGAGGGTGAGTGTTGAGGGTGAGTGGTGAGTAGTGATGGTGAGTGGTGAGCATGACTGGTGAGTGGTGAGGGAGAGTGGTGAGGGAGAGTGGTGAGGGTGAATGGTGAGGGTGAGTGGTGAGGGTGAGTGGCAAGTGGTGAGGGTGAGTGGTGATTGGTGAGGGTGTGATTGGTGAGGATGAGTGGTGAGTAGTGAGGGTGAGTGGGGAGGGTGAGTGGCGGTTGTGAGTGGTGATTAGTGAGGGGTGAGTGGTGAGGGTGAGGTTGAGTGGTGAGGGGAGGTTGAGTGGTGAGGGTGAGTGGTGAGCGGTGAGGGTGAGCAGTGAGGGTGAGTGGTAATTGGTGAGGGTGTGATTGGTGAGGATGAGTGGTGAGGGTGAGTAGTGAGGGTGAGTGGTGAGCGGTGAGGGTGAGTGGTTGTTATGAGGGTGAGTGGTGAGAGTGAGTGGTGAGGGTGAGTGGTGAGCGTGAGTGGTGAGGGTGAGTGGTGATTGTTGAGGGTGTGATTGGTGAGGATGAGTGGTGAGTAGTGAGGGTGAGTGTTGAGTGGTGAGGGTGAGTGGCGGTTATGAGTGGTGATTAGTGAGGGGTGATTAGTGAGGGGTGAGTGGTGAGGGTGAGCGGTGAGTGGTGAGGGTGAGCAGTGCGGGTGAGTGGTGATTGGTGAGGGTGTGATTGGTGAGGATGAGTGGTGAGTGGTCAGGGTGAGTGGTGAGGGTGAGTGGTTGTTGTGAGGGTGAGTGGTGAGGGTGAGTGGCGGTTGTGAGTGGTGATTAGTGAGGGGTGAGGGTGAGCGTGAGTGGTGAGTGGTGAGGGTGAGCAGTGAGGGTGAGTGGTGAGTAGTGAGGGTGAGTGGTGAGCGTGACTGGTTAGTGGTGAGGGAGAGTGGTGAGGGAGAGTGGTGAGGGAGAGTGGTGAGGGTGAATGGTGAGGGTGAGTGGTGAGGGTGAATGGTGAGGGTGAGTGGTGAGGGTGAGTAGTGAGTGGTGAGGGTGAGTGGTGAGGGTGAGTGGTGATTGGTGAGGGTGAGTGGTGAGGGTGAGTGGTGATTGGTGAGGATAAGTGGTGAGGGTGAGTAGTGAGGGTGAGTGGTTGTTGTGAGGGTGAGTGGTAAGAGTGAGTGGTGAGGGTGAGTGGCGGTTGTGAGTGGTGATTAGTGAGGGGTGAGTGGTGATTAGTGAGGGGTGAGTGGTGAGGGTGAGCGTGAGTGGTGAGGGTGAGTGGTGAGGGTGAGCAGTGAGGGTGAGTGGTGATTGGTGAGGGTGTGATTGGTGAGGATGAGTGGTGAGTGGTCAGGGTGAGTGGTGAGGGTGAGTGGTAAGCGGTGAGGGTGAGTGTTGAGGGTGAGTGGTGAGTAGTGATGGTGAGTGGTGAGCATGACTGGTGAGTGGTGAGGGAGAGTGGTGAGGGAGAGTGGTGAGGGTGAATGGTGAGGGTGAGTGGTGAGGGTGAGTGGCAAGTGGTGAGGGTGAGTGGTGATTGGTGAGGGTGTGATTGGTGAGGATGAGTGGTGAGTAGTGAGGGTGAGTGGGGAGGGTGAGTGGCGGTTGTGAGTGGTGATTAGTGAGGGGTGAGTGGTGAGGGTGAGGTTGAGTGGTGAGGGGAGGTTGAGTGGTGAGGGTGAGTGGTGAGCGGTGAGGGTGAGCAGTGAGGGTGAGTGGTAATTGGTGAGGGTGTGATTGGTGAGGATGAGTGGTGAGGGTGAGTAGTGAGGGTGAGTGGTGAGGGTGAGTGGTTGTTATGAGGGTGAGTGGTGAGTGGTGAGAGTGAGTGGTCAGGGTGAGTGGTGAGCGTGAGTGGTGAGGGTGAGTGGTGATTGTTGAGGGTGTGATTGGTGAGGATGAGTGGTGAGTAGTGAGGGTGAGTGTTGAGTGGTGAGGGTGAGTGGCGGTTATGAGTGGTGATTAGTGAGGGGTGATTAGTGAGGGGTGAGTGGTGAGGGTGAGCGGTGAGTGGTGAGGGTGAGCAGTGCGGGTGAGTGGTGATTGGTGAGGGTGTGATTGGTGAGGATGAGTGGTGAGTGGTCAGGGTGAGTGGTGAGGGTGAGTGGTTGTTGTGAGGGTGAGTGGTGAGGGTGAGTGGCGGTTGTGAGTGGTGATGGGTGAGTGGTGAGTGGTGAGGGGTGAGTGGTGAGCGTGAGTGGTGAGGGTGAGTGGTGAGGGTGAGTGCTGAGTGGTGAGGGTGAGTGGTGAGAGTGGTTAGTTTTGAGGGTGAGTGGTGAGGTTGAGTGGTGAGGGTTAGTGGAGAGTGGTGAGTGGTGATTGGTCAGTGGTGATTGGTGAGGATGAATGGTGAGTAGTGAGGGTGAGGTTGTGTGGTGAGGGTGAGTGGTGGTTGTGACGGTGAGTGGTGAGGCTGAATGGTGAGGGTGAATGGTGAGAGTGAGTGGTGAGGGAGAGTGGTGAGGGAGAGTGGTGAGGGTTAGTGGTGAGGGTTAGTGGTGAGGGAGATTGGTGAGGGAGATTGGTGAGGGAGATTGGTGAGTGGTGAGTTGTGAGGGTGAATGGTGAATAGTGAGTGGGAGTGGTGAGTGGTGAGGATGAGTGGTAAGGGTGAGTTGTGAGTGGTGAATGGTGAGGGTGAATGATGAGTACAGTCAATATGCACTGCTGTAATCATAGCAGGTACCACCACCACAGAATGTACTGCTGTCATCATAGCAGGTACCACCACAGTATGTACTGCTGTCGTCATAGCAGGTGCCACCACACTCGGTATGTACTGCTGTTATCATACCAGGTACCACCACCACAATATGTACTCCTCTCATCATAGCAGATACCACCACAGCAGTATGCACTGCTGTAATCATAGCAGGTTCCACCACAATATGCACTGCTGTCATCATAACAGGTACCAACACAGCAGTATGCACTGCTGTAGTGATAGCAGGTACGACCTCAGTCGGTATACACTGCTGTAGCGATAGTAGATACTGCTATCGAGTTGGTAGATACCGCTATAGTAAATACTAAAACAGTCAGTATATACCGCTACAGTCAGTCAATACTGCTACAGTCAGTATATACTACTATACAGTCAGTACATACTACCACGGTGAGTAGCTACTAGAGTCAGTAGATACTATTATAGAGTGAGTAGATACTGCTATAGATTTTGTAGTTACTACTATAGTCAGTGGATACAACTATAGAGTCAGCAGATACTATACAATTAGTCGTTACGAGTATATAGTCGGTAGATACTACTGTAGGCCCAGTAAATACTACTATGTTCAGTAGTTATTACAGTCACTAAATACTACTACACAGTCAGTAGCTACTACTGGCTCAGTAGATACTACGGTACAGTCAGTAGATACTACTACAGAGTCAATAGATACCACTTCCTCTGTTGTATGTAAGGTGTTGTTAGTATATATACCTACGAGGGGTAAAGATATTTTTGAGGGGGGGGGGGGAGACCACAATTTTCGGAAACCTTTTGACATCAACTATTTACCCCACACTTTCTAAAACTTTTTGGACTTGTGAAAGCCTCTTATATATTTGTTGGTGGAGAAATGTACAAACAGCCCACCGGGCTTTGACAATACCTTAGTATCTGTGTATATATATATGTAAGGTTTTTAAGAAATATATTTTTCACCCGGGCAAAGCCGGGTACTTCCGCTAGTAGTTTATAAAGATGGGCTATAAGGTAAAGGTGTAGCCCTGCAATTTCACACTCATGCCACTGCTGGCAAAAGAGTGTCCACTAGAGGGAGCACGAGAAAGTCCCTCTATGTGTGTATGTATGTACGTTGAACTTCTTTCGCACCGTACGTAGCCAACTGTGGTGTATTTTATTGCAAGTATATGTAATTTTTTTAGACATTTGTTAATCCACTGCTGGATTAAGACCTCCCTATATGCTGTGTTAGCCGAGGTGGCTGTTTGACCAAGTTTCACCGCACTGCTCAGTGCAGGTTGGTAAACAGCGGGAGCCCAAGGCCAGTTCATATATCAATTGTTGGCCACACACATCTTAGAAGAGGTGGGAGTACGCACACATTACCCCTATACACGCGTGATCTGCCGATCAGACCGTCTGTGGGGTGCCCATTTAAACTGCTGGCTGGACAGAGGCGGTGGGGGGGGGCAATTTATGTCTTTAAGCTTGGGAACCTAATATTTGTCAAGCTATTTGCGTGTACCTTAATGCCGCCGGTCTCCTGTGCAACAATGGCTATGAAGGAAGTTGCTTTTGAAGAAATATTGGCGGAGGCATTGGTCCTCGCAATTCCTGTGCGGCCCTGCATGGTGAAATTCACCCCATCTCCAACCGCTTCCAACACAGTGTACTCTCCCAGGCCATTGAAGGTGTACGAGACATTGTCCAGGGTCGTGATGTGAGGGTCGCCAATGAGAAACGCTGCAATGAAAAAGTAACCAAGTTTACAATGCCGGATCGCTGGGGTCATAGCGCAGTATGCTAACCATTGCACCACCATTCCACCAAATTCATGTTTTTGTTTATATTCATGGAACTATTAAAATTTTTTTACGATATTCAATTTGACATTGGGTGGTGCTTATCTGGCCCGAAACCGGGATGAACGTTCCATATGACTGAGTTTACACAGTTGATTGCAGACCAAGATCAATATGTGAACTCTATTAATATATACCGTGTATCTTGTGAATATTCCTCATTCAAGTTTATTTCAATGCCTGAAATGGAGACTCATGTTGCAGCATATCCTGTAATCATAGTTGGAAAGCACTGGTCTTTATATATCAAGCAATGATCTTTGAAAGCTTAGCCCATGGGTGACCACATTGGACATCTGTGAAAAAGAGCTTTATAACTCATCGGCTTCCACCAGTGTAAAAAACATTTTGATTCTGAACATTTAAATAAACGTAATGCTTAACAGATGACTCTTACCAGCAAAGGGTGGCCTGTAAAAAGCACATTTGTTGGGAGGGCGTTTCTGTTGGTACAGACTGCAAAACCTGGCATCTCCAGACTGGCAACATGATTGATATGGTTGTACTTCATTTGCTGAAAACAACAACAAAAAAATGTTTGTGTGTAACATCATTGACTTAGTTCTCCACTGTGTTTTCGGTTTGTACTGTGTATTGTTCAACGTGAGGACCTTGTTCAGGAACTGAGAGCTTCTTCAGGAGCTGAAAGAAGCTCCCAGCACATGAAGGTAAATACCATAGTGAGCAATACGCGGTGCAATCCGAAAACGGACGAAACAACGCAACCGAGAGAAACTTACGCAGGAGTAAGGAGTAATAATTTTAGAAAGGCAAAAAAACCCGCTGGCAATCCAGGTACACAATTCCCTAAGCACTTGTAACCACATCACTTAAAGCTTTTGTGGCTGCAGGAATTCATATTCCTTGGGTCTTTCATTAAAGCCACGTAGATAGAAAAAATATTTTAAAATAAAAATAATAACAATATCACGACGTTTCGATCGCAACACAAACAATCGTCATCAGGTGAGAGCTGCTGAGGTAAGAAAAAAGCGCTAAGGTAGGGATTTATAAAGGTTTGAGATGGGTGTAGCCCAAGGGTCAGTGGGCGGGGCTAGAGATTAAATGTGCATGTAAATGTAATCTATATATATAAAATCGTGAATCTGTCTGTTTGTCTGTGTGTCTGTGTGTCGCCGGACCATACGCACTTTCATTGGACGAAATGTCAGGGATTTGCGACACACGATTGGTCCGGCGGTTGCCCCTGGCAACGGGTAGCGACGCATTCGCCCTTTTTAATTCCCGTAAAAAATAGGCGCACGCATTAACACGCGACTCTTGAGGTAAATTCATCAAAGTTTCACGTCCTCTTCACTCCCCCCCCCACCACAATGTGTGCAATTACTATTATAGGGTCGGTCGATTATTAAATTATAGCGATTAGACAGTATTATTGTAGCGCGGGGGGGGGGGGGGGAATGGCACCCGTACCCAGCGTCAGCTGGGTGGGAAAATCAGGCGAGGCCGGAGGCTCTGCATGGTGCTAGGCCTCGACACCCACCACGCCACTCTGAGGTAAATTCATCAAACTTTCACGTCCTCTTCACTCCACCGCCACCCCAATGTGTGAAATTACTATTATAGGCTCCGTAAATCATAAAATTATAGCGATTACACAGTACTATTGTATCGCGGGGGATCGGCGCGCCTCACTAAAACCCTACAACGGATCGGCGCGCCTCACTAAAACCCTACAACGGATCGGCGCGCCTCACTAAAACCCTACAACGGATCGGCGCGCCTCACTAAAACCCTACAACAGATCGGCACGCCTCACACAAACCCTACAACGGATCGGCGCGCCTCACTAAAACCCTACAGCGGATCGGCGCGCCTCACACAAATCCTACAACGGAAGTGTAACGCATTGTAGTGTTGTGGTTAGCGCGCCACGCTACGAACCCGGCGACCCGAGTTCCATTCCCGCTCACGGACACCACCGGTGACGATTATTTGAACCGGTCCTGGCTCTCCCCTAGGTCGACTCAGCCTCAAAACGAGTAACTGCTGTGGCGTATGAACATCGCCACTGGGGAGACAAAGGCGGCCTAGCGTCGTGGATCCAAGACCCGGGCGAAGCCGGGTAGTAAAGCTAGTATAAGATAAATCTTGATAAATGAAGTTGTGGGGGTGGCCATTGTATTGTGAGAGATTAGCATAATAATAGGGTTTTTCCCCTTTTTTCTGGCAACAAAACTGAAACCTTTTTACAAGGAATCATGTGTGCATTAACCACAATACTTGTGGTCTAATGATGAAAGAGATTTGCTTGTAAATGTAAGCTAGGGAGAGCTCGGAAAGGAGCATCACCACCTGGAGGCAACGGTGGCTGTGTTAGTGAATGTAACTCAAAGAGTCGAAGATAATTGCTAACACAGGTAGGCAGGAAAGGAACAACACAGCCAGTTATGACCTAAACTAGTTAATAACGTCCTTCCAATGATTGCTCAGTTGTACCCATCATCTCGGTTGAAATTGTGTCTGTTTATATATCTGGATGGCTTCATGGACGAATCATTGCTGATAGCCAGTAGGTTTGCAGAGTACCTTCGTCTTGGTAAAATCAATTTCGTGTGTGCCCACAGCGTTAAAATAATGATCAGCCATGGCTGAGGTATTGGTCCTACCGTGTTTCAGATCTGCCTTATGTTCACGAACCCGGTCCGAGACATGTCGATTAGTTTCCCCAATATAACTGCTGCCGCAGACACCTTAGCTTGTAGACACCGGAGTATTGCATGTCAGGGATCACATCCTTTATAGATGGGATCAAATCACGAATTTTATGTACTGTGTTGAATCGTACCTGGATTTTGTGTTTGCTCATGATTTGGGAAATATTTTTGGTGACCCCTGCTATGTATGGCAAGGTGATGGTTTTGATTGGGTCCTCAGATGGTTCTTTCCCACAGCCACCATTAGCTGTGTTAGTAAATGGCGGCTTGCCATCCCTTTCCACCTCCAGGTGGCAATGCTCTTTTCAGAGCTCTCTCGATCGCAACACTAGCAATCGTGATAATTTACAAGCAAATTTCTTACATTGACATGCTAATCTCTCATAATACAATGGCCTCCCCCACAGCTGCTTGCAATCCTTTTCCACCTCCATGTGGCGATGTCTGAGCTCTCCCGAGCTTACATTTACAAGAAAATTTCTTACATTGATATGCTAATCTCTCACAATACAATGGCCACCCCCACAACTTCGTTTATCAAGATTTCTCCTATCTTACATTTACATGCAAATTTAATCTCTAGCCCCGCCCACTGACCCTTGGGCTACACCCATCTCAAACCTTTATAAATCCCTGCCTTAGCAGCGCTCCCTCCATATATTTTTTCCTACCTCAGCAGCTCTCACCTGATGATGATTGCTTGTGTTGCGATCGAAACGTCGTGATCTTGTTATTATTTTTATTTAATTTTTTCTATCTACGTTGCTTTACCGAAAGACCCAAAAAATATGACTGAAAAATGTAATAATCCTGAACTTGTAATCATTCAAATGTGAGTCAAGCATTTTGCCAAAGTGCCATTAGGCCAGGAACAATTACAGGTGTAAATAACATGAGTGTAAAGAAGGTAATAAAATTGCATATCATAGAAACAAAAACCTTGTTCTTGCACTTTCCCGCAGAGTCTATATTCATTACTTTTCACAACAGAAGGGCCTCCACTTCAGGAAGCTCTAGAGGCCATCTCTAAAGGCTAATTTGATCTACGGCTCAATGCTTGCCAAACAATTTGGAATAGGTGGCAGTACACACATTCTACCCCACCACACACTAACAGCATATCTACCTAGCTGTGGTGTTCCGATTTATACGCTGGATGGACAGCGGCGGTGGGAGATTTAAGTCAAGTCACAATACAACTATTTTGCACTATTAACATCACTTACTCGAGTAAAGTTGAATGTCTGGCTGCAGAATGTTGGGGATCCAAGGGGTAGGAAGATACCTCTCATACGACCCAGACACAAGGGCCCCAAATGTGTTGTAGTGGCATCTCACCCCTCCACCAAATATATCTTTATTAAAGTTCTGCAAGCTCATAAATGAACCTGGCACAAATAAAAAATTTCAGCATTAATACGATAGAATTTGAACGGAGGGGGGGGGGGGGAATCGCAGTGGTTATATTCACATTTCAGCATTCACATGTATTGGACTAAAGTGATATTGCCATATAAATATAAACAGATTAACCTATATATTTTTTTCTGGTACAGAGATGAGTGTATAATCAATTGTGCAACAGAGACAGAATTTGTAACTTAATGACAAGTGTATTTTTAAAGATGTAAATATAGCTAGTCAGTTATCTAAATATGTGGTTATCTGGTGTGGTGATCAAAATGGTAATTTGCTACAAATAACATCAGGAACATAAATCGCTTAGTTTCAATTACATCATAAACTGCAACATATTTTTTAATCACTAAAATACAGGACAAAGGATAATCTAACAATTAATGGTTTATACAATGTAATTTTTGCAGTGACTTGTTTAAAAAATTTCCCAAAAGCAAATTAATGTTCAGCCTCACCTGTGACATTTAGAGGCTGGTAGCCATATCTGGATATGAGGTCCCCATTGATGTAGGACATGTCAAACTGTCCTTGCCACAAAGAGCAGGGGCAGGTAGTGAATCTGCTGATGGAAGGCAGGACTAACTCATTCCTATACCAGTCCATACACTTGCGCTTTGGATTAGTGGTCACAGCCACGTTTGTATCCAGCCTGTAAGCCCATCTTCCTGTTAGACCTGCAACACATGCATTTATTGACGTTATATATACTCTATAAACTCACCATCATTATTGACAAAAGGATTGGAAAATTTGAAATAAAAAAGCCACATGTTGACCACAACACTTAGTCAACACATTGTCATGGACAGAAAATATACACACATTAACTAGCTTGGATAACAAGGTAGACCATTGCCGCTTTAAAGTAGTGTCCTGTATATAGCATTTGCACTCAACTACTTAAAAAAACTACAGCATACATTATAATTAATAAACGGGCATAGACATATCAGAATATTAATTGTTTCAAAAACCACAAATGAAGTGCCACTTCACTGCAGGAAGCACCGTGTAATTTTTTTTAAACATAATACGTTGTAACAAAATTATTGCCACTCGCGACGTTTTACCCATGGCAAACCAAGGATGTAATGCATGGGAAAATAAAAATACAACGGTAAAAAGGAAAAGAGAAGAGAAAGAATGGGGAAATAAGAGGAAAAGAATGGAAATTAAATGGGAAAACGTGAGCATATGGTCAGGAAAGATGAGGAGAGGGTGGAGGCCACATAAGGGCCTCGACGTTGCATGGAGCAGCATCTGTTTTCACAGGGGGTGGGGAGACGGGAGGGATTCAGAGTGCAAGTAGTCACACAGAGGTCACGTGATTTGCGAGAGGCATAAGCTCATTTAGATATGTAAATTTACCCAGGAAATTCTTGTTTAACAAATACTCTTGAATGTTTGGCATGTGGAAGGAAACCAGTGATGCCTGTCTTACCAGGAACTCTTACGAACCAAGTAGTAACCCAGTTCAATCCCGGTTATCTTCTGAGATCAGGCAAGAAAATAGAGGGCAATTGCTAATAGGAATGATGTGCCAAGTTACAAAAATGGTTATTGGATGCCATGGTAAGTTGGTGGGAAAATGTCTCTTTGGCAGTGATAATCACCACAATAACAAAACATGACTACCAATATCATCCATAATAGAGGTTTTTTTGGGTTGGATTGCATAAATATAAAAATGTGTTATTAAAACCCGCCACCACCCAACTAGTAAGGGTTGTCACGTAAACAGAACATGCCAATTAGTCACTAGTACAGCACACCGGTGTGTTGGAGAGCCAAGCCACAACATTTACAATCTGAGCACGACGTTTCGCCAGTAATTACAACTAGCTTCATCAGACTGTGTCGGGTGTGGTATTAAAATACACAAATGCTAAAATATTAGAATTGTATGAAGATGCTGCTTCAATGAACTTTTAAATGAAAGTAAAATAATAACAATTTATTCTTTGATACTGCATTATCAGTTGTCAAGAGAGGCCTACGTGCTGTGAAAAGGGCCGTTGGTTGGCCTCTCTGTGTGCTGTGAAAATGGCCGTAGCCCTCTGTGCTGTGAAGGGCCGTTGCTCAAAATATCACCTTAAACAATAACTGGTTTCATAGACACCCTGTAACAAGCTACTGTTCAGGGACATATAGATATATCACACTCAGCGGGACGGCACTAGCATAAGCTAAAAAAATCCAGCTGTGGTTGTGTGCGTGACTTTTACGAAGACTGGTTGTGAAAGATCCATGCTCTTTGTTTGAAATTAACCTTTACATGAACTTGCAAGGAATGTGTGCTGCATCATGCAAGTGGTAAACCAACCCACTTTTATGGAGAAGCAACGTGTAAAAAAACAAATGCTTCACGTTAAAATAACGCATTTTGATGATTTACAAATGGCAAAGGAAATCCACATTTTGTATCAAAATGCAGCCCCGGAGGGTGAGTGGTCACCATATATGGACAATTTGTGTAGAAATGTCATCAACCATGATGGCTTTTTTAACTAAACACTGCCTTTTACATAATTTCAGTTGTTAAATGGTGATTGACTCAACCCATAATTCCTTTGGGGGTAAATAAAGTGAGTACCCTGCCATATAATTTGGCTCTGGCATACAAAATGAACGATTGCCCACGTTCTATTGTACGGGAAATTAATTGATCTTTTTACGTTAAAAAAATCACATGATGAACTCTGAACTGATGCCTAACCAAATAGAGTACAATTAATATTAATATAGTGGATGCCACGAATGTTATGGCTCAATTTCTCACCATTTAATTTATTTCCTTATTGCTTGCTCATAAAATGTTATACACATTTTTGAGATGTTGACCAATTTAAGAAATCTATTTACCAAATCAGACATTTAGATGGTATAAATCAACACGGCAATGTCGGACCACATAGAAGCCTGAGAACTTCCATATACAGATTGTCCTGTCTCATCCACCAAATAGTCCAGACGTGGTACCCTCATATTCACGTACGCTAATACATAAAACTTTTCTAAAAATTCATAAAAAAAGATATATTGTTGATGAAAAAGAAGCCATTACTTTTATGGGAAGTCTTCTCCTACCAAATAAGCTTCATATTAAGTTAAACATTGCTATCAATAATGAGAGGTTTATAAACGTTTTTTTTCTCTCCCTCAAAAGTCACAAGCCCTGTTTGTATTTCCCCAAATACGCCTCGACAAAACCTTAAATAAACATAATGGGAAATCCACAACAGGTGGAATAGTTTTGTTCCCTATATATGGGAAGAGCAACGTATTGCAAGTCATGTCAGAAAACACTACGTTGATTTCAATGTATTAAAGTGTACAAATGAATTACCAGTATTGTTTCCAATGACCGTATCTGGGCGATAGCGAGCTGGATTTGTGGATCTTGACAGTGCGTCATTGTAATAGAACCGGTTTGTTCCACTGTGAGGGGCGAATAAAGACATGAGAGAATCGTTATCACTGATTTCTTTGAAGCAAGTTGACAGCTATATGAGTATTTCATGCTATAACCAGTATTACAAGAAATACAAGTAAACAAATATATATTGAGCTTATCTTTAAAAATCTAAAAAATCTTCGTGACCACGTTCACGGTGTTCCATGACATTGCAACAATGACAAATATTCTTTGAGCATTCAAAGACCAGTGGTCCGGTCACCGTGGTTGCCACAAACACAATGACTGTTGACAACGTTGCACCCCACCTATTGAATCCCATGAGGGCATTGTTAGAGCCGGGGTCTCTGGCTTCTGGCCTCCATTGCATGCCTCCATCTTTGAAAAATATGAGGCAGAACGAGGAGTCGCCATCCGTGCTCAGAACGGCCTGGAAGGTGTTCGTCTGGAAGTGAAACAGCACCGTCAACTGATTAGTCATTCATTCCGAGTAGACTATCAATTGCTGGACATACGAGACAGAGTTGTAAGAGTATAAATTAAGTCATGGCGGGTGATAGAGCATGCCACTATATAAAAAGTAGTAAAGTATGGATGGATAAATACACAATATCGACTAATGTATTGAATTGAGCAAGGACATGCTATTTTTATATGGAATTACAGCATGTGATATTTACCTCAGTCCAAACTATAGATTCTATGACGATCCAAGAGCTAGAAATATCACAAATAAATATGCATGCTCTGTTGCCACTTTGATTTACCCTTGATCATGAAAACTGTTACGATTGTAAAATAATGGTTAGCTAATAATTTTATTTTAGTGCTCGTAAAGGGCAGTATTAAAAAAGAGGTGGTTAAAGGGGATGAATCAGGAGTTGTTGTTGGTTTGCGAAGATGGAAAAAACTTGTTTCCCCATTCCAGAGGTTCTAACTGTATATGTCATGACACGAACTGACCAAGTGAGATAAAAACTCTCGTGTGACGGATGGCCTTTTGTTATCTTTATGAAAACGTGTTTTTTGTTAAAGATGTTCCATACAGGTATCAAAAATAGAATGTCAGTCTGTACCTCGTGCACAGAACTGGGGGAACTGGAATTTGTTGATAATTTACATACAAAATGCATTTACTCTTGGTTTATTCCACACAGTATGCAGGTTCACCACCCACTCGCCTAACTTCTTGCCAGTTGCAACCCCACCCTGTAATCTGGTTAGAGCCACCACGCTTGCCTTCAACTGAACAATGTCAAAATTGAGCGTTGTTATATTTCACAAGATACCTTGAATCAAGGAGGTTTTGTACCTTGGTACAAACATTTTTTTGTGAGTTGCTGACAAGCTGCGGATATATGTATTATGCTAACATATGGAATATGGTGACATGGCCTTTAGTATTATGTGATATGGTGGCATGACCCGGTGTTATGGGATATGGATCAAGCTGTGGACCCTGGCAATAACAGTCAAAAACCATGGTTATAGAGGGACATGGAATTTAATTGTAAGAAACATTTGGTGAGACTTGTACAATGATACTTGCATTGTACAGCATTTCCACCACTTGCTCAGGGCTCTAAACAGGAGAAGAGTACCACCGCAATGCTCATTTGAGCCAAGAAATCACTATGACTTTTGTATGAAATCACTGGGATGGCCTTACGTAGTTAAAGTTGATTCTGGCAGGCACAGCCGGGGCCTCCACCCAGGTGATCTTCAACATCCATGTGGGCTCATAGCCACGTGTGTCTGACTGGCTGCTAAAGTTGGCTCGGATCTGCTCCATCACCTTCCCACGAAGCGTCAAGGCATCATTTTTATTGCTGAGGCCTTGAGTAAAATCATACTCCTGTCAAGAAACAGTGGAATTTGTAGTTAGCTGCAACAATTAATTGTGATGCATTTTCCTATCAGAACACAAACTGCAGAATAAACGGACAAATCACGGTAAGTCGATTGGCGGCAGGTTGAGTGTCGTGGGTGAAAGCGTAGGTATTCACACCTCTTCCAGGATATCTTGTCCGTGTGCAAGATTAGGCCACACACACCCTCCACATGGGCTCTCTAGAGCACCCTCTAGTGGACGTCATTCAGCCAGATACCGTGTATGCAACCCAGATCAAGATAAGCACTTTGTGTGTTTTGTAAAGCCACTGCTGCTTCTCCATGCCATGTCGACCAGAGATTTTGTTAAGCTATAGTGGTGCCTGAGAGTGTAATTGGAACTCAATGAATTATGCACACCATGTCAATGATTTGTTTCCTATTCAAGGTTACTTTTAACAAACCTGATAGTACATCGCCCCAGTGTCTGAGGAGAAGTCAGCATCATCCCAGAACACGGCAATCATAGGGATTGAAGAGGCATCTGTAAAACCGTTGATGAAGGGGTTGGGATAGGCAAACCTCGTTGAATCTTCGACATCTTTGAAAATAATCAGGCCATTGTCTGTAAACTGTAGATCAGAAGCATAAACAAGATACCATGAGTACAATTTATATTAAAAAGAAAAGCGTGCATTAATGGTAGAATCAATTTTTTTGCTGTCAATCATCACCTTAACTGAAATCACCTTTGTCAGCATCATCAACACCATCCTACTTACATGTAATTGTAATAAACTAAACTGCGAAACAATTTTTATTTTACCTGGTAAGGCCCACTGAGCTACATAGCTCTTTTTCAGAAGAGACCTGGCCACAAATGATAGGTCAACGAAGTGACTTATCACGTGGAAATGTATAGCAGCCAAATACTCTAAATGCATGTGGATTCTAAATATGGAGAGAAAACCGGAGGACTCGGAGACAAATCCACATGACCACGGCGAGAGAGAGAACATGCAAACTCCAAATATACAGGTGTCAGAGTCAGGATTTTACCCACAACCTCCTGTATACCAGGTGAGGTAATTTATACCTTACCACCGTGGTGGCCCATGCCAACACCATTGGCTCTGTGAGGTGATAATTGTGTTTGCACTTAACTATGCAAATGAATAAATGTCAAGCAACGCATGAAATAAAAAAACAAATACATGTTCTTAAGGATTATGCTAAAAAATGCACATGCATACACGTGTTATTAATTTATGTATAAAGTAAAGAGTTTAAACATAACTGGCTACTGTACTTACATACAACCGCTGGTAGAACTTGGAGGCAAAAGGAAATCCATACGGAGGTGAGAAGAACCGAGACACTGAATCCGTGGACATGATCTTCATAGTTGTGTCACCCACAGTTGGTCCATATTCGAAAAGTCTTTTCTCTACATATACAAAATAAACACAAATTGCCACATTTTAGAATGAATCCTTGCAGTCACGAAAGCTTCAAATCTAGAATTTTACAGTGCGTTCATAAGTGACATATCAGTGGATGTTGGTCTTCAAAATACTTACTTTCCTGGTTAATTGCCATAGTCTGCAATTAACTTTAGACGAGCTGTAATGTTTCAATTCGATTTGGGTTCTGCATGTGCTGTGTAGGATTTACAATGGCAGGTCATGCACGACTAACCTAATTATCTGAAGTAATGGGAGGTAAGGGACTGCTCGGATAAAAAAAAAATCACAAAGCTAGGATCGTGCAAAACACGTGTAAATTAGGCTATCAAAACATTGACATAATGGGGGTGACGGCATTGAATGTGTCATCTGTTTTTGGTTTACTTGCCGGCGCATTTGCAGTCACGTGAGCACCGAGTCACTGACCATCAACGAGTGAGGAGCCGCTAATAATTCAACCATAAGGACGTCAACTAAACATCGTCACTACATATTACTCCCGTTTGCAGTATACATAGAGACTAGGCTCGAAAGAAAGCTGTCTCTGGTGTGGACCAATCAGTTTCAAGGACAATGCATATATTAACAGAGTATGTTTTTTGTTTGCATTCTGACCACAAGTATTGTGGTTAATGCAGACATGATTCCTTGTAAAAGGTTTCGGTTTGGTGTTTTAACATCTTAACACCTTTTTCGATTTAAAGCTTTCGTGACTGCAGGGATTCATCTTCTTGGTTCTTTCGGCAAAGTCACGTAGAAGGGAAGCAATAAAATAATAAAATAAACAATAAAATAATTCTCACGACGTTTTGGCCACAACGCAAGCAGCCATCCTCAGGTGAAAACCCTTCTACGTGACTTTACCGAAAGAACCAAGAAGATCTTAACACCTGTTTTGTTGCCAGAAAAAAGGGGAAAACCTATTCTTACACAATGACTGTATTACTGCATACATGACCTCTTTACACTTTGTTGTATTCCACATAATTTACTTTAAAAAATAGTTAAACTACTTGGTGAATTAGAACATGAATCATTTACAATTAGTGGAACGTAACTGTTCAGGAAATACATTTTTCATTGTAATTTTCTAGCATACAGTGTCTCCCTGCCCAATTTAGTATTTGGCTGCTATACATTGCCACATGATAGGCCTCTTCGTTGAACTATCATTTGTGGCCAGATCGTTTCTGAAAAAGAGCTGTATAGCTCAGTGGGCCTTACCTGCTAACATAAAACAAAAATTTAGTAAAATGTTTTTATTAAAGTCGGTGCTCATCCCCAACATTGAACCAGTATGGAAAACAACATCTCAAAGGACAGAGACCTCAGTCTCTACAGAGGACAAATGAAATTTAATTTTCACAGTGGTGCTTATTTTATCTAGCTTTGAAAAATTATGAGCTGAACTCACAATCTCCAACCAGCCTCACCTTATTTAATATATGGACAGCAGAATACAGAGTTTTGATACATGAGCCCACTTTACACTGCTTACCTGAGTTAGACACAGTGGTGGAAGTCGATGAAGTCGTTGGAGATGTCACCGTTGAAATGCTACTAATTGTTGAAGCCGGAGTGACTGCTGCATTTGTGGTTGAGGCCGTAGACGATGACACTGTTGATATTATTGTTGTGTATGAGGTGGGTGAGTTCACTATCAGTTGAGTCACAGCTGTGCTTGTTGACTGGTTTGTAAGTGCAGTCACTGGTGTGCTATTGGTTGGCAATATAGTTGTTGATGTTGTTGCCGAGCCCACAGATGTGTTAACTGCTGTCGTGTTCGATGTAGCAGGCGACAACAGCGGATTCGCACTTGTCGACGCTACCGTTGAGGAATTGGGAGCCGCTGGTGTCATTGTGGCTGTGGTTGTTGTGCTTGATATCCCAAATAATATTGGTAGAGTCACGTTTGTGCCATTAGGTCCTATTGTAGACATTGCTGCGGTGGTCACTGATGTCACAGTGGTCTTTGAAGTTGCGTTTGATGCTGCTGTAAGAGCTACGGGACTTGTTGCATTCATATTCACTAATGTGCTTTCGGTCCCAACTCTCGTTATTGATGCTGTTGTCGACTCCACAGCTGATGTATTCGCTGCTGTGTTTGAGGGCACTGTTATTGGTGATGTGTTTACAATGGTAGTGGTTGCATTCATAGAATCTGTTGTATGTGTTACCGGGGCGGCTGATGTTGAGAATGATGGAGGTTGAGTAATTGCAGTGAATGATGCATTTATTGGTGCAGTCGTGGCCGATACACCTTCTGATGTGAAGAATACTGTAGAATTACTCGTTGTGTTTGAGGTGGTTGATCTTGGTGGACTTGCTGTCTGTGGTGACTGTGTTGAATTATCAGTCCATGGCGTGGTTGAATATGTCGTTGCCACTGTGAGAATAATTCAATAGTTTACAATTAATCAATCATTCTTATGACTTAAACAATCTTTCAATGTACCTTGCAGTAAAGCAAGAACAATACGCATTATTTACTCAGAAAAGCCTGAGTATTAAGACGATTTTTCATAAGGATCCTTACTGATCGATATTATCAGGAAACTAGAATGCGCCCGAGAAAAACAACACATTTCACACTGGGTGATACTCAGTATTGTCATCCTTTGGCAACCTTGCAGCATTATGCCTAAAACACATGCCAAGCCTTCATAGTCACCCACAAGGGTTATATTTGTTTAACTTATAAGGCCTCCTGGAATTGGGAATATTTAGGCTTATTTGGTCACAGGCCAATGTATTTCTATCATCAGTTACACAATGTACGTTCATATCTGCTGATGGAAAAACTGTATGTCTCGTATATAATGTACTGTACAAATACACAAATGCTGTCTATTTACCTGTAAATCATAGAGTTTCTGTTTTTGAACATATGCAACGCCTACGTGTTAAACGTAAGCGTTGTATATGTTAAACTGACAAATGCACCATGATTCTAATATCACCATTAAGGGACAGAAATTTGACATTGTATTATTAACAGATAACCTGAGCACGCTAATGACCTTGTAAATGTTTTATCACAGGCCTTAAACCCACATATTTTAAGGTGGTATCTTACCAAGCGTTATTTTTACCAAGAATGACACTGGACTTTGAAACACTTTTCACACTTAACACCAAAGATAATTTCCCTCAGAAGTTACTTAATGTCCAGCAGGGGGTCAGCAACCAAAATAACAAGAAGAGCCATTTTTTCTAAATCCGTAAAAAAAACTCAATATTACAAGAGCCACACAATGCACATGAATACGAGACGGTAATCCTTAATAAATAACGTCACGAAGCAGTCCCTTAAAGAGCCGCATGCGGCTCCTGAGCCGCAGGTTGCTGGCCCTTAATGTACAGTCTTGCACCATTAACACAGTTCCCATCATTTAAATATTTACAGTACCATATATGAGCAAATAGTGATGTGGGAAGATATTCTATTCAGTGGCATCAGAATTTCTAATTGTACATTTGACTGAAAGTCCGATAAAATTTCCAAAATATCCCTCAATTTTAATGGTACATTTTCTCTATTATTTGCTCTGTAATGCAGCCTACACAAGAGTAGGGAGATAGACTCACGTGAGCATGTTGCATTTCCATCACCTGCAGAGGGGGAGGAGAAGATAGCACCATTAAGCACCGTTATAACTTAATCGTAAAAAAATTTACTTTAACCCAAACAAATGCTCACCAAACATATATAAAATATTGTAAAGGCATAATAATGATTTCAAAATGCTGAATTAAAATGCATTGTTATATCACTATTTACAGGAAATCAAATGAGGCTAATATCAGATGGCCATGTATAGACTCATCATAAAGGTCTCATCCCTCTCAACCTCCACACCCGCAATGCGGTTGGTGATACAAATCTAGATTTAGGAGAGTCCCAGGTGTTCCCCGACATGTCAACTGTGGTTACTTCAAGTGCTTCTGTCATGGGCCTGCCAAACATCACTGAAGCTCTCTGTGGTTTCATAAAAAAAAAACTATGTCAGGTCTCGTCCTATGTAGTTTTTTTTCACGATTCTTTTGCAGTAAAGCTCTGAAGTTACACAGCGCAACTACAAAAGCCCACGCAGTAGTTATCGACATAGTACATTTGTAAATGTATACAAAAATCTTGTTTTCAATATTGTGTGGCCTGAAAAAAGAACACAAACAGATTGGCTTGAAACAAATCCCACTGTTATGGATACCCTGTACAGCACAGGATGGCAATGGAGCGTTTACTTGTGTTGCGTTGATATCCTGGAGCGCAGGGACAGCGGTATGACCCCACTGTGTTCTCACAAACCGTTCCCAAGCCACACATAGCTGGGACTCTCCCACACTCGTCGATGTCCTCGCACACAGTAGCATTACCTAAGGGAAATCATTTAACGTAACGTTTAATATATACACAATGTAGATGATGAAAAAAAACATTGTTTTGTATTGAGTTTACACTACTTTTGCATGTTTTTTTTATTCGTTTAACTTCCTATATCGATTAAAATGTTGCTGTATTGGTCTCTTATTTAAAAAAAAAGAATACTTAAATGTTTATATATTTTAAATATTTCAATACGAGCGCTATATTCTGAGCAGCGGAAACTTTATCCTGCACATTATTACGTGTCTACCTTGGCTAGGTGGACAAACTGTTTTAAGTGCAAATCCATCTCATCACTTTTGGATTCATAAAATGAATACCATTTAGTGGGATGTAAACAGTAGTTATAACATGTGGTTAATGTAATATACCAATAACGTGTTTGACGTGATATATACCAATAACACCTTTGCAGTTATACCACTTTAATGTATCGTTACCTGGGTTGTTATCCCCAATGTGGGTGTATCCTTTAGCACAAGAGCAGCTGTAAGATCCAATCGTGTTGACGCACTGTACAGATTGGTCTGTGCAATTTGTCAAACATTCATCGATGTCACTGCACATTCTGCCATCTCCTGTAAAGCCTTGTTTACAAATGCAGTTGTAGGAACCTTCGTTGTTAGAACAGGTGGCATTGGTATGGCATGTGTTTTGAATTGCACATTCATTTATATCTGCAAAAACAAAAGACACGGCACAGTGTATGTGTCATTTTTAAAAGGGTGTGCATTTATTCTATGACGTCATACCTACAGTGTATTTACCACATTGCAACAGACATTTGCTCTGTCAATTACAAAATACTTTATACGCATACACAATTCTAACTATGTGTTTAACAAACCTTCTTTAGAACTGCTATATGTGTTTAGTTTGTTGTCCTTCCCTCTGCACCTCCGATAAGCACAGTTGGCTACGTATGGTGCAAAAGAAGTTCAAAATACATACAGTACAATCTGGGTTCCCTTTCGAAATTATCCCCTGTTCTATATAAATGATACACTCAGAATTTAAACTTGTATCCGTTGGTTTTTCATTGTACCATTAATCCGTATATGGAAGTTTACTGCTTCACATCTGTGACACGCTCGTTGACACATTTTCACTACCTGCGCAGTTTGTCCCATTGTAGCCAGGAAAACAGTTGCACTTGTAGGACCCTGGAGTATTCTGGCAATAGGAGTTGTTTGTGGATAGGCAGGGATCGATCGCGGCACTACACTCATTAATATCTGCAAAGAAATGAACACAATTTTTAAAAAATGTCAACTAAGTTTAGAAGATTACAACACATTCGAGCGCACTGCACCATGCACTAGGGTATATTAATTATGTTCCCGGTCTCACGGCTAACAACCGTTGCATGCATTGACCTCCGTGCTGAAATATGGTCAATCAACCCCATGACTGACAGCGGCCATCCTACAACAGTGAAAGAGGACTGCTAATTATTATTATTGTAGACTCAGACGTAGGCGACGAGGATAAAAAGTTCGGAGCAACAATCATTGTCTTGGCCAAAAAATAATTGTAGGCACTTAATCCAGGAGAAGACTGATCACGGCTTATAATGATGATGTGTGTGCGCGCGTCTCTTTCTCAAGTGGAGTGTTTGTCCATCTATTTCATTATTTTATTTTGTATTTCTTTGTCTGCCTACTGTGTCTCATTTCAATGTCTATGTGTACATCTATTTGATTGTTTATGTTGATGTCTCTGTGTTGATGCATTTGTGAATTATGCTCTTTTGTTGTCTGTGTTTTTGTTGATTAATTCTAAAACATCGCGCTATGCCTGGGGTTATGCCACGGGGGCAGCACACCGATTGTGGAACAATGCTCTACAGCACAAACTGTGTCAGTGTACTTGGCCCATGCAGTGCGATTCCTATGGCAGCCAAGGTTAAAAAACCCAAGGGACCAATTTTTATAATTAGCAATGCACCATTGTATTTTGTATACAGCACTTCATACGTTTGACAGGTATTTTATGACTCAGAATTTGAAACAGTACTCGTAGGATTCACGGAAGATACGTCTTTAAAAAAATCATGAATAATTTCTGAAAATGGTATGATCTACCGTGCTGTACAATTGTGCAGTGACAAAAGTTGACAAGTCAGCTCCAGCAAACAAAGTTTCATGTTGAAAGTGCTGAGGACGTGTGTCACCTCTTGCATCCTGCGATTATTTAATACGTTCCAGAGCCACTCTTTGATCGTAAAGAAACTGAAAAAAACTACAAAAGACCAATTTTACATATGCGACACATTTGTAAAAGTGTGTTTACCTTGACACAAGATAGAGCCAACCCCTTGATACCCTTCCTTGCAATTGCACTCGTAGCTCCCGAGCGTGTTGAAACAGACACCATTTTCAACACAAAGCGACGAATTGAGGGCACATTCATTGATATCTGCACATGCAGAGAACAAAAAAAATTAAAACATTTGGATGTACATAATAAAAGTACTCTTTCACGAAAAATACTTTTGTGATAATGCCTCACTGATGCAAATATTTTTACTTAAAGCTTTCGTGACTGCAGAAATTCATATTCTTTGGGTCTTTCGATAAAATCAGGTAGATAGGTTCAAATAAAAGAACAAAAAACTACGTTTCGAACGCTACACAAGCGGACGACCGCTTGTGTTGCGATCGAAACGTCGGAGTTTTTTGTTATTTTCTTTGAACCTATCTACATGACTTTACTGAAAGACCCAAAGAATATGATGCAAATGTTTGATTTCATATGTCATATATCGTAGGTTATTTAAAATACTCAAATGACAATATCACAGTTAACCGTTAGATATCTTTCAATTACCATCACGTATTAAACTTAATATTCAAATAGGAAAAATAAATGGTTGTAAAATCGCATTCAACTACCAAAAAGACATTACCCCTTCTAATATTTACGTTTTGTCAATATATTGTAACAATGTAATTGATACCTTGGCACATAGAGCTGTCGATGGTGGTGTTGATGTAGCCAATGTTGCAAGAGCATGTATATCCATGATTGTTGTTCAAGCATGTCTGATTGCATTTGGCGGGTACTTCCAGGCATTCGTTCACATCTGCCGATCCATCAACGGTGCATAACACAATCAGGTTATGACATCACATTTCCCCTCTGTTTTTGAGCCCGAAACAGGAGGAGGATTTCTCCACAATTCGGGTCGTCACTTGATGAGGGGCTGGTACTAATTAGCGGTGAAACGTCGTACTCAGATCGTAAATGTTGTGGGTTTAGTCTCCAACACATCGGCGTGCTGAACCAGAAGCTAATTGGCATGTTTCGTTTAGGTGACAAACCTTACTAATTGACTGTGTCGGGTGGTGGTGGGTTTAACGACACGTTGATATTTACGCGATCTAACCAAAAAATAATCTATTATGGATAACATTGGTCACGAAATCCTATGTGTTAATCTACTATAAGCAGATTTACAATGTTTAAGCATTATTAGGTCTCGTCTTCCGGCAACGGCAGTTGAAACAATGGTGGAATTTTCTTAAATCCGCCCAATCTGGTCCACCCAGAGGTGTCCATGTGTGCTGCACAGTTAGTCCATGAGGAAAGTCGTGTGGGGTAAAGTGTGGGTACTCGCACCTCTTCCACAACATCTGGGATAGCATGGAAGAGTAGGTAAAAAATATACTCCAGTTGAGGTTCTCCTGCCAGCAATGGAGTGAACAAGCAATCGGAGTGCCGCACCTTGACCACCTTTGTATATGCATACCCTATGTGTTGCATTCAACGTTCTATTTGTGGTGTTTTTTTTTATCATTTCTCAACATCCAAAATATCTGAAAGTGACAGTACTAAGTCTAATGAAAGTGTGCAATCTTGTTAAGCAAAATAAATATATGCCTATGGGACCTTTTTTGCCAGGATTGAAATGATGGAAAAAACAGAATAGGTCTTGACTTAAAGCTTTCGTGACTGCAGGAATTTATATTCTTTGGGTATTTCGGTAAAGTCACGTTGATAGGTTCAAAGAGAACCTATCTACGTGACTTTACCATTTATTGTAATAACACAGGAGGTGTAATAACACAGGAGGTGTTAAGACGTTCAATCAACAAATAGACACCTTTTGAAAGGCGTCAAGGCTGCATTAACCACACACGATTGTGGCAAAACATGCAAACAAACATGCTCTGATAATGTATGCATTGTCTTTGAAACTAATTGGCATATACCAGAGACATGGCCTTGTCTCACCAAGACCAGAGAACGCAATAGGTTTCTACTTGGTGTTTGAACATCTTAACACTTGTGCTATTGCCAGGAAGGGTAAAACCGCTTATTCTTTTTCAATAAAAAGTTATGATTATTCATTATCACTGCAGAAAGTTGTTCATATTATTATATAGTGGATTTTTATGGCATTTTTTTTATTGAGTAAGAAAAAATATTAATTGATTGCGTGAAAATTGTCTGTACTGCACCTTATTTCTAATGAATGAGGAATTAATGAACACAATTAAAGAATGAAATATGTACACACCGTAACACTTGCTCCCGTTGCCTGTGAGCCCAACGGGACAGGGCCCACACGAAAAGCCTAGGGAGGGTGCAGGTTGATCTGTGCAGTTCACTCCAGGATGACAAGGGCTGTCTACACAGGCATTGTAGTCGTCCGTGCAGTATGCTCCCGCGTAGCCAGGATCACACAGACAGCCGGCAACCTTCAGACGATCGCAGCAACACGGCAAATAAATTAAGCTTGACATGGGTTATGTACGCAAACTCAAGCCATCTCCCCCCTAAGGGCCGATCAAGCATTATGATTAAACAGTATTCAAGTGCACTGATAGTGGTAAATGTATGGGTTTTCCAATACATAAACTGAAATGCTGTTTTCTGACTTCACATCCAGATAAGACATTATTTTTTACCAAAATTACGTAATTTTGCCCCTAAGTACTAGATTAAAATGTACGACATTTGAAGAATTATAACATTTTGTATATGTTGGGTAAATTTTTATCCAGCACTATGCTGTACATATATGGCTATTTAAATACATTCTTGAAACTTTTGAATGAGCAATTCATAGTTAAAGCTAAAATAAATGTAATAACTATAAATATATTTTTAAAAGACAAACTTTCCACCAGCACAAGGTGTCCACCACTTAAGAATAACACGCAAGGGATCACTTGAAGTCACATTCAGTAACTATTTTAATATATAGATATTTGACCAACTTTATATATTTTTTTATTTTAAGCGTGAAAACTGAACCACAAATACAACTTTCATGTGGAAAAAAACACATCCTAATTTTGTGGGGAAGAAACTCACAAAGCAATCTCGTCATTTAACATAGATTGAGGAAAGCCAACACATGCGTCAATAACACTGCCCTGAAGAGGAAATACATATTGTAAATATATTCATAGCTACGAAGAAGGGACATCGTCTAAACGTCACCCATTAAATATATTATTTCCATTATAAGGGCAATGTTATTGAAATATGTGTTGAGTTTGTGTTATTTGCACTTCTGCCCCAATGCCAAAGCAATATCACACTGTTTTGATTCATGGAATAAAAGGAGAGTGACCCATTAAAAAAAATTCGTGTTGAACTTTCCAGAAAAGTAGTTTCCTGGAAACAACTATCATGTAATGGCTGCAAGTGAATTGGTCAAGTGAATGACTGCCCAACTGACCTGGAAAGTGGATCCGTCGCTGCCGGTGATGCTCAGGGTGATCTGGTTGTAGAGGCACGTGGAGTGGGCGCTACAGTTGCACAAGGTGAGGTTGAGCAGCAGCGAAGTAGAGGCCTTGCCGTCGCTGGCACTCACCACGCCAAATGCTGGCTCTGAGCTTCTGGGGCTCCACGTCAAAGTCCCATCGGCTGCAGAAACCCACCACCAACAGTAATCAATGAGCACGGATGAATGACGTTCATGGATTGTGTTTGTATAGTTGTTCAGAAAATAATATTTATGCAGAATTTTTTGTTAGGCCAGGCGGGGTAATAAGGTTGGGGAACGCGAAAGGTGAAGAGTAGTGAAGTAACACCGAGAAGCGAGGTAGGGTCCCACACAGGGAGTGCATATTATAAGTGAAAAAGACACAGTAGAGTGATGTATTTTAAATACTGCAAAATATATTTCTGAATGTATTACACAATAAAAATATTAACCAGTGCAACTGATGGTCCCGCATATGTATTGCATATTTCCAGGACGAAATTGGTCCGGTCAACCTATAACAAAGCCCAATGTCAGCTCAAGTTCTGACCTGATAAAATCTATTTTCTGACTTGGAGTCTCTGAATCTCCAAATATCCACAATTCAACTAGTTAAATATTCATAATCTCTGTTCTTGCTCAAGCTCTTTTTGTTCCTGGCCACCTTCAGAGGCATCGGGGGGCTCTGCCACCCAGCAAATTTGTACGAAAATTGTCACCAAGTTGAACGATATGTGGAATAAAATATAACAAGAACCTTTCTAAAATTTTACATCGAGATGTCAATTTATTTAGCACGGAAAACATAAAATTATCATCACGTAGAGCAACAATTGTATCAATTCCAACCACTGACTTCTCAAAAATGCCAAAATAAATCACACACACACCTGTGATGTTGAGGTCTGAGGAATTTCTTGAAATGGTAAATACAATGGCGTCGTTGTTCGGGTCCACTGCGCTGATATTGACTGTAACTACTTGATTCAGCGTGGCAGAAATTTGCCCGTCGCTGGTAATGTTGGGAGGGAAGTTTTCTGAAACAAAACAACACATATCACTTATAGATTCACGCACAATAACGCATGTTAGATATGTCTGTGTTATAATAATTTACACTTGTAAGGCACACTTCATCCAAGGATCCCAATGCACCTCTGTGTTATACACTATCAGAGATAAATCACAGTAGAAAACCGTAGCAGTATGTGTACATTGCGTGATACAACGATGTATCGATACTCAATGGTAAATTAATCTGCGACTTTGAGATAAGTACATTGTTAACAAAACTAGAATTTAACACACTAAAATACAGTAATTCCCATCTTATGGAAGCTTCGAAGTAAAACAAAACAGGTGTTTAAAAAATATGTACTGATGCATATGTAATGGTATCACTAGTGTCGCTTTACTCAAGTAGTGTGTTAGATGTACAACTATTATTTATTACTTATCTTATAATTCATGTCCTATCGTGTGTTTGAAATGTTAATGTAGGACGCCACTGTTTTAACTATTTGACGATTCAACTCCTAAGATGCTTGAGTATGGCTCATTGAAGGCGTAAATTATTCTAAAGTAACGCATGATGTGAAAATTGTCCTCAATGTCACAGCTCAGCTTGTCTTAAGTGACTGCTAATCAGGCATGTAATGTTGAATACATTGTTAGAGATGCTTGCATACTCACGAATCGTGCAAATAAGACTGAAAAGGATTGATTAGTTATGATTGGAACCATATTGTATGCACGTTATACGCTATTCTTGCATTCAGGATAATGCGGCACACACGTCTATCTCTATAAACAATACAAATGACAAAAAAATCATCTGGGCCAGGGGGCTGATTGTTACATGCCTACTGCTTATTGTCAGGTCAAGAATTTATGTAGATGTACAATGCTACTTTCTCCACTGGCACATCTGAGCCGAGCCAGCGGGAGGACCCTTACGGTACGGGGTTTTTCCCACTGGCTATTTGCCATGCTGAGCTAGAAACAAACCATGATACATTCATCTCACAAGACGTATGAATCTGGCTCGGGGCCAAGCAAGGGCAGGAGCAGAGGTAATTGCAATTTAATTGCTTATAACATCAGTCTATACACTGAGAGGACACAGCATCAACGCTTCACGTACACGCATCTTGCCTCATTTGTTGCGTGTGATATAAGTAACCTGACCCGCCCCTACAGGACATCCGTGAAAAAGAGCTTCACGGCTAATCGGATTCCTCCAGTCTAAATAAAGATTTCAATTCTGAAGTGGCACGGCTCGGCTTCTCCAGTGGCAGGACAACCTTGGCGCCATGTGAGCTGCACCGTGGCTGCCTTGGGCAAGGTCCCGGGCATTGCTCGAGTAGTAGAGTGAAAACAGAGGCACAGCGTAATTCAACTCACGGAGAGCTTTCTGCTGAGAGCCAAATTCCATAGCGCTCTGCGATGTGGCCACCCCAAAGTTGGTGTCCCCGGTACTCAGCACGTCAAATATGCAGTCAAACTGTCCTCCACATGAAGCGTTAATGGAGGCAAGTCGTTCTGCAGATATCTGACTTATGAGTTCTTCATAGAATGTAGGCACAAAGCTGTTGTTGTTGAATGTGGACCAAGTCTCCCCACTGGTGGCGTTATAAGTAAACAGGCTTGTGCTTGGCTTTGTTTGCCCTGTAAAGAGATGGCATATTTTTGTCGAAATGTGTTTTTAAGAAACATTATTGATATACGTAAGCAGCAACAAGTATAAACCAACAGTACAAACGCTCGGTTATTTCAGCTTTAAAAGCTGCGGTGCAAAGCACCAAGGTGGAGTTCTAATTCACTTATATTTTACATTGACAATTTGTGGAATGTAACTGGTGTTCTTTTCGCTCACATAATTTAACGTTTTATTAAAGTCACTATGAATATACACTCTGCTCAACGTAGCAGGCAGATGTGTCACCTTAGTGAACATGTTTATAAGTCTTTGCTGGTAAATCTGAAGAGTCTTCTATCAAATGAGCACATAAAACATATGTTACATATCAGTCGTATGATGTGTGTTGGTTTTTTGCAACAGAAATATCTGCTGATAACATGTAACAAAATGTTAGATGAGGTAAAATATCAGCGGTATTTTACATAAATTATGTATCTTCACTTAAAGCTTTCGTGACTGCAGGAATTTATACTCTTTGGGTCTTTCGGTAAAGTCACGGAGATACCCAAAGAGTATAAATTATGTAGTTTAAAAAACCTCTCTTTATTCTGCCAGCATAACAATGCCGTGACAAGCGGGAGCACCTGATCCATATCGTTATTTGTTTGCGAAATGCAATGTTCGATTCACAATTCATAACTACATTAATACACCTCGGGTTCACTCACATGTAACTCCAAAGCTATAATATATTTGCGATTCAGGAGGCACACTGCTTCCGTTGAAGCGAAGAACTGTTCCATTTGAAGCTTGGAAGTCATCGGTGGGATCCTTGTTGAAAACACCTGCAAAGAAATCCCATTATTCATATATCAGAAAAACGATTTACGTCCAAATTTAGTAGCATGGGACCGTCCATAAACAACTAGGGGGGGGAGGGGGGTCAGACATTTGTGACGATGTGTGACGAGAAGGGGGAGGGGTTGAGAAATGTGATGTCACATCAAAATGCGCAACTTTAAATACATATAAACAATAGAATTGTAATAACAACACTAATTTTACACCATTGGAACCTCCTTTGCCAGTAGCAAAATATGATAATTGTTTTTTTACCCTTTTATCTGGCAACAAAACTGACACTTTTTTCGTGCGCCTTTGGCGTCATCTGGTCCAACACCATGTAAGACTAGGCTCTAAGAAAAGCTGTCTGGTGTGGCCCAATCAATTTCAAGGACAGTGCATACATTATCAGAGTTGTGTTTTTTGTTTGCATTCCGACAGCAGGTATTGTGGTCAATGCAAACATGACTCCTTTTAAAAAAGGTGTCAGTTTAATTGCCAGATAAAAGGGTAAAAAAACAATTAACACTAATTTAGATTAATTTTCATTATAAAAAATTGTATTATTTAAATTGACTAAGGTCACCTTTTATTTATTCCATGAAGGAGCATTTTGCTTCTCCATGGGAGAATGGAGAAGCATACATTTTGTAAAAAAATGTAATGATTGTTATTAAACATTTAGATTTTAATGATTCTACCAGGGCTTTTCATTCTGTGGAATTAATATATAATTGTTATAATTGTACTCTCCATTTTGCTTCGTTCTACTACAAAGTTTCAATTTTTTTTTATAATTACTTTTAATATTTTATAAGAGATTGCAATATATTCTGCAGTTTTAGTTATACGTTGAATATTTTCAAGTGAATTTTATGCTAAATGTCAGCTTTCCAATGCCTCCTTTTAAATGCATGTTTTCTCCTACAACATCAGAGTGCAGCGCGCGCCACATTAAATACGCACATACAATGACAATAGTTTAAAGTGATTTGAAGAATGTTTTATTTTCAAAATGTAAATATGGTTTTGGGGAGAGGGGCAGAGCTTTGTGGGTCAAAAATCGGCCAAAATCGCATGATGTCATTTATGGACGGCCCCCATATCAAAACACATAGTTTTTCTTAACAAGACAGCGGATCAGGCTGGCTCATAAAGTTCCTTCTAATTGAACCTTATTTTGATTCCTGGAGTCTCGGACAATGACTGTGAAACTCAAAAAAGAAAACAGATAAATACGTAACTAAAAACACAGTCGATAATATTGCCAAGATAGGAAATAAATACATAATAATTGATGATTATGGAAATCGCCTTTATTCGTAATTCAAAAATCCGTAACACTCTATCCAGTAATATCTCGTTATTTCGGTATTTGATCATTCGTAATTGAGGATAATTCGGCATGGCTGCACTTTCAGCATATATAGAGTACTAGCTTTACTACCCGGCTTCGCCCGGGACTTGGATTCACCACGCCCGGCCGCCTTTGTCCCCCCAGTGGCGATGTTCACACAGCAGACCAGTTACTCGTTTGAGGCTGAGTCGACCTAGGGGAGGCCCAGGACCGGTTAAAATAATCGTCACCGGTAGTGGCCGTGAGCGGGAATACGAACTCGGGTCGCCGGGTTCGTAGCGCAGCGTGCTAACCACTACACTACAATGCGTTACGCTTCCACATGCGTGGGTCACATGACAGATTTGACGTCACAGCTCACTTGCCGTGCAAAAAATATATGCATTATTGAGCTCCCCCCCCTCCCCACCAAAAATACAAAAGTCTATTTTTATAATTTTTGCATGATGTCCAGTCTGGAAAGTACCCATATGGCAAATTTCAAGTTTGTTGCATGTCGGGAAGTAGGCTAAACATTTTGAACAGATACACATAATCACAAATTTGCCTTTGATATATATGGAGATATAGATTAGTAATTTACCATGAGCCGAATTGCCGTACCGAATGGTCCAATTTCAGCATACACGTGGAGCGACGCCGCATGCCACAACCAAAACAATGACTTACCGTATTTTCCCGCATATAACCCGCGGGGTATACCACTTTATACAAACAAAACAAGACCCTGCGGGGTATATGGAGGTGTGGGCTATCCCAAAATATTTTACACGTGTGATATGTCATAACTCGTTTAATTTTTTCATGGTAGGACTATCCACTGTTCAACACTTACCTTTGACTAAAGCACTGCTGAATAAACCACTCACACTAAAATTGCACATGTTATCACGTTTTAAATGATTGGAATTGGGCGTACAATTGTAGTGCTTGAGATACGCGGTGTACAGTGGGAGCAAATGAGCACACAGGGCGCTGATTGGCTGGTCGTTGTTGTTGTCCCAAATGAGGTGGCGTGATGTCTGAGGATGGTAGCAGGTGGCAGGGAGTAATTAAGGGTGCAGGGTGCTGATTGGCCGAGAGGGTGTTGTTGTCGGAGAAGGGCGCCGCAGTGTCTGGAAAAACATGCCACGTGGCAGCGGGGGCTGGGGGCGAGTGGCGTCGCGGGGATGCCCCTGATTGAGAATTAATTGGCTCGGGGATAAAGTCAGGGGTTTTGGAGGAGACGGGAGTTCGCACCTGGGAGGAGACAGAGGATGGAGAGTCGGAGCAGCAGAGTGAGTACCAGGATAGGGTAGCAGTGGAGAAGCGTAGGGTAGCAGTGGAGAAGTGTAGAGTAACAGTGAGACGATGAAGAGTAGGAAGCGACTGGAGTGTGGGAAGAGAAGCTGATGAAGTTACGACGGAGTGGGACGGCGGAGCTGACAAATAGCAGCCGAACTGTGGCGGAGAGAGTGTAGAGGAGAGTGGACGGAGGAGTGAAGGGGAGCGAGTGAGGCCGGCGGAACACGGCGAGCGAGCGGAGTGCGTGGAGAAGAACTGTGGATCGGTGTGAGTGGGAGGAACATTGAGCATTGTTGGATGAAGGAATGTTGAGCGAAATACGCGAAATAAAGTAACGAGGAAAGACAAGAAGCTGTCGTGTCGGTTCGAGCACTACACAATGAAATGACAATGTTTGAAGTAGGCGCACTTTGTGTTATCGTGACCTCCTATAGCGCTGTTTTGTACAGCGCTCTGTTTACCAAGAACGCATCCTGAGTGCCTGTCATGGACATCCAACATTGCTATGGAATCTGCAGAACAACCACGGTTGACTTCCTAAATTATTAATACTTGTTTTTGAAGCCCAGAAGGTGATGGGATGAGTCAATTCATGAAATGGATTCGAACTCGCTTCCCTGCTACAGCTCCATCTTACCAGATTAGGGACAATGACGAGCAAAGGTTAAAAGCCATTGACTGTGTGAAGGGCAGCTTCATTGTGACTCACCCAGCAGGCCTTTCGTGCGGTTGTTAAAACTCTCTTGCAATGAGGTGATGAAGTTGAGGGCCCCAGGAAGGCTGGACACGTTCACTGAGATGCCTGATGCGAAGGTGGCTACCACCTGTCCGGTTATTGTCCATTTGATCGACACGTTCTGCCTGTAGATGTCATCTAAATGAGAAAAACAAGGTGATAATTTAATATAACGTGAGCACATAAAAGTTAGTTATTATGCCCCGTTTCCACACCTATTAGGGTCTGAACCCTATTTTTTGGTAAAGTCACATAAGTAAAAAAAATGAAATTAAAATTAATAAAAGTATTAATATAAATAAAATAATAATAAATCACGACGTTTCGGAGGCAACACAAGTCTCAGTCATCAGGTGGGACCGTCACAGCTAGATTTGCTGTATCAAGGTCTGAACCCTGTTAGCCCAGTACCGGTTCATAAATATCAAGAGGGGCCCTGGCCAAATAGCCTCCATGCTCAACATGGTTCCAAAGTCTTCACCCCTTCTGCTCCACCCACGTTCCCCTTTCCTGCCCACTATCATCCCGCAGGCAATAGGGTGGATGCCAGGAAATACATTGTCTAAACACGTGGTCTTTATCAAAGTGTAAGGGCATGGATCAAGTGATTGCAGGTAAAGTCAAAATATTCTTGCACTGCTGAGTAGATTTTTGTGATTGTGCTGTATAGCTCGCCGATATGTTTTAGGGCTATACTCCTTTGTTTGGCATATTCAGTTTCTGCAGAAGCTCTCAACACTTGGAGCAAAACGTCAGACATCATGCCAAACAAGACGCAAAGCGCACCAAACACACATCAGAGCTACATCATGGGACCTCCTTTGCCAGTACCAAAATATGAGAATAGGTTTTCCCCTTTTTTCTGGCAACAAAACAGGTGTTAAGATGTTAAAACACCAAACTGAAACATTTTACAAGGAATCAAACAAAAAAAAGCAGAGTATGTTTTTTGTTTGCATTCTGACCACAAGTATTATGGTTAATGCGGACATGATTCATTGTAAAAGGTTTCAGTTTGGTTTTTTAACATATTAACACCTGTTTTGTTGCCAGAAACAAGGGGAAAACCTATTCTCACACATCAGAACTTAAATATATCGTTTTTGTATTTTTAATCTTATGTTTCATTACTCCTGCCAAGTTGATTGCTCTTCATGTTCCAATTAATTTCGAGTGAACTTTTCAAATTTCACAATTGACGTTACGGGATTTTAAACGTCCTATGTGATACATACAGTGAGTATTTGTATGTATTTATTTGTATGGTTAATAAGCTATAAAAACTATAAAACTATGAACTATTTTTTATTTTACCAGGTAAGGCCCAGCAAGCTATATAGCATTTTTTAAGAAGCGACCTGGCCACAACTAATAGCTCAATGAAGTGGCTTATCATTTGGACATTAATCGCAGCCAAACACTCTAAACGCATGTTTCTAAATGTGGACGGAATAACCGTAGGACCTGGGGAAAAATCTATGTGACCATGGGAAGAACATGCAAACTCCTACTATACAGGCATCAGGTTCAGGATGGAACACACAACCTTCTGTATACCATGCGAGGTTAACATCTCGCCACCGTGGCACCCTAATGCACCCATAGTAATAATAACCAGGGGTTGCAACAAATGGCGAACATGCTCCCGCTAGGCCATGTTTTTTTTCACTAAAATAGACGGAAAGTTGAACCAAGGGAGTGATGTAACGGCATGTGCACATATAGATTCCATGTTGACTTCAGGATGTCGCAAATACCTCCAGAATAGTCCCAGCCCCAGATGGATCCTTCATTGACAAACACAGCTGGAGCAAAGCCCTGTTCGGTAAACCAAATCGATCTATTTGACAGGCCAGTTGATGCGAGAACCCACAGGCTCTCCAGTACAGCCCCACTATACAGAACAATGCAAAATTCTGGTACCCATTGGCTGTAGAAATGAGGTATTATACAATATTAAATTGTTTATACAAACCTGCAACTTTAATACATTCAGAGGGATCAAGACAGGTCACATCAGTGACAAGAGTCAATGGTATGGTTATCATTAGGACTCCACAGATAAAAATGAAGCACATCATCACCGATACAATTTGTCTTAGAGTGTCATGTATACAAAACATACAGAGAAACACAGTATATACGAAGCACAGCGAAATATAAAAACAAATACTGCATGAGTTGTTTTCGTCCAGGTAAAACATTCAGAATTATTTACCTGTTGAATTGATCTGTTTGCCATCTACCAGTACTAATATGCTGCTGTTTTTGAGAATCCATTCAACCTGTAAAAGCAAAATTAAACAGTTTGTAAACAATCACGGATAAAAACGCAATGTGTTGTCATTGAGAGGTATCTAACCTATATAATTCATTTTTTGTCTGTCTGTCTGTCTATCTGTCTGTCTGTCTGTTTGTCCGTCTGCGTACGCTCCCTTCCGGGGGATTTAGCTCTCGGACCGTGGGGTTCGCCGAGATTAAATTTTGCAGGTGGGCACGCCCCCGGCCCGCGGTAAACTTAGGCATTTCCGATTTTTCGTCTCTAAACTTTAAATCGGACCGATTATCGATTTAGTGCGATTGCTCTTTATTTAGTTATTTATTTATTTACTCTTGCCGGCCGGCGCGGACCACGGCGGTTGCCCCTGGCAACGGGTAGCAACAACTTCGCTGCGGGGTGGACGCCATTTTTAATTCCCGTTACAAATATGCGCACGCATTAACACGCGACTCTGAGGTAAATTCATCAAAGTTTCACGTCCTCTTCACTCCCCCCCCACCCCAATGTGTGCAATTACTATTATAGGGTCGGTAGATAATAAAATTATAGCGATTAGACAGTATTATTGTAACATACCAATGAAAATACAACTGTGTAATTAAAATTATAAACCCGACCGCGCCAAGAATCGATTCTCTGAATCGCGAAAAGGAATCGAAGGTTGTAGATTCATTTAGAATCGCCTTATTTCCGTTTAATAAAGTTGGTTATAGAGTTGATATAAACTGCTACGAATGGGAAATATCCGGCGTTGACTGGGGCTAAAATATAATTAAAAACTTCTGAAAACTTTAAAACATAACATAACAATGAAAATAAAACTCTGTAATTAAAAATGGAAACCTCCTATGCGCCAGGAATCGATTCTTTGAATCGCGCAAAGGAATCATCGAAGGTTGTAGATTCCTTTAGGAGCGCCCTTAACATGTGGTGAGGGAGAGAGTGGTGAGGGGGAGAGTGGTGAGGGAAAGAGTGGTGAGGGGGAGAGTGGTGAGGGAGAGAGTGGTGAGGGAGAGAGTGGTGAGGGAGAGAGTGGTGAGGGGGAGAGTGGTGAGGGGGGAGAGTGGTGAGGGGGAGAGTGGTGAGGGGGAGAGTGGTGAGGGGGAGAGTGGTGAGGGGGAGAGTGGTGAGGGAGAGAGTGGTGAGGGAGAGAGTGGTGAGGGAGAGAGTGGTGAGGGGGAGAGTGGTGAGGGGGAGAGTGGTGAGGGGGAGAGTGGTGAGGGGGAGAGAGTGGTGAGGGAGAGAGTGGTGAGGGAGAGAGTGGTGAGGGGGAGAGTGGTGAGGGGAGAGTGTGAGGGGGAGAGTGGTGAGGGGAGGGAGAGTGTGTGAGGGGGAGAGTGGTGAGGGGGGAGTGGAGGAGAGTGGTGAGGGGGAGAGTGGTGAGGGGAGAGTGGTGAGGGAGAGAGTGGTGAGGGGAGAGTGGTGAGGGGGAGAGTGGTGAGGGGGAGAGTGGTGAGGGAGAGAGTGGTGAGGGGGGAGAGTGGTGAGGGGGAGTGAGAGTGGTGAGGGGGCGAGTGGTGAGGGGGAGAGTGGTGAGGGGGAGAGGGGGAGGGGGAGAGTGGTGAGGGAGAGAGTGGTGAGGGAGAGAGTGGTGAGGGGGAGAGTGGTGAGGGGGGAGAGTGGTGAGGGGGAGAGTGGTGAGGGAGATAGTGGTGAGGGGAGAGAGAGTGGTGAGGGGGAGAGTGGTCGTGAGGGTGGAGGGTGGTGAGGGAGAGAGTGGTGAGGGAGAGAGTGGTGAGGGACGAGAGGAGTGGTGAGGGGGAGAGTGGTGAGGGAGAGTGGTGGTGAGGGGGGAGAGTGGTGAGGGGGAGAGTGGTGAGGGAGAGAGTGGATGAGAGTGGTGAGGGATAGAGTGGTGAGGGAGAGTGTGGGAGGGAGAGAGTGGTGAGGGGGAGAGTGGTGAGGGGAGAGGTGTTGGGGGATGAGGTGGTGAGGGGAGGAGAGGTGGTGGTGAGGGGAGAGAGTGGTGAGGGAGAGTGGTGGTGAGGGGAGAGAGTGGTGAGGGAGCGTGGTGAGGGGGGAGAGTGGGAGGGAGAGAGTGGTGAGGGAGAGAGTGGTGAGGGAGAGAGTGGTGAGGGAGAGTGGTCGTGAGGGAGAGAGTGGTGAGGGAGAGAGTGGTGAGGGGGAGAGTGGTGTAAGGGGAGAGTGGTGAGGGGGAGAGTGGTGAGGGTGAGAGTGGTGAGGGGGAGAGTGGTGAGGGGGAGAGTGGTGAGGGAGAGAGTGGTGAGGGGGAGAGTGGTGAGGGGGAGAGTGGTGAGGGGGAGAGTGGTGAGGGGGAGAGTGGTGAGGGGGAGGTGGTGAGGGGGAGAGTGGGGAGGGGGAGAGTGGTGAGGGAGAGAGTGGTGAGGGGGAGAGTGGGGAGGGGGAGAGTGGTGAGGGGAGAGAGTGGTGAGGGGGAGAGTGGTGAGGGGGAGAGTGGTGAGGGGGAGAGTGGTGAGGGAAAGAGTGGTGAGGGGGAAGAGTGGAGAGGGGGGAGAGTGGTGAGGGGGAGAGTGGTGAGGGTGAGAGTGGTGAGGGGTAGAGTGGTGAGGGGGAGAGTGGTGAGGGGGAGAGTGGTGAGGGGGGAGAGTGTGAGGGGGAGAGTGGTGAGGGGGAGAGTGGAGAGGAGGAGAGTGGTGAGGGGGAGAGTGGTGAGGGGGAGAGTGGTGAGGGGGAGAGTGGTGAGGGGAGAGTGGTGAGGGAGAGAGTGGTGAGGGGGAGAGTGGTGAGGGGGAGAGTGGTGAGGGGAGAGGTGGTGAGGGGGAGAGTGGTGAGGGAGAGAGTGGTGAGGGGGGAGAGTGGTGAGGGGGAGAGTGGTGAGGGGGAGAGTGGTGAGGGGGAGAGTGGTGAGGGAGAGAGTGGTGAGGGGGAGAGTGGTGAGGGGGGAGAGTGTGAGGGGGAGAGTGGTGAGGGGGAGAGTGGTGAGGGGGAGAGTGAGAGTGAGTGGAGGGGGAGAGTGGTGAGGGAGAGAGAGTGGTGAGGGGGAGAGTGGTGAGGGGGAGAGTGGTGAGGGGGAGAGTGGTGAGGGGAGGAGAGTGGTGAGGGGGAGAGTGGTGAGGGGGAGAGTGGTGAGGGGGAGAGTGGTGAGGGGGAGGCGTGAGAGTGGTGAGGGGAGAGAGTGGTGAGGGAGGAGAGTGGTGAGGGGGAGAGTGGTGAGGGGGAGAGTGGTGAGGGGAGAGTGGTGAGGGGAGAGTGGTGAGGGGGAGAGTGGTGAGGGGAGAGTGGTGAGGGAGAGAGTGGTGAGGGGGAGAGTGGTGAGGGAGAGAGTGGTGAGGGGGAGAGTGGTGAGGGGGAGAGTGGTGAGAGAGTGGTGAGGGAGGAGAGTGGTGAGGGGGAGAGAGTGGTGAGGGAGAGAGTGGTGAGGGGGAGAGTGGTGAGGGGAGAGTGGTGAGGGGGAGAGTGGTGAGGGGGAGAGTGGTGAGGGGGGAGTGGTGAGGGGGAGAGTGGTGAGGGGGAGAGTGGTGAGGGGGAGAGTGGTGAGGGGGAGAGTGGTGAGGGAGAGAGTGGTGAGGGGGAGAGTGGTGAGGGAGAGAGTGGTGAGGGAGGAGGTGGTGAGGAGAGAGAGTGGTGAGGGAGAGAGTGGTTGAGGGGAGAGTGGTGAGGGGGAGAGTGGTGAGGGGGAGAGTGGTGAGGGAAAGAGTGGTGAGGGGAGAGTGGTGAGGAAGAGTGGTGGTTGAGGGGGAGAGTGGTGAGGGGGAGAGTGGTGAGGGAGAGAGTGGTGAGGGAGAGTAGTGGTGAGGGAGAGTGGTGGTGAGGGAGGAGAGTGGTGAGGGGGAGAGTGGTGAGGGAGAGAGTGGTGAGGGGGGAGAGTGGTGGGGGGAGGCTAGGGCGCGGGGGAGAGTGGGCGAAGGGGCGAGATGTGGTGGAGGTGAGATGAGAGTGGTGAGGAGAGAGTGGTGAGTGCGGGGAGGAGTGGTGAGGGAGAGAGTGGTTGAGGGAGAGAGTGGTGAGGGGCGAGAAGTGGTGAGGGAGAGAGTGGTGAGGGAGAGAGTGGTGAGGGAGAGAGTGGTGAGGGAGAGTGGTGGTGAGGAGAGAGTGGTGAGGGAGAGAGTGGTGAGGGGAGAGTGGTGAGGGGGAGAGGGTGGGGGGAGAGTGGTGAGGGGGGGGAGAGTGGTGAGGGGGGAGAGTGGTGAGGGGAGAATGGAGGGGATGAGTGGGAGGGGAGAGTGGTGATGGGGAGAGTGGTGAGGAGAGAGAGTGGTGAGGGGGAGAGTGGTGAGGGGGAGAGTGGTGAGGGGGAGAGTGGTGAGGGGGGAGAGTGGTGAGGGGGAGAGTGGTGAGGAGAGAGTGGTGAGGGGGAGAGTGGTGAGGGAGAGAGTAGTGAGGGAGAGAGTGGTGAGGGGGAGAGTGGTGAGGGAGAGAGTGGTGAGGGGAAGAGTGGTGAGGGGGAGAGTGGTGAGGGAGAGAGTGGTGAGGGGGAGAGTGGTGAGGGGGAGAGTGGTGAGGGGGAGAGTGGTGAGGGGGAGAGTGGTGAGGGGGGAGAGTGGTGAGGGGGAGAGTGGTGAGGGGGAGAGTGGTGAGGGGGAGAGTGGTGAGGGGGAGAGTGGTGAGGGGGAGAGTGGTGAGGGGGAGAGTGGTGAGGGGGAGAGTGGTGAGGGGGAGAGTGGTGAGGGGGAGAGTGGTGAGGGGGAGAATGGTGAGGGGGAGAGTGGTGAGGGGGAGAGTGGTGAGGGGAGAGTGGTGAGGGGGAGAGTGGTGAGGGGAGAGTGGTGAGGGGTAAGTGGAGAGGGAGAGAGTGGTGAGGGGAGAGTGGTGAGGGGAGAGTGGTGAGGGGGAGAGTGGTGAGGGGGAGAGTGGTGAGGGGGAGAGTGGTGAGGGGGAGAGTGGTGAGGGGGAGAGTGGTGAGGGGGAGAGTGGTGAGGGGGAGAGTGGTGAGGGGGAGAGTGGTGAGGGGGAGAGTGGTGAGGGGGAGAGTGGTGAGGGGAGAGTGGTGAGGGAGAGAGTGGTGAGGGGGAGAGTGGTGAGGGAGAGAGTGGTGAGGGGGAGAGTGGTGAGGGGGAGAGTGGTGAGGGGGAGAATGGTGAGGGGGAGAGTGGTGAGGGGGAGAGTGGTGAGGGGGAGAGTGGTGAGGGGGAGAGTGGAGAGGGGGAGAGTGGTGAGGGGGAGAGTGGTGAGGGGGAGAGTGGTGAGGGGGAGAGTGGTGAGGGGAGAGTGGGGAGGGAGAGAGTGGTGAGGGGGAGAGTGGAGAGGGGGAGAGTGGTGAGGGGGAGAGTGGTGAGGGGGAGAGTGGTGAGGGGGAGAGTGGTGAGGGGGAGAGTGGTGAGGGGGAGAGTGGTGAGGGGGAGAGTGGTGAGGGGGAGAGTGGTGGTGGTGAGGGTGAGTGGTGAGGGTGAGGTTGAGTGGTGAGGGTGAGTGGTGATTGGTGAGGGTGAGGGTGAGTGGGGAGGGTGAGTGGCGGTTGTTAGTGGTGATTAGTGAGGGGTGAGTGGTGAGGGTTAGTGGTGAGCATGAGTGGTGAGGGTGAGTGTTGAGCGTGAGTGGTGAGTGGTGAGGGTGAGTGGCGGTTGTGAATGGTGATTAGTGAGGGGTGAGTGGTGAGGGTGAGCGTGAGTGGTTAGGGTGAGTGGTGAGGGTGAGCAGTGAGGGTGAGCAGTGAGGGTGAGTGGTGATTGGTGAGGGTGTGATTGGTGAGGATGAGTGGTGAGTGGTCAGGGTGAGTGGTGAGGGTGAGTGGTGAGCGGTGAGGGTGAGTGTTGAGGGTGAGTGGTGAGTGGTTAGGGTGAGTAGTGAGGGTGAGTGGTGAGCGTGAGTGGTGAGTGGTGAGCGTGACTGGTGAGGGAGAGTGGTGAGGGAGAGTGGTGAGGGAGAGTGGTGAGGGAGAGTGGTGAGGGAGAGTAGTGAGTGGTGAGGGTGAGTGGTGATTGGTGAGGGTGAGTGGTGAGGGTGAGTGGGGAGGGTGAGTGGCGGTTGTTAGTGGTGATTAGTGAGGGTGAATGGTGAGAGTGAGTGGTGAGTGGTGAGGGAGAGTGGTGAGTGAGAGTGGTGAGGGTTAGTGGTGAGGGTTAGTGGTGAGAGTGAGTGGTGAGGGTGAGTGGTGATTGGTGAGTGGTGAGGGTGAGTGGTGAGGGTGAGTGGTGAGGGAGATTGGTGAGGGAGGTTGGTGAGTGGTGAGTTGTGAGGGTGAATGGTGAATAGTGAGTGGGAGTGGTGAGTGGTGAGGATGAGTGGTAAGGGTGAGTTGTGAGTGGTGAATGGTGAGGGTGAATGATGAGTACAGTCAATATGCACTGCTGTTATCATACCAGGTACCACCACCACAATATGTACTCCTCTCATCATAGCAGATACCACCACAGCAGTATGCACTGTTGTAATCATAGCAGGTACCACCACAAGTCAGTATACACTGCTGTCATCATAACAGGTACCAACACAGCAGTATGCACTGCTGTAGTGATAGCAGGTACGACCTCAGTCGGTATACACTGCTGTAGCGATAGTAGATACTGCTATCGAGTTGGTAGATACCGCTATAGTAAATACTAAAACAGTCAGTATATACCACTACAGTCAGTCAATACTGCTACAGTCAGTATATACTACTATACAGTCAGTACATACTGCTACGGTGAGTAGCTACTAGAGTCAGTAGATACTATTATAGAGTGAGTAGATACTGCTATAGATTTTGTAGTTACTACTATAGTCAGTGGATACACTATAGAGTCAGCAGATACTATACAGTTAGTCGTTACGAGTATATAGTCGGTAGATACTACTGTAGGCCCAGTAAATACTACTATGGTCAGTAGTTATTACAGTCACTAAATACTACTACACAGTCAGTAGCTACTACTGGCTCAGTAGATACTACGGTACAGTCAGTAGATACTACTACAGAGTCAATAGATACCACTTCCTCTGTTGTATGTAAGGTGTTGTTAGTATATATACCTACGAGGGGTAAAGATATTTTTGAGGGGGGGGGAGACCACAATTTTCGGAAACATTTTGACATCAACTATTTACCCCACACTTTCTACAATTTTTTGGACTTGTGAAAGCCTCTTATATATTTGTTGGTGGAAAAATGTACAAACAGCCCACCGGACTTTGACAATACCTTAGTATCTGTGTATATATATGTAAGGTTTTTAAGAAAGATATTTTTCACCCGGGCAAAGCCGGGTACTTCCGCTAGTGGGTAATAAAATACAGGACAGAAAAGTAGATTTTTCAACGTAAAAAATAACATGAATAACGGATGCTTACTAACATCTCAGGTGTAATTTTTCGCGAATGCTTCTGTCATGTGCTTTTGAAGATCACTCGAAACTTTTTGGCTTTTTCACATAAACCCGCAGTTCCACCGTGCAGTTAAAAAAACTGCTGCCTAATTATCATTGTTAAATAATTTAACCTTCATCTATAGTTTATAAAGATTGGCTATAAGGTAAAGGTGCAGCCCTGCAATTTCACGCTCATGCCACTGCTGGCAAAAGAGTGTCCACTAGAGGGAGCACGAGAAAGTCCCTCTATGTATGTATGTACGTTGAACTTCTTTCGCACCGTACGTAGCCAACCGTGGTGTATTTTATTGCAAGTATATGTAATTTTTTTTTACAATTATTAATCCACTGTTGGATTAAGACCTCCCTATATGCTTGGCTGTTTGACCAAGTTTCACCGCACTGCTCAGTGCAGGTTGGTAAACAGCGGGAGCCCAAGGCCAGTTCATATATCAATTGTTGGCTACACACATCTTAGAAGAGGTGGGAGTACGCACACATTACCCCTATACACGCGTGATCTGCCGATCAGACCGTCTGTGGGGTGCCCATTTAAACTGCTGGGTGGACAGAGGGGGGGGGGGCAATTTATGTCTTTAAGCTTGGGAACCTAATATTTGTCAAGCTATTTGCGTGTACCTTAATGCCGCCGGTCTCCTGTGCAACAATGGCTATGAAGGAAGTTGCTTTTGAAGAAATATTGGCGGAGGCATTGGTCCTCGCAATTCCTGTGCGGCCCTGCATGGTGAAATTCACCCCATCTCCAACCGCTTCCAACACAGTGTACTCTCCCAGGCCATTGAAGGTGTACGAGACATTGTCCAGGGTCGTGATGTGAGGGTCGCCAATGAGAAATGCTGCAATGAAAAAGTAACCAAGTTTACAATGCCGGATCGCTGGGGTCATAGCGCAGTATGCTAACCATTGCACCACCATTCCACCCAATTCATGTTTTTGTTTATATTCATGGAACTATAAAAACATTTTTACGATATTCAATTTGACATTGGGTGGTGCTTATCTGGCCCGAAACCAGGATGAACGTTCCATATGACTGAGTTTACACTTATGATGGGCTCAGTTGATTGCAGACCAAGATCAATATGTGAACTCTATTAATATATACCGTGTATCTTGTGAATATTCCTCATTCAAGTTTATTTCAATGCCTGAAATGGAGACTCATGTTGCAGCATATCCTGTAATCATAGTTGGAAAGCACTGGTCTTTATATATCAAGCAATGATCTTTGAAAGCTTAGCCCATGGGTGACCACATTGGACATCTGTGAAAAAGAGCTTTATAACTCATCGGCTTCCACCAGTGTAAAAACATTTTGATTCTGAACATTTAAATAAACGTAATGCTTAACAGATGACTCTTACCAGCAAAGGGTGGCCTGTAGAAAGCACATTGGTTGGGAGGGCGTTTCTGTTGGTACAGACTGCAAAGCCTGGCATCTCCAGACTGGCAACATGATTGATATGGTTGTACTTCATTTGCTGAAAACAACAACAAAAAAGTGTTTGTGTGTAACATCATTGACTTAGTTCTCCACTGTGTTTTCGGTTTGTACTGTGTATTGTTCAACGTGAGGTCTGACGTTTTGCTCAATGTGCTGGGACCTTGTTCAGGAACTGAGAGCTTCTTCAGGAGCTGAAAGAAGCTCCCAGCACATGAAGGTAAATACCATAGTGAGCAATACGCGGTGCAATCCGAAAACGGACGAAACAACGCAACCGATATAAACTTACGCAGGAGTAAGGAGTAATAATTTTAGAAATCTATCGCCACATTTATAAAAGGCAAAAAAAACCCGCTGGCAATCCAGGTACACAATTCCCTAAGCACTTGTAACCACATCACTTAAAGCTTTCATGACTGCAGGAATTCATATTCCTTGGGTCTTTCGGTAAAGCCATGTAGATAGAAAAAATATTGTAAAATAAAAATAATAACAATATCACGACGTTTCGATCGCAACACAAACAATCGTCATCAGGTGAGAGCTGCTGAGGTAAAAAAAAGCGCTGCTAAGGTAGGGATTTATAAAGGTTTGAGATGGGTGTAGCCCAAGGGTCAGTGGGCGGGGCTAGAGATTAAATGTGCATGTAAATGTAATATAGGAGAAATCTTGATAAACGAAGTTGTGGGGGTGGCCATTGTATTGTGAGAGATTAGCATAATATTAGGGTTTTTCCCCTTTTTTCTGGCAACAAAACTGAAACCTTTTACAAGGAATCATGTGTGCATTAACCACAATACTTGTGGTCTAATGATGAAAGAGATTTGCTTGTAAATGTAAGCTAGGGAGAGCTCGGAAAGGTGCATCGCCACCTGGAGGCAACGGTGGCTGTGTTAGTGAATGTAACTCAAAGAGTCGAAGATAACTGCTAACACAGGTAGGCAGGAAAGGAACAACACAGCCAGTTATGACCTAAACTAGTTAATAACGTCCTTCCAATGATTGCTCAGTTTGTACCCATCTTCTCGGTTGAAATTGTGTCTGTTTATATAATATCTGCATGGCTTCATGGACGAATCTTTGCTGATAGCCAGTAGGTTTGCAGAGTACCTTCGTCTTGGCAAAATCAATTTCGTGTGTGCCCACAGCGTTAAAATAATGATCAGCCACGGCTGAGGTATTAGTCCTACCGTGTTTCAAATCTGCCTTATGTTCACGAACCCAGTCCGAGACATGTCGCTTAGTTTCCCCAATATAACTGCTGCCGCAGACACAGCTTAGTTTGTAGACACCGGGGTATTGCATGTCAGGGATCACATCCTTTATAGATGGGATCAAATCACGAATTTTATGTACTGTGTTGAATCGTACCTGGAGCTTGTGTTTGCTCATGATTTGGGAAATATTTTTGGTGACCCCTGCTATGTATGGCAAGGTGATGGTTTTGATTGGGTCCTCAGATGGTTCTTTCCCACAGCCACCATTATCTGTTAGTAAATGGCGGCTTGCCATCCTTTTCCACCTCCAGGTGGCGATGCTCTTTTCAGATCTCTCTCGATCGCAACACTAGCAATCGTGATAATTTACAAGCAAATTTCTTACATTGACATGCTAATCTCTTACAATACAATGGCCATTCCCACAACTTCGTTTATCAAGATTTCTCCTATCTTACATTTACATGCAAATTTAATCTCTAGCCCCGCCCACTGACCCTTGGGCTACACCCGTCTCAAACCTTTATAAATCCCTGCCTTAGCAGTGCTCCCGCCATATATTTTTCCTACCTCAGCAGCTCTCACCTGATGATGATTGCTTGTGTTGCGATCGAAACGTCGTGATCTTGTTATTAATTTTTTTTGTCTACGTTGCTTTACCGAAAGACCCAAAGAATATGACTGACAAATGTAATAATCCTGAACTTGTAATCATTCAAATATGAGTCAAGCATTTTGCCAAAGTGCCATTAGGCCAGGAACAATAACAGGTGTAAATAACGTGAGTGTAAAGAAGGTAATAAAATTGCATATCATAGAAACAAAAACCTTGTTCTTGCACTGTCCCGCAGAGTCTATATTCATTACTTTTCACAACAGAAGGGCCTCCACTTTAGGAGGCTCTAAGAGGCCATCTCTAAAGGCTAATTTAATCTACGGTTCCATGCTTGCCAGACAATTTGGAATTGGTGGCAGTACCCACATTCTACCCCACCACACACTAACAGCATATCTACCTAGCTGTGGTGTTCCGATTTATACGCTGGGTGGACAGCGGCGGTGGGAGATTTAAGCCAATTCACAATACAACTATTTTGCACTATTAAAATCACTTACTCGAGTAAAGTTGAATGTCTTGCTGCAGAGTGTTGGTGATCCAAGGGGTAGGAAGATACCTCTCATACGACCCAGACACAAGGGCCCCAAATGTGTTGTAGTGGCATCTCACCCCTCCACCAAATCTATCTTTATTGAAGTTCTGCAAGCTCATAAATGAACCTGGCACAAATACAATTTTTCAGCATTAACACGATAGAATTTGAACGGAGGGGGGGGGGGGGGCGAGCGGGAATCGCAGTGGTTATATTCACATTTCAGCATTGACATATATTGGACTAAAGTGATATTGCCATATAAATATAAACAGATTCACCTATATATTTTCTTCTGGTACAGAGATGAGTGTATAATCAATTGTGCAACAGAGACAGATAACATCAGGAACAGAAATCGCTTAGTTTCAATTACATCATAAACTGCAACATATTTTTTCATCACTAAAATGCAGGACAAAGGATAATCTAACAATTAATGGTTTATACAATGTAATTTATGCAGTGACTTATTTTAAACATTTCCCAAAAGCAAATTAATGTTCAGCCTCACCTGTGACATTTAGAGGCTGGTATCCATATCTGGATATGAGGTCCCCAGTGATGTAGGACATGTCAAACTGTCCTTGCCACAAAGAGCAGGGGCAGGTAGTGAATCTGCTGATGGAAGGCAGGACTAACTCATTCCTATACCAGTCCATACACTTGCGCTTTGGATTAGTGGTCACAGCAAAGTTTGTATCCAGTCTGTAAGCCCATCTTCCTGTTAGACCTGCAACACATTCATTTATTGACGTAATATGTAATCTAGAAACTCACCATCATTATTGACAAAAGGATTGGAAAATTAGAAATAAAAAAGCCACATGTTGACCACAACACTTAGTCAACACAATGTCATGGACAAATGAAGTGCCACTTCGCTGCAGGAAGCACCGTGTCATTTATTTTAAACATAATACATTGTAACAAAATTATTGCCACTCGCGACGTTTTACCCATGGCACACCAAGGATGTAATGCATGGGAAAAGAAAAATACAACGGTAAAAAGGAAAAGAGAAGAGAAATAATGGAGAAATAAGAGGAAAAGAATGGAAATTAAATGGCAAAACGTGACCATATGGTCAGGAAAGATGAGGAGAAGGTGGAGGCCACATAAGGGCCTCGATGCCTCACGGAGCAGCATCTGTTTTCACAGGGGGAGGGGAGACGGGAGGGATTCAGAGTGCAAGTAGTCACAAAGAGGTCACGTGATTTCCTAGAGGCTTGAGCTCATTTAGATATGTAAATTTACCCAGGAAATTCTTGTTTAACAAATACTCTGAATGTTTGGCATGTGAGAGGAAACCAGTGATACCTGTCTTACCAGGAACTCTTACGAACCAAGTAGTAACCCAGTTCAATCCTGGTTATCTTCTGAGATCAGGCAAGAAAATAGAGGGGAATTGCTAATAGGAATGATGTGCCAAGTTACAAAAATTGTTATAGGATGCCATGGTAAGTTTGTGGTAAAATGTCTATTTGGCAGTGATAATCACCACAATAACAAAACATGAATAGCAACATTTAACTAAATGAACTGTGGTATTTAACATGTAGGCTTTCGCAACCAATATCGTCCATAATAGAGTTTGTTTTGGGTTGGATCACGTAAATATATAAATGTGTTATTAAAACCCGCCACCACCCAACACAGCCAACTAGTAAGGGTTGTCACGTAAACAGAACATGCCAATTCGTCACTAGTACAGCACACCGGTGTGTTGGAGAGCCAAGCCACAACATTTACAATCTGAGCACGACGTTTCGCCAGTAATTACAACTAGCTTCATCAGGCTGTGTCGGGTGTGGTATTAAAATACACAAATGCTAAAATATTAGAATTGTATGAAGATGCTGCTTCAATTAATTTTTTAAAGAAATTAAAATAATAACTACTTATTCTATGATACTGCATTGGCAGTTGTCAAGAGAGGCCTACGTGCTGTGAAGAAGAGCCGTTGCCCTCTCCGTGCTGTGAAGAAGGGCCGTTGGTCTCTCTGTGTGCTGTGAAAAGGGCCGTTGGTTGGCCTCTCTGTGTGCTGTGAAAAGGGCCGTAGCCCTCTGTGCTGTGAAGGGCCGTTGCTCAAAATATCACCTTAAACAATAACTGGTTTCATAGACACCCTGTAACAAGCTACTGTTCAGGGACCTATAGATCTATCACACTCAGCGGGACGGCACTAGCGTAAGCTAAAAAAATCCAGTTGTGGTTGTGTGCTTGACTTTTACGAAGACTGGTTGTGAAAGATCCATGCTCCTTGTTTAAAATTAACCTTTACATGAACTTGCAAGGAATGTGTGCTGCATCATGCAAGTGGTAAACCAACCCACTTTTATGGAGAAGCAACGTGTAAAAAAACAAATGCTTCACGTAAAAATAACACATTTTGATGTTTTACATATGGAAAAGGAAATCCACATTTTGTATCAAACAGTGCAGTCCCGGAGGGTGAGTGGTCACCATATATGGACATTTTGTGTAGCAATGTCATCAACCATGATGGCTTTTTTTAACTAAACACTGCCTATTACATAATTTCAGTTGTTAAATGGTGATTGACTCAACCCATAATTCCTTTGGGGGTAAATAAAGTGAGTACCCTGCCATATAATTTGGCTCTGGAATATAAAATGAGCACTTGCCCACGTTCTATTGTACGGGAAATTAATTGATCTTTTTACGTTAAAATAAAATCACATGATAAACTCTGAACTAATGCCTAACCAAATCGAGTACAATTAATATTAATATTAATGCCACGAAGGTTATGGCTCAATTTCCCCCCATTTAATTTATCTCCTTATTGCTTGCTCATAAAATGTTATACACATGTTTGAGATGTTGACAAATTGAAGAAATCTATTTACCAAATCAGACATTTAGATGGTAGAAATCAACACGGCAATGTCGGACCACATAGAAGCCTGAGAACTTCCATATACAGATTGTCCTGTCCCATCCACCAAATAATCCAGACGTGGTACCCTCATATTCACGTGTGCTAATACATAAAACTTTTCTAAAAATTCATAAAAAAAGATATATTGTTGATGAAAAAGAAGCCATTACTTTTATGGGAAGTCTTCTCCTACCAAATAACCTTCATATTAAGTTAAACATTGCTATCAATAATGAGAGGTTTATAAACATTTTTTTTCTCTCCCTCAAAAGCCACAAGCCCTGTTTGTATTTCCCCAAATACGCCTCGACATCTCCGTATGTATAACAAAACCTTAAGTGAACATAATGGGAAATCCACAACAGGTGGAATATTTTTGTTCCCTATATATGGGAAGAGCAACGTATTGCAAGTCATGTCAGAAAACACTACGTTGATTTCAATGTATTAAAGTGTACAAATGAATTACCAGTATTGTTTCCAATGACCGTATCTGGGCGATAGCGAGCTGGATTTGTGGATCTTGACAGTGCGTCATTGTAATAGAACCGGTTTGATCCACTGTGAGGGGCGAATAAAGACACGAGAGAATCGTTATCACTGATTTCTTTGAAGCAAGTTGACAGCTATATGAGTATTTCATGCTATAACCAGTATTACAAGAAATACAAGTAAACAAATATATATTGAGCTTATCTTTAAAAATCTAAAAAATCTTCGTGACCACGTTCACGGTGTTTTCTGCACACCACTGTGTTCCATGACATTGCAACAATGACAAATATTCTTTGAGCATTCCAAGACCAGTGGTCCGGTCACCGTGGTTGCCACAAACACAATGACTGTTGACAACATTGCACCCCACCTATTGAATCCCATGAGGGCATTGTTAGAGCCGGGGTCTCTGGCTTCTGGCCTCCATTGCATGCCTCCATCTTTGAAAAATATGAGGCAGAACGAGGAGTCGCCATCCGTGCTCAGAACGGCCTGGAAGGTGTTCGTCTGGAAGTGAAACAGTACCGTCAACTGATTAGTCATTCATTCCGAGTAGACTATCAATTGTTGGACATACGAGACTGAGTTGTAAGAGTATAAATTAAGTCGTGGCGGGTGATAGAGCATACCACTATATAAAAAGTAGTAAAGTATGGATGGATAAATACACAATGTCGACTAATATATTGAAATGAGCAAGGACATGCTATTTTTATATGGAATTATAGCATGTGATATTTACCTCAGTCCAAACTATAGATTCTATGACGATCCAAGAGCTAGAAATATCGCAAATAAATATGCATGCTCTGTTGCCACTTTGATTTAACCTTGATCATGAAAACTGTTTTTTTAAGCCGTTTAATGATGTTTCTAGCACACACAAAACTTGACTAGTCCCTGCACTGCTCTCGATAGTCAAGCTATCGAGAGCAGTGCAGCCATTATTGATAAGAAAAAAAACTCAAGAGCTGCTGAGATAGGCCACGATGATGTGTTGACATACAACACAGAATTGTCTATTGGTTGCAATCTGAGATAAAGTCCAGTTCGTATCAAGGGTACAGTCCTGATAACCTTGGTGCTACACAGATTGAGACACATTTATAGTTCTGCAATTTAATTTATGTACATGTGGAGGGGATTTTTTCAGAAAAAAATAAAACATTTCTTCAAAACATGTGGTCAATGCAATGCACTGTATTTCATAAGTGTTTATCCATCTCTAAAAAGTACCATGAAAAAACATTTCATATGGCACCTTCTTGAGGTGGTTACCTACACCTGTGGCACGATTTTTCTAAAAACAATGTATCTGTCAAAATAGTGAACCTGATAAAAATTGTAAACAAACTTAAACTTCAAGTTATTTTTTTTATCAAAGGTACGCCGATGCGCCTGCCATACATGTATGTACAAGAAAGCCATGTTTACAGACATGTACTCACCACTATGACTTCTGGTGTGTACCTATTCTTATCAATAATTTATGATAAAAAAAAAAACCTGCCTCTTATAATTTTACTTGCACAAGAAAGCTGCAGTACTAACATAAACATAACAGAAGTCCATCATTCAAGATACAGTACTAATGCAGGTACAAGTAAAACGTTGACCTTTCTGCTGGTTTCACAGATTCGTTATTCAATATTATTGATGCAACTCGACCTGGATGTACTGTATAATTGTGCTTGAGATTGGGAACATTGATGTCAGGAGGAGGACATTAATTTTCCTTCGACAGTCCCTCAAACGTCAGGCATGACTTGCTTACACTCTGGTTGTGTGTGTTCTAAGATGGCTAAAAAGCCAAATGCGAGACCCGCAAACTCTTCTGAGGTTTGGGCAGGTGGTACTTGAGGGCTCGAGTGAGTCGGTCGGTTGAGCTGCAGCCGCGCTCCTTTCGCTGCCTGCATTTGACTTCCTTGTGCCCTCACAGAAGAGACTCAAAGTGTGCAGTGCAGACCTGAATGCTACACATCCAGTGTGTGCGGTCTGGAGCCAAGGTCTCCCTGTGTACCAGCCAATTGATAAGCATTTAGAATAAAAAAACGAAATATTACCGTAGTGCTACAATTGTAAAATAATGGTTAGCTAATAATTTTATTTTAGTGCTCGTAAAGGGCAGTATTAAAAAAGAGGTGGTTAAAGGGGATGAATCAGGAGTTTTTATTGGTTTGCGAAGATGTAAAAAACTTGTTTCCCCATTCCAGAGGTTCTAACTCTATATGTCATGACACGAACTGACCAAGTGAGATAAAAACTCTCGTGTGACGGATGACCTTATGTTATCTTTATGAAAACGTGTTTTTTGTTAAAAATGTTCCATACAGGTATCAAAAATAGAATGTCAGTCTCTGTACCTCGTGCACAGAACTGGGGGAACTGGAATTTGCTGATAATTTACATACAAAATGCATTTCCTCTTGGTTTATTCCACACGGTATGCAGGTTCACCACCCACTCGCCTAACTTCTTGCCAGCTGCAACCCCACCCTGTAATCTGGTTAGAGCCACCACGCTTGCCTTCAACTGAACAATGTCAAAATTGAGCGTTGTTATATTTCACAAGATACCTTGAATCAAGGATGTTTTGTACACCTTAGTACAAACATTTTTGTGAGTTTCTGACAAGCTGCGGATATATGTATTATGCTAACGTATGGAATATGGTGACATGGCCTTTAGTATTATATGATATGGTGGCATGGCCCGGTGTTATGGGATATGGATCAAGCTGTGGACCCTGGCAATAACAGTCAAAAACCATGGTTATCGAGGGACATGGAATTTAATTGTACGAAACATTTGGTGAGACTTGTACAATGATACTTGCATTGTACAGCATTCCCACCACTTGCTCAGGGCTCTAAACAGGAGAAGAGTACCACCGCAATGCTCATTTGAGCCATGAAATCACTATGACTTTTGTATGAAATCACTGGGATGGCCTTACGTATTTAAAGTTGCTCCTGGCAGGCACAGCCGGGGCATCCACCCAGGTGATCTTCAACATCCATGTGGGTTCATAGCCACGTGTGTCTGACTGGCTGCTAAAGTTGGCTCGGATCTGCTCCATCACCTTCCCACGAAGGTTCAAGGCATCAGTTTTATTGCTGAGGCCTTGAGTAAAATCATACTCCTGTCAAGAAACAGTGGACATTTGTAGTTAGCTGCAATAAATAATTGTGATGCATTTTCCTATCAGAACACACACTGCAGAATGAACAGACACATCACGGTAAGTCGATTGGCAGGTTGAGTGTCGTGGGTGAAAGCGTAGGTATTCACACCTCTTCCAGGATATCTTGTCCGTGTGGAAGATTAGGCCACACACACTCCAAATGGGCTCTCTAGAGCGCCCTCTAGTGGACGTCATTCAGCCAAATACCGTGTATGCAACCCAGATCAAGATAAACACTGTGTGTGTTTTGTAAAGCCACTGCTGCTTCTCCATGCCGTGTCGACCAGAGATTTTGTGTTGTTAGCATGTACCATGACGCTGGTCAGTGCGGGCTGGTGAACAGGAAGGGCCCAGAACTGGTTCAGATAGAACTCGCCACGGATGTTAGCCGAATCAAAGTTAGGTCGCCAAGTTCATAGTGCAGAATATTAAACCACTGTACTATCACTTCCCAATACAATGACAGTACATGTTAATAAAAAATCGCAGTAATGTATAATTTAATGTTATGACATACAGAAACAAAAGCCAGTGTTAAGCTATAGTGGTGCCTGGGAGTGTAATTGGAACTCAATGAATTATGCACACCATGTCAATGATTTGTTTCCTATTCAAGGTTACTTTTAACAAACCTGATAGTACATCGCCCCAGTGTCTGAGGAGAAGTCAGCATCATCCCAGAACACGGCAATCATAGGGATTGAAGAGGTATCTGTAAAACCGTTGATGTAGGGGTTGGGATAGGCAAACCTCGTTGAATCTTCGACATCTTTGAAAATAATCAGGCCATTGTCTGTAAACTGTAGATCAGAAGCATAAACAAGATACCATGAGTACAATTTATATTAAAAAGATAACCGTGTATTAATGGTATAATCCTTTTTTTTGCTGTCAATCATCACCTTAACTGAAATCACCTTTGTCAGCATCATCAACACCATCCTACTTACACGTAATTGTAATAAACTAAACTGCAAAACAATTTTTATTTTACCTGGTAAGGCCCACTGAGCTACATAGCTCTTTTTCAGAAGAGACCTGGCCACAAATGATAGGTCAACGAAGTGACTTATCATGTGGAAATGTATAGCAGCCAAATACTCTAAATGCATGTTGATTCTAAATATGGAGAGAAAACCGGAGGACTCGGAGACAAATCCACATGACCACGGCGAGAGAGAGAACATGCAAACTCCAAATATACAGGTGTCAGAGTCAGGATTTTACCCACAACCTCCTGTATACCAGGCGAGGTAGTTTATACCTTACCACCGTGGTGGCCCATGCCAACACCATTGGCTCTGTGAGGTGATAATTGTGTTTGCACTTAACAATGCAAATTAATAAATGTCAAGCAACGCATGAAATAAAAAACAAATACATGTTCTTAAGGATTATGCAAAAAAATGCACTCGCATACACGTGCTATTAATTTATGTATAAAGTATAGAGTTTAAACATAACTGGCTACTGTACTTACATACAACCGCTGGTAGAACTTGGAGGCAAAAGGAAATCCATACGGAGGTGAGAAGAACTGAGACACTGAATCCGTGGAATTGGGCTTCATAGTTATGTCACCCACAGTTGGTCCATATTCGAAAAGTCTTTTCTCTACATATGCAAAATAAACACAAATTGCCACATTTTACAATGAATCCTTGCAGTCACGAAAGCTTCAAATCTAGAATTTTACAGTGCGTTCATAAGTGACATACCAGTGGATGTTGGTCTTCAAAATACTTTCCTGGTTAATTGTCATAGTCTGCAATTAACTTTACACGAGCTGTAATGTTTCAATTCGATTTGGGTTCTGCATGTGCTGTGTAGGATTTACAATGGCAGGTCATGCACGACTAACCTAATTATCTGGAGTAATGGGAGGTAAGGGACTGCCCGGATTAAAAAAAATCACAAAGCTAGGATCGTGCAAAACACGTGTAAATCAGGCTATCAAAACATTGACATAATGGGGGTGATGGCATTGAATGTGTCATCTGTTTTTGGTTTACTTGCCGACGCATTTGCAGTCACGTGAGCACCGAGTCACTGACCATCAACGAGTGAGGAGCTTCTAATAATTCAACCATAAGGACGTCAACTAGACATCGTCACTACATGTGACGATATCTAGCTGCTTGACTACCATAGAAAGCAGCTGCTTGGACTAAATATCCCACTCATTCCCTGATGGCATGCAAAGGCTGGCATTTCAAAATGAGGTTATAGCAGTGCACAGAAACAGCAGTATGGGCAATACCAACTGCACGACACGTACAACATTGTACGATGTGCAATATCAAGAGAACTATGATTCCTTACCAATGCATTGAACACCATCTCCCTCGTAACTGGCATTGCATTTGCAGCTGTAGGAGCCCGCTGTGTTGGTGCAGGTGGCACGCGTGGCATGACAGGGATGCGCTATGCACTCGTCAACATCTACACACGTGCAGTAAACACAAACGTGCATGCAGATGACATGCAACCGCACACGCAAAGATCCACAGAGTACAAATGCTCGAATACACAAATGCACCCATACCTATGTACAGTAGTGCTAATACTTACGCGATCCCGGGGGTAGAAATTCCCACGGGATTCCCAGGTGACTGTTAAAGATGACGTCACGAAGGAAAGGAAAGAGAAGGCGGGGCGTGAGAGAGCAAGAGGGAACGCCCAGGTGGCGATAGAGTGTTGACGTCACCAGATGAGGCGGGGCGATCGGGGCGGCTTCCTGGTGGTACAGTATTTGGGAGTGGTCGTGCGTGGGGTGAGCTCGTGCGGAAAATAAAGAAGAGTGTGTCGTCTGAATCTTCATCTATGGACTCATTACAAATATATAAATAACCCTATATACGTCTTCGGATATATCAATATACGAGGGCCCTTCAATTTTTTTATGATCTGATTGAACACTGGCACAATTCATGCGGCTACTTGGTCGAAATATGGTAGTTTTCACTTAAAATGGGGGTCCATTCCATATTTGTTTTTATTAAAGTGTGGCTGATTCTTGACAAAAACTCACCCTTTCTGCCACTACAGTAATTGCGGAAATTCCCCAAAACGGGGTTAAATCAAGATTAAGGAAGAATCTATGGAAAAAATATTCTGCAAATTGTCATCAAGAAGAATCCTATTAATCATGCTTTGGCAGCATGGCTGCCACATTTTTATGACCGCTTTACCCAGCAAAATCTCACTAAGTCTCATGCCTTTTTCAGAAGGGTCCTGCCAAGTTTTCGCAGTAGTGGGCAATGTTACTGCGACGACTCCCAATTGATAAATTTGCAGGTAAATTTTCACCATCGGGATTTTTAGTCAATGCCAATTACATTGTATGTTTTATTTTAGCTATGGGAGAAAATAGACGCCATATAGTGCAGAACATGGGGAGAACATACAAACGCCATATAGTGCCCTAGTCAGGATTCGAAACTGGGCCCTTCTTGCTACGAGACAATTGTTACCACTGCGTCTACCCTGCCGCCCTGTATAACAATGTCTTGTCCATTGCAATTTTATATTTTAAGCATTGTATTTTATTTGTCCCCCCTTTGCATGAGAAACAACTATACCAAGTAATGTACAGAAAATGGAGAGGCAATATATAAAAACAACATTACATAAATCAATATTATCTGTAACAGACATTCATGTCTCCTGCTCAGGTTTTTCTTAACACAACCCGTTTTAAGGAAACAGAAACAAACATGTCTTACCTTCTGAGCAGTTCACACCTCTCCATCCACTCCGGCAAATACAAGTGTAGCTATTATCACCATCCAAACAGGTTCCACTATTTTGGCATACACTTCCAGCACACTCGTCAATATCTATTTGGACAAATTAAAACATTCACATTTCAGTGGCAGTTCCCATGTATATGTTTTATTCTAATTGTGTTTGTCATATGAATATGGTTATAAGCTGTGTTTTCTGTTTTGGGTCCACCAGATGCTGCCATGGTATATTGGTGAGACCTATGTGAATGTATGTTGAACTTCTTTCGCACAATATGTAGCTAACCATGCTAAGCGGATGTGTGGGGGGGAAGGACAACAGACTGAACACCAAAAGCAGTCCTCGAGAAATGAGTTTCAATTTAGATTTAAAAGAGCATAGCTCCAGTGACTTCCTAATGTCACAAGGAAGAGCATTCCAGACGGCTGCAGAAGCGCATCTGAAAGCACCGCGCGATGCAGTGACCATCTTTGTTCGACGGGGTGGGGGGGGGGCTTCTTGTACCATAGTCGCCAGAGTTCGATTTGAACTCCCTGTGCGGCAAGCGAAACAATGCTACACGTTTCATAAATCCCCCCCGCATCTGCCCACCAAGCAGTACGAGTGGGTACACAATAAATACATTGGAAGGTCGCGTGCAGTGGAGTAAAGCGTGGGTACTTCAAAGGCTCCCTCTGTTGCAAGCCCCCTTCTACCAGCAGGGAATTACAGGGCTGCAAATTTCCTTACGTCATGTAATCTAAGCAAAGTAAATATCTACCGTGCAGAGGGCAATACTCACTTTGATGGCAGAATTTTCCTGTGTATCCCAATTTACAGTTAATGCACGTGAATGCATTTACCAAGTCACTGCAGGATCCTCCATTCAGGCAAACGACGTTAATGCAGTCATCAATATCTAAACAAAATGATTACAATTAGTGTTCGTAGGATACATATACGTCTTACGGATTTACACTCTAAATAGGGGTTCAACGATATTCTGGTTCATCAAACTTGATTCTGAAGCCTCACAACACATGCATCGAATTAAGTTGGTAAGATTCGAGATTTATGGCACTACTCTTAATCTCATCCACAGCTCTCTCATCTCTCTCTATTCTTCAGCTCTTTTTCATCTCACTAATTTGCACTTCTTTATGTCTTGGCGAGTTGCATCTCTTGGCAGGCCAGAGATTAGCAGACCACGTCAAGAGCCTTCAAGAATGACATTTGCCCTGTGGCCTGTCTAAGTACGCTAGGATATTTATGATTTGCATTCATTGGGTGCTGAAATGCTGTAACAACTTAAAGTGACTGACATCACGTGCCTTCTCAACTCTACCCCCAAGGCCCTGCTGCAGGCTAACCAAAGGGGACACCCAGTGGCAGCTGTCCCTGTGTGGCACAAGATATAATATGCAGTGGGGATATTGGTCTGATGGGGAAACATGGGTGTAACGAATGTAATGGGGACTTACTTTCATTGCATAATTTTCCGGTCCATCCAGAATCACATTGGCAGATGTAATTATTAGTTTGATCTATGCATCTTCCGTGAATGCATGGAGAGGATACACAATCATCGATATCTACAAATAAATAAAACATGTCATGTGTGTGCATGAACAGTTACAATCATGAAAAATATTGCCTTTTGAAAATAATTATTTAATAAACTACCCGTCACGTTTGTATGTATGTTGATGTATGGATGTTGAAATATAAAATAACATAACTGGTGCTCACTAACATCTCAGATGTAATTATTTTTTTGCTAACACTTTTGTCATGTGCTGCTGAAGATCGCTCAAACGTTTTGACTTTTTCACGTAACCCCAGTGTCCCACTACGCCGTTAAAACTGCTGCCTAATTATCAATCTTAAATAATTTATGACAACTTGAATTATAGTTTATAAAACTGGGCTATAAGATAAAGGTGCAGCCTTGCAATTTTCATGCTCACGACACTGCTGGTGGAAGTGCCTCCACTGGAGGGAGCATGAAATAGTCCCCCTATGTTAGCATGTCTGTATGTTGAATTTCATTCTCACCGTACATAGCCAACTGTGCTCATCGGAGGTGCGGGGGAAGGACTACATTAAACACAAAAAAAGCAGTTCTAAAGAAATGAGTTTGGCAATCTAGATGATTTAAAAATGCATAGCTCCAGTGGCATCCTAATATCGGAAGGAAGAGCGTTCCAGATGGCCGCAGAAGCGCATCCGAAAGTGTGCGATGCAGAGACCCTCTTTGTTCGATGGGTTGTCGGGTTCGTAACACAGCGCGCTAACTCGCTACAGTTGTGAACGTTTGAGATCCTTGGGCCTAGTGTCACCAGGACAACACGTGCCTTGTTAACTGTCTGAGATCCCCCCCCACCACTAACTGTTGACATGCCAATACAGGGAATTATAAATACTCAATATGTGTTGTGTATTTTGAAGAGTTACACGACAAGATTGTAATGCACTTACTCTCTGTGCAGTTCAGCCCACTCCAGCCTGACACACAGGTACACGAGTAGGAGCCTTGAGTGTTGGCACAGCTGCCTCCATGTTTGCAAGGCCTCGACTGACATTCATCCACATCTGCAAGGTAATACATTGTGCATATGACTTATAAAATCCATCACACTGCAGAATTAGTTTTAGTATATTAATGTATTCGATGAATTCATCCTTGTGAACATTTCACAAACCTCATGATTCCATAAAGTGTTAAAAGGCCCTATTGTACACCACCGTATTTTGGAATTTCATAGCTTTTCTAAAGATGTAAATTTTAGGCTAATATTACTCCCGTGTGCAGTATACATAGAGGGTAGAAGATATAAATAATGTTAAAGTACTGTCACTTGATGCTAGACTAACGATGACTATAGAGTGTTGACGTATTCTAAAAAATGTAACCTATATCGGAGGTTATTGCGATTAAATATAAAGATATAGGGCGTTTCAGTTATACTTTTAAAACACTAATTAAAACAAACATTTTCCAAACCTTCATGTGTATTTTGTATGTATGTACAGTGTTACAAGTTGTCTTATTAAAATAAAAAATAACATACTCCTTCAATTAAACTAAACTATTATATTTGCTAGGTAAAGTCCACTGAGCTATTAGCTATTAGATGTGGCTTTTACCACACGAGGGTATGCATAGCAGCAGCCAAATAATGTAAATCTATATATATAAAATCGCAAATCTGTCTGTCTGTCTGTGTGTCGCCGGACCATACGCAGTTTCATTGGACGGCGGTTGCCCCTGGCAACGGGTAGCGACGCATTCGCTGCGGGGTGGACGCCATTTTTAATTCCCGTTAAAAATATGCGCACGCATTAACACGCGACTCTGAGGTAAATTCATCAAAGTTTCACGTCCTCTTCACTCCCCCCCCACCCCAATGTGTGCAATTACTATTATAGGGTCGGTAGATAATAAAATTATAGCGATTAGACAGTATTATTGTAGCGCGGGGGGGGGGGGGGGGTTAACGGCCCCAGTACCCAGCCTCAGCCGGGTGGGCAATTTAGGCGAGGCCGGAGGCTCTGCACGGTACTAGGCCTCGACACCCCACCACACTATAGGCCGTACATATTACTGCACAGCGGCCGAGGAGATCCTGGCTGGGGGGGGGGGGGGGGGGCAGGGGTAGCAGCCCATCTGTGTATATATGTAAGGTTTTTAAGAAATATATTTTTCACCCGGGCAAAGCCGGGTACTTCCGCTAGTGCATGTTTATAAATGTGGAGGGAAAAACCGGACCCAGAGAAAAATCTATGCGACCACACGGAGAGAGAACACGCGACTCCGAAAACACAACAGGCATCGTCAAGATCAGGATCAAATTCTTAGGTTTTTTCGGTAAAGTCACGTAGGTAAAAAAATTAAAATTAATAAAAGTAAAATTAAAAATAAAAATAAATAAATACAAATATACAAACACAGACATAATTTCAACCGTGATGATGGTTACAAACTGAGTAATCATTGGAAAGATGTGATTAACCATGCTAAAAAGATTTAACTACACTTATTTGGACCATCTTATTTGACAGACAACTATTACAGGTTATTGATAGACAGCCAGTTTTGTTTTACCAGGTTTAGTTTTTTCTTTCTTTTCTCACACTTTTGTTATGTAGGCTAGGCTTAGTCACAAACCGCACCTCTCCATAACAAAGGCTCAGTCTTTTGTTATGCAGTCTATTCTTCGTCTTAAGCCTCACCTTACCATATTAATAAAAAGTGTGCCGTACTTGGCCCTTCCCCTCTTCAACCATTATATATACGGAGTGGTAGCTCTTGTAATCTCTCATTTACTTGATACAGCTGTCGTGGCTGTGACGGTTCCACCTGAAGACGGAAGCTTGTGTTGCCTCCGAAACGTCGTGATTTTTATTTTTATTTTACTTTTATTAATTTTAATTTTTTACCTACGTGACTTTACCGAAAAAACCTAAGAATATGAATCCTTGCAGTCACGAAAGCTTCAAATCTAGAATCAGGATCAAACCCATGACCTCTTGTGTACCAGGCGAGAAAGCTGACACCTAGTCAAAACTATATTTAGGGGTTTATTTTAGTTGAACGTTGCCTCTATAGTTTACTAAAATAATTGTGATGACGTGAATAAGGCATGTTAGGCTCACCACTGCATATCTGCGGGCTGGTGAGGCTGAACCCACTGTTACAGTAGCAGGTAGACATTGATGTGTTCCCATCAATGAAGCATTGGCCGTTGGTGCAGGCAAGGTTGCAGGTGTTGAGTGCTGTAAAAATAATCAATTTCACATCATCATCATCACTGTCATCAACAAACTTAAACACCAAGTAAAAAAAGGATACCGCACACCATTTAAATTTAAGCATCGCATAATCTTCAACAGCATCATCATCATCGTCATCCATGGTCTATCAAGTGCTGAATTAAGACCTCTCCAGGCCATTGCCATCTCTTGGTCCGGCGATACCACAATCCATCTCACTCCGGCACAAGAAATGATCTCAATGCTACATTCCTAATGTGGTTGTCCTCTTCGGTGCATTCTCTTCTTTGGTGAAATTCCATCATCGGTCTCGTCGTCCATCGCCCATCATCACGCCCTCCAGTGATGTGTCCTGCCCAATCCCACTTAAGTTCCTTAACAGCCAATATAGTGTTTCTGATTTTTGTTTGTTACCTGATCCATAGTTGTTCAAATGTGATTGGTCAAATTCGATGAGCATATTTTTTGTCTTTTCGATATGTCATACAAAACCAAATTAATTTAATTTGAAATTATGACATTGCGAAGATACATCAGCATCGAAAGCCAAAGTGCTGAATTATTTACATGATTGTATTATTTCATGGGCTATGTCAGTATAAAACATAATGCCAACATAGGCTGTAATTTAATACACATTGATCACAGAGATGGAATCACAGAGATGGTTTCCATCTCTGCATTTATCAGAATCTAATTGAAAAGAAGAACACACGCTTGTGTAAATGTGTTCAGGACAAATTTGTTGAAAATTAATAAGGCTCAACAAATAATGTAGGTTTGCAAAAATGTATATAAACATATTTTCAAATCTGGAAATTATTATTGTTTTAGATAAACAGTGAATTCGAGTTGTGGCTATGTTTGATGCAACAAAGAGAAAGTCCATGAGCCCAGACCAGATATGTCACTTGTCAATATCACCAGATGTGGCATAGTTTTAGTAGCTGCAATTTGTTACATGGTCAATAACAGTGAATTACGTGATAATCACGTGGAATGAGTGGGTTATCAAATAACTGACTTGTATTAGTTTAAAACGTAGGATGACTTGTATTATCCATATAAATAAATTAGGGCTCTTTAAAGATTTTATTCATTAGGTGGTACCAATTTCTTCTCCCGTTACATCGCAGGATTGTGAGAGTTAGCAGCTGCTTGGGGAAGGCCTTCGTCCAGTCGTGGATTGACCATGATTGATGATGATAATGCAATTCAAATCAACCAATGCTTATGTTTGTGCAAGAACCGGTACCTGTTACTTGCTTCACTGACACTCCGGCATTGGAGACATTGCCTCTTCCGAAGGTTTTGACCGTGATTGTGTATTCAACACCAGGACGTAGACCAGAAAACCTGGCTGTGAGTGACCCGTTCGGGCTGACCGACACAGCCGATGCCTCTTGAGGAGAGATGAATGCAATGTACTGCTCCACATAACCCTCGGCAGCCAGCCACACAACCTCCAGGGAGGTGTTTTTCACCCCTTGGCTGGTCAAAGTCAAATTTTTCACGAGTCCCGGCACCACGATTGCAGTCGTAGTTGGCACCGAGGTCGTGGAGACAGTTGTTGCGGATGATGGTGTCAGTGATATCGACGATGTAATAACATTTGTTGTGGATTGTGTTGTTGTCCCATTTGAAGTTGGTGTTGTACCTAAATTTACAGACGTACATATGTACATATATTAGGTTGCGGCGTGATTACACATTTACTTCATGGGACCTCCTTTGCCAGTACCAAAATATGAGAATAGGTTTTCCCCTTTTTTCTGGCAACAACACAGGTGTTAAGATGTTAAAATACCAAACTGAAACCTTTTACAAAGGAATCATGTCTGCATTAACCAAGCTACTTGTGGTCAGAATGCAAACAAAAAACATACTCTGATAATATATGCATTGTCCTTTAAACTGATTGGTCCACACCAAAGACGCTAAAAGGCGTCGTCTGGTCTAACACCGTTTGAGACTAGGCTCGAAAGAAAGCCATCTCTGGTGTGGACCAATCAATTTCAAGGACAATGCATATATTAACAGAGTATGTTTTTTGTTTGCATTCTGACCGCAAGTATTGTGGTTAATGCAGACATGATTCCTTGTAAAAGGTTTCAGTTTGGTGTTTTAACATCTTAACACCTGTTTTGTTGCCAGAAAAAAGGGGAAACCTATTCTTACACATTGACTGTATTAATGCATACATGACCTCTTTCCACTTTGTTGTATTCCACATAATTTACTTAAAAAAATAGTTAACACTACTTGGTGAATTAGAACATGAATCATTTACAATTAGTGGAACGTAACTGTTCAGGAAATACATTTTTCATTGTAATTTTCTAGCATACATTTTAAGCCAGTGTCTCCCTGCTCAATTTAGTATTTGGCTGCTATGAATTTTATTTGGCAGCTATACATTTCCACATGATGTGCCTCTTCGTTGAACTATCATTTGTGGCCAGATCGTTTCTGAAAAAGAGCTGTATAGCTCAGTGGGCCTTACCTGCTAAAATAAAACAAAAATTGAGTAAAATTTTGTATTAAAGTCGGTGCTCATCCCCACTCACAACATTGAACCAGTATGGAAAACAACATCTCAAAGGACAGAGACCTCAGTCTCTACAGAGGACAAATACAATTTAATTTTCACAGTGGTGCTTATTTTATCTAGCTTTGAAAAATGATGAGCTGAACTCACAATCTCCACCCAGCCTCATCTTATTTAATATAGGGACAGCAGAATACAGACTTTTGATACATGAGCCCACTTTACACTGCTTACCTGAGTTAGACACAGTGGTGGAAGTCGATGAAGTCGTTGGAGATGTCACCGTTGAAATGCTACTAATTGTTGAAGCCGGAGTGACTGTTGCATTTGTGGTTGAGGCCGTAGACGATGACACTGTTGATATTATTGTTGTGTATGAGGTGGGTGAGTTCACTATCTGTTGAGTCACAGCTGTGCTTGTTGACTGGTTTGTAAGCGCAGTCACTGTTGTGCTATTGGTTGGCAATGTAGTTGTTGATGTTGTTGCCGAGCCCACAGCTGTGTTAGCTGCTGTCGTGTTCGATGTAGCAGGCGACAACAGCAGACTCGCACTTGTCGACGCTACCGTTGAGGAATTGGGAGCCGCTGGTGTCATTGTGGCGGCTGTGGTTGTTGTGCTTGATGTCCCTAATACTATTGGTAGAGTCACGTTTGTGCTATTAGGTCCTATTGTGGACATTGCTGCGGTGGTCACTGATGTCACAGTGGTCTTTGAAGTTGCGTTTGATGACGCTGTTAGAGCTACGGGACTTGTTGCATTTATATTCACTAATGTGCTTTCGGTCCCAACTCTCGTTGTTGATGCTGTTGTCGACTCCACAGCTGATGTATTCGCTGCTGTGTTTGAGGGCACTGTTATTAGTGATGTGTTTACAATGGTAGTGGTTGCATTCATAGAATCTGTTATATGTGTTACCGGGGTGGCTGATGTTGAGATTGATGGAGGTTGAGTCACAGCTGATGTATTCGCTGCTGGTGTGTCTGAGGGCGCTGTTATTGGTAATGTCTCCACAGCGGTAGTGGTTGCATTAATAGAATCAGTTGTATTTGTTACCGGGGCGGCTGATGTTGAGAATGATGGAGGTTGAGTCACAGCTGATGTATTCGCTGCTGGTGTGTCCGAGGGTGCTGTTATTGGTGATATCTCCACAGCGGTAGTGGTTGCATTAATAGAATCAGTTGTATTTGTTACCGGGGCGGCTGACGTTGAGAATGATGGAGGTTGAGTCACAGCTGATGTATTCGCTGCTGGTGTGTCTGAGGGCGCTGTTATAGGTGATGTCTCCACAGCGGTAGCGGTCGCATTAATAGAATCAGTTGTATTTGCTACCGGGGCAGCTGATGTTGAGAATGATGGAGGTTGAGTCACAGGTGATGTATTCGCTGCTGGTGTGTCTGAGGGCGCTGTTATTGGTGATGTCTCCACAGCGGTAGCGGTTGCATTAATAGAATCAGTTGTATTTGTTATCAGGGCGGCTGATGTTGAGAATGATGGAGCTTGAGTCACAGCTGATGTATTCGCTGCTGTTGTGTCCGAGGGCGCTGTTATTGGTGATGTCTCCACAGCGGTAGCGGTTGCATTAATATAATCAGTTGTATTTGTTATCAGGGCGGCTGATGTTGAGAATGATGGAGCTTGAGTCACAGCTGATGTATTCGCTGCTGTTGTGTCTGAGGGCGCTGTTATTGGTGATGTCTCCACAGTGGTAGCGGTTGCATTAATAGAATCAGTTGTATTTGTTATCAGGGCGGCTGATGTTGAGAATGATGGAGCTTGAGTCACAGCTGATGTATTTGCTGCTGTTGTGTCTGAGGGCGCTGTTATTGGTGATGTCTCCACAGCGGTAGTGGTTGCATTAATAGAATCAGTTGTATTTGTTACCAGGGCGGCTGATGTTGAGAATGATGGAGGTTGAGTAATTTCAGCGAATGATGCATTTATTGGTGCAGTCACGGCCGATACACCTTCTGATGTGAAGAATACTGTAGAATTACTCGTTGTGTTTGAGGTGGTTGATCTTGGTGGACTTGCTGTCTGTGGTGACTGTGTTGAATTAGCAGTCCATGGCGTGGTTGAATATGTCGTTGCCACTGTGAGAATAATTCAATAGTTTACAATTAATCAATCATTCTTGTGACTTAAACAATCTTTCAATGTACCTTGCAGTAAAACAAGAACAATACGCATTATTTACTCAGAAAAGCCTGAGTATTAAGACGATTTTTCATCGATATTATCAGGAAACTAGAATGTGCCCGAGAAAAACAACACATTTCATACTGGGTGATACTCAGTATTGTCATCCTTTGGCACCCTTGTAGCCTTATGCCTAAAACACATGCCAAGCCTTCGTAGTCACCCACAAGGGTTATATTTGTTTAACTTATAAGGCCTCCTGGAATTGGGAATATTTAGGCTTATTTGGTCACAGGCCAATGTATTTCTATCATCAGTTGCACAATGTACATTCATATCTGCTGATGGAAAAAACTGTATGTCCCGTATATAATGTACTGTACAAATACACAAATTCTGTCTATCTACCTGTAAATCATAGAGTTTCTGTTTTTGAACATATGCAACGCCTACGTTTTAAACGTAGGCGTTGTATATGTTAAACTGACAAATGCACCATGATTCTAATATCACCATTAAGGGACAGAAATTTGACATTTTGTTATTGACAGATAACCTGAGCACGCTAATGACCTTGTAAAAATGTAATCACAGGCCTTAAACCGACATATTTTAAGGTGCTATATTACCAAGCATTATTTTTACCAAGAAAGACACTGGACTTTGAAACACTTTTCACACTTAACACCAAAGATAATTTCCCTCAGAAGTTACTTAATGTCCAGCAGGGGGACAGCAACCAAAATAACAAGAAGAGCCATCTTTTCTAAATCGGTAAAAAAAACCCTCAATATTACAAGAGCCACACAATGCACATGAATACGAGACGGTGATCCTTAATAAATAACGTCACGAAGAAGTCCCTTAAAGAGCCGCATGCGGCTCCTGAGCCGTAGGTTGCTGGCCCTTAATGTACAGTCTTGCACCATTAACACAGTTCCCATCATTGAAATATTTACAGTACCATATATGAGAAAATAGTGATGTGGGAAGATATTCTATTCAGTGGCATCAGAATTTCTAATTGTACATTTGACTGAAAGTCCGATCAAATTTCCAAAATATCCCTCAATTTTAATGGTACATTTTCTCTATTATTTGCTCTGTAATGCAGCCTACACAAGGGTAGGGAGATAGACTCACGTGAGCATGTTGCATTTCCATCACCTGCAGAGGGGGAGAAGAAGATAGCACCATTAAGCACCGTCATAACTTAATCGTAGAAAAATATACTTTAATCAAAACAAATGTTCAGCAAACATATATAAAATATTGAAAAGGCATAATAATTATTTAAAAATGCTGAATTAAAATACATTGTTATATCACTATTTACAGGAAATCCAATGAGGCTAATATCAGATGGCCATGTGTAGACTCATCATAAAGGTCTCATCCCTCTCAACCTCCACACCCGCAATGAGGTTGGTGATACAAATCTAGATTTAGGAGAGTCCCAGGTGTTCACCGACATGTCAACTGTGGTTACTTCAAATGCTTCTGTCATGGGCCTGCCAAACATCACTGAAGCTTTCTGTGGTTTATAAAAAAAAAAACTATGTCAGGAATAGACTCGTCCTACGTAGTTTTTTTCACGATTCTTTTGCAGTAAAGCTCTGAAGTTACACAGCGCAACTACGAAAGCCCACGCAGTAGTAGTTATCTAGATGGTACATTTGTAAATGTATACAAAAATCTTGTTTTCAATATTGTGTGGCCAGAAAAAAGAACACAAAATGGCTTGAAACAAATCCCACTGTTATGGATACCCTGTACAGCGCAGGATGGCAATGGAGCGTTTACTTGTGTTGCGTTGATATCCTGGAGCGCAGGGACAGCGGTATGACCCCACTGTGTTCTCACAAACCGTTCCCAAGCCACACACAGCTGGGACTCTCCCACACTCGTCGATGTCCTCGCACACAGTAGCATTACCTAAGGGAAGTAATTTAACGTAACGTTTTACATATATGCAGTGTAGATGATTTAAAAAAAACATTCTTTCGTATTGAGTTTACACTACTTTTGCATGTTTTTTGGTTCGTTTAACTTCCTATATCGATTAAAATATTGCTTTATTGGTCTCTTATTTAAAAAAAAATACTACTTTAATGTTTCTATATTTTAAATATTTCAATACGTGTACGAGCTCTATATTCTGAGCAGCGGAACCTTTATCCTGCACATTATTAGGTGAAAACATTTCATAAACTGAAACATATTCATGCCAATATGCTGCTTTCTATTGCCCCATATGTGTGGGTTTTATTTGGCCACTTCCATTTAAAAGTATATACTATAATAAGTTACTTTGCCACGATATTCCAAAGCAGATCTCTCCTAAAAAAAGCCTGTAGACCATTGAGTAAACAAATATCGGAGTAAAAATGCTATCCCCCCAATATAAGTTTGGAGGAGATAACATCCCTTTACAGCTCTTAGCCATTATACTGTTACGTGAAAGGTTACCTTGAACTGTAGCATGGTCCTACATTACCTTGGCATGAATACCAAAACAATCGTGAAACATCTCATAGAGGAAATCCGGACGCTTCAACTTACTTTGGAAACCAGCATAACAATTGCATCGGAAGGAGCCTGGCGTGTTCTCGCAGGTTGAATTGGCACTGCAGTTGTTGTTGGGGAGCAGACACTCGTCCACATCCAGGCAGTGAGTGCCATTGCCTGCGTATCCCGCAAGACACGGGCAATTGTATGAACCCACCGTGTTGGCACAGTAGGCTCCTGGCCCACAGGCCGCACTGCCAAATTTCAGACACTCATCGACATCTGTGCACATCTCTCCAGTTTCTGGTGGGTGGGAGGGAGGGAGATTTGAATAACATGAACAACATTAGATACGTATTTCACCACTGGAACCCAGAAAAACTACATTTTCTTAATTTGTATCATTTAAAAAAATACTACATAGCCTGGGCGGGAACAGTGCTGGGCTGATGTCTGTATACATTTGAGGCTACAGAAATGGAATGAGAAGTGGACGTGGGATATTTTGTTTGTGTAATGTATTTTTATTTTTTCATAGCGCGTATGAGTAATGTGTATAATCCCGAGAAACAAATCACTTGGAATACATTATGAAGAAGTCGTCTGGATTTTAACTGGAAAATTACGTAATATAAGCTCAATATAAATATACACCACATTTACCATCATACCCAGAATTGTACCGTTACATTGTAGTGTGACAATTCATCTTGAGATTATTATTGTATGTATTGATAATTGTATTATTATATTCTTTGGGTCTTTCGGTAAAGTCACTTAGAACAATTTTTTTTGTACAAAAAACTACTGTATTATTATGCTTGCCTGCTCAGAAAAGCCTCACTGAGCCACAAGACATATAACTGGAGGGTCCTGCTAATTTTTCAGAGTAGGAGGTAATGTTGCTATGTATAATCCCAAATTAGTAATTTGCATGTACATTTTCAGCATTGGGATGTTTGGCCTCTACCAGTTATGTATTTGTGTGTTTGTTTTTGCCGTGGAAGAAAACTGCTGAGCCTGGAGGAAGCCCCATTCAGAAGAGGAATAGACACAAAAAGGCATAAGAGTTGGGAATCACACCAAGGCCTTTCTTGCTGTGGCGTGCAAGTGTTTTGACTGTGCCGCCCTTCCAGCCATGTTTATGTAGGATGAGCCTAGATTACATTGACGCATACCAAAACCATGAAAATCACGCAGAGGAAATCCGGACGCTTTAACTTACTTTGGAAACCAGCATCACAATTGCATTGGAAGGAGCCTGCCGTGTTCTTGCAGGTTGAATTGGCACTGCAGTTGTTGTTGGGGAGCAGACACTCGTCCACATCCAGGCAGTGAGTGCCATTGCTTATGTATCCCACAAGACACGGGCAACTGTATGAACCCACCGTGTTGACACAGTAGGCTCCTGGCCCACAGGCCGCACTGCCAAATTTCAGACACTCATCGACATCTGTGCACATCTCTCCAGTTTCTGGTGGGTGGGAGGGAGGGAGATTTGAATAACATGAACAACATTAGATACGTATTTCACCACTGGAACCCAGAAAAACTACATTTTCTTAATTTGTATCATTGAAAAAAATACTACATAACCTGGGCGGGAACAGTGCTGGGCTGATATCTGTATACATTTGAGGCTATAGAAATGGAATATGAGAAGTGGATGTGTGTGTGGGATATTTTGTTAGTGTACTGTATTTTTGTTTTTACATAGCGCATATGAGTAATGTGTACAATGCCGAGAAACAAATCACTTGGAATACATTATGAAGGAAGTCGTCTGGATTTTAACTGGAAAATTACATAATATAAGCTCAATATAAATATACACCACATTTACCATCCTACCCAGAATTGTACCGTTAGATTGTAGTGTGCCAATTCATCTTGAGATTGTTATTGTATGTATTGATAATTGTATTATTATATTCTTTGGGTCTTTCGGTAAAGTCACGTAGAACATTTTTTGTTTTTTACAAAAAAACTACCGTATTATTATGCTTGCCTGCTCAAAAAAGCCTCACTGAGTCACAATACATATAACTGGAGGGTCCTGATAATTTTTCAGAGTAGGAGGTAATGTTGCTATGTATAATCCCAAATTAGTAATTTGCATGTACATTTTCAGCATTGGGATGTTTGGCCTCTACCAGTTATGTATTTGTGTGTTTGTTTTTGCCGTGGAAGAAAGCTGCTGAGCCTGGAGGAAGCCCCATTCAGAAGAGGAAGAGACACAAAAAGGCATAAGAGTTGGGAATCACACCAAGGCCTTTCTTGCTGTGGCATGCAAGTGTTTTGACTGTGCCGCCCTTCCAGCCATGTTATTGTAGGATGAGCCTAGATTACATTGACGCATACCAAAACCATGAAAATCACGCAGAGGAAATCCGGACGCTTCAACTTACTTTGGAAACCAGCATCACAATTGCATTGGTAGGAGCCTGCCGTGTTCTTGCAGGTTGAATTGGCACTGCAGTTGTTGTTGGGGAGCAGACACTCGTCCACATCCAGGCAGTGAGTGCCATTGCTTATGTATCCCACAAGACACGGGCAACTGTATGAACCCACCGTGTTGACACAGTAGGCTCCTGGCCCACAGGCCGCACTGCCAAATTTCAGACACTCATCGACATCTGTGCACATCTCTCCAGTTTCTGGTGGGTGGGAGGGAGGGAGATTTGAATAACATGAACAACATTAGATACGTATTTCACCACTGGAACCCAGAAAAACTACATTTTCTTAATTTGTATCATTTAAAAAAATACTACATAGCCTGGGCGGGAACAGTGCTGGGCTGATGTCTGTATACATTTGAGGCTACAGAAATGGAATGAGAAGTGCACGTGTGGGATATTTTGTTTGTGTAATGTATTTTTATTTTTACATAGCTCGTATGAGTAATGTGTATAATCCCGAGAAACAAATAACTTTGAATACATTATGAAGGAGTCGTCTGGATTTTAACTGGAAAATTGCATAATATAAGCTCAATATAAATATACACCACACATACCATCATACCCAGAATTGTAACGTTAGATTGTAGTGTGACAATTCATCTTGAGATTATTATAATATGTATTGATAATTGTATTATTATATTCTTTGGGTCTTTCGGTAAAGTCACTTAGAACATTTTTTTTGTACAAAAAACTACTGTATTATTATGCTTGCCTGCTCAGAAAAGCCTCACTGAGCCACATAACTGGAGGGTCCTGCTAATTTTTCAGAGTAGGGGGTAATGTTGCTATGTATAATCCCAAATTAGTAATTTGCATGTACATTTTCAGCATTGGGATGTTTGGCCTCTACCAGTTATGTATTTGTGTGTTTGTTTTTGCCGTGGAAGAAAACCGCTGAGCCTGGAGGAAGCCCCATGCAGAAGAGAAAGAGACACACAGAAAGGCGTACGAGTTGGGAATCACACCAAGGTCTTTCTTGCTGTGGCATGCAAGTGTTTTGACTGTGCCGCCCTTCCAGCCATGTTATTGTAGGATGAGCCTAGATTACATTGACGCATACCAAAACCATGAAAATCACGCAGAGGAAATCCGGACGCTTCAACTTACTTTGGAAACCAGCATCACACTTGCATTGGTAGGAGCCTGCCGTGTTCTCGCAAGTTGAATTGGCACTGCAGTTGTTGCTGGGGAGCAGACACTCATCCACATCCAGGCAGACAGTGCCATTGCCTACGTATCCCGCAAGACACCTGCATGCGTATGAACCCATTGTGTTATCACAGTAGGCTCCATGACCACAGAGAGCACTACCTGCTTTTTGACACTCATCAACATCTACACACGTCTCTCCAGATTCTGGTGGTTGGGAGGGGGAAGAAAAGATTTGAAGAAACATTCGTAAATACATTGTGCGTTTACATGCTTGAACTCAAATGAATATACACCCCGGGTGGGAATACCGTGGGCTGATTCCTATGAAAATTGAAATTTCTATACATTTGAGACAAAAAATGTATGATGGGAGGTAGACACATGGCAATTTTGTTGGTGTTTTATGTTATGCTAGCCTGTACAATTAATGTGTAGAATCCCTATTGTCAGGAAAATTCGTATAGACCTTTGCATGTAAAATTCATACAGGTACTATAGAAATAGCCACTAAGACACTTACGGACATATCCACTGTTGCAGATGCAGGTATAATTTCCATCTAAGTTATGACATGTGGAATATTGAGTGCAGTTGTAGATTCCGCTCTGACACTCGTCCACGTCTTGGCAGGTCCGGCTGTCGCTAACGACCACGTAGCCAGCCACACATCCACACTTGAAGCTGCCGATTGTGTCAGTGCATGTCCCGTATATGGAGTCGCAAGGTGTCTGTCCATCAGCCACGGACAAGCTGCACTCATCAATATTGATGCATTGCGTTTTGCTCGTGCCATTGAGGGTGTACCTGATGACATAAAGTTAACAATTACATTCGTTAAAACTGATACAAAACACAAATCAATTACTTCAAGCGGACAACGTATACTAATTTTTCATGGCACCGAGAAGCACGTAAAATATAAATGTTTTAACATCAATTGCAGTCCTGAGTTGTGGTCCCATGACCTTTTATTATACACAAGCTGTAGTATTACTCTGCTTAACACACACTTTAAAATGTTAAGTTATTTATAACAAATTTTACCATAACAAACTAAATAAGTAAAGTACTTTTAGACTTTACAAGGTTGAGAAAGAAAAATATTTTGCAACTAATCATGCGAAGTTACTTTGTCCACGAGAGGAAATGGGTTTGCATAGACAAGATGAACCGCCAACATTATAAAGGACTATAGAGTATTGTTTCTTGTCTTGTGATTACATAGTCGATCACACTAATAATCCAATTGTAAGTTACAAGTCTACAATGTAATGTTACAATTCCAGAAATGTTCTTGTTAGAAAAGGTTTCGTCTTTTCCCAGTTTTATTTCAACTATAGTGCGATCAAAATAACATCATGAGACTATTCCAAACTCTTGTAAACCAGTGCATCAGAAGCTGACATCACAGAACCACTTTTGAGATACATGCACATGACCTCTTTTGTCCAAGCTAGGGAGTGCTTGCTACATATCCACACATGTCCTGCATGGCAGTCAAACCAATATCCTTATTTATGTTAAGAGCTGATTTTTCTTTCATCCATTAAAAAATAAACTAATTTAACATGCATTCGTTTGTGACCCACTGAAAGCATTACATCACTTTAGTGTATGGTTGAGAACCCAATTTCACCATAGTTCTTGGCAACCTAAAACCAATCCCAGAATCTCAGCAGTGCTGGCTCAATGCTCTGACTCCACAGCCACATGGCCACCTTTTCAAGCAAATGTCTAGTGCTGGTGTGTAATATATCCCTGTGGATATGAAACATTGCTATGTACTTATACACAGTATGTTGAGTATGCTGCAAATATCAATTGGTTTGGAAACAACCCTAGAACCATCAATTTTTCATACCCAGAATTGCAGGAACATCCTGGGAGAGTTGTTTCATCAATGTAACAGTCTCCAGTTCCATTGCAAACATCCGTCACACAAGTTTGGTTTGCTGAAAAAGAAATAAATGTACAATTTATTTCACGTGCAAATTTGCATATTATGGTACCATATATGTTTGTACATTTCAAACCAGTGATCCCTTCAGTTAATTCTTTATGCAGTTATTGATATGTGTTTAGTTATGCAAGACAGGAATTGCATTGCTATAGCGATGTACCACACACACACATACTTATGTTATAATATCCACTCCCATCACCGTAGGAAACACGAAGCTTCAAGTGAAAATTACCTACAGCTTGTATCTTGTAGATATGCACAAAGGCAATGATCCCCATTAAGCCATGTAATTTGGAAGACGTCTAGAATCGTTGATCCCTAGTGCTGATGCTCACACAGCGTGCCAGATATTCATTTTAGGCCGAGTCAACCTTGGGAAGGCCCAGGTCATGTACAGATATGACTTGCCAAACTGGTGCACATTACAAGGGATTAAAACTGGGCAACCGAGATTGTAGCACGGGCTCTAAACACTGAATCAGTACAGGTTGTGACAGTGGGAAGCATAAAAGTACGGTATAAACATTTATATGGCTACATTGCCTCTGTTGCACCCAACGTAACTACACAGCCTATGACCCTGTTAAGCATGCTTGGTTGGTCACCCATATAAGCACTATCTAGGCTCAAACCTGCTTAGCTTGAGAGATATATAATTAGGCCATCGAGTATATACATAAGCCACATGTACAAAGGATGTAGACAGATGCAACTTACGTTTACAAGTCCCATTCACAGAGCTGAAACGGGCAAAGCAGCTGCAGGTGAAGCCTCCTTCGATGTTCGTGCAGTTCTGGGTGCAGTTGTGGAGTCCTCTGCTGCATTCATCAACATCTGCACAAACACAATGAGCATCATTGCGGCCATACAAATCCTTAAGGTAGCTTTTCCATAACAAATGCCATGCCAAGACATCAGTCACCTCAGTGCAGAATTAACATTGAGACACACTCAAATTGATTTCCCCTCATACAAACAATTCTAGCAAGTAAACAGCTATGCTTCTGCGCATGAAATCAGAAATGATCATTGTCAAACCTTTGCATGTGGTTCCATCACTGTCCAAGTAGTATCCAAGGGGACAGCTGCATGTGTAGTGGCCAATGGTGTTGTTACATCTCACTCCGACAGGGCCTTTGCAGGGCTGCGTTGTATTTTCCGGTGGGCTACACTCATCGATATCTGTGGTGCATCGCAAGAAAACGTATGTTAATATGCAAACGTTGAATTACAAGTGGTCTTGCGGGAGCCTCACGACTGCACAGTGATTAGGAACATTCTAACCAAAAACTTTATTTTTGTACAACTTAATTGGGGTAAAATCACAAAGCAACACTGCCCCTACTGCCAGATTATACCATCTGTGGAACATAGCGCCTTTGCGATAGCCTTGCATTACAGTGATAACATAAGAAGCTATACTTGACTTTACTATCCTCAAATTTAAACATTTTAAACATCCAGAAGCATCACTTCCTTTCCATTGCTAAACCTGCGTGTACAGTACAGCACAAGGGAGAACAAGGCAGTCGTATGCTTGGCAAAACTCAATAAACAAAATAATTTCATGGCACTGCATCCATGCATTTTTAGTATAATCATTATTAATAGTCAAGATATTATGAGACTCATATAAAAGGCACTACTATATTCTACAAGTTTTATAACTTGGGCCTCTTAAAAATAAATGTATAATCTGAGTGTATCTATTGTATGCTTTATGAACTTTTCAAGACACATTTTATACGTATTCCCACCACTTCCAACACGTCGGCCTAATGTGGAAGAGTAGGCCGCTCTAGAGCTCCATCTAGTGGAGACCTCTCTACCAGCAGTGGCGTAATAGTAGGACCGGCACCGTTACCGTTTACATGTTATTCGTGCCCACTTTTTAAATCCTTTATATTAAGTTTGCGTGCTTGCTTTCTTGCTTAGGACCGTGCAAATCTTTCGGTCGTTTTTTAACCCACTTCCCGTGATCCAATCGAGCTGACATTTTCCACACAGACTCGTTGTGCCAGACAATTATTGTTCGTGAAAAAAAATTCCCAAAATTGTACACGTTTTAGGCAAAAAAAAATTATTTTACATATATTCAATTAGAACGCATTCATAGCTTTGGCTGAACATCACAGTGCAAGAGCCCAGAGCGTAACCCCTTCACAGGCCGTGGTGGAGTAGCGCAGTTGGTAGCGCCCTCGCTTCCCATGCCAAAGGTCGCGGGATCGATCCCCACGTCCTCCACAGGCGAATATATTTTTAAATCCTTTATATTAAGTTCGCTTGCTTGCTTAGGACCGTGCAAATCTTTCGCTCGTTATTTAACCCACTTCCCGTGATCCAATCGAGCTGACATTTTCCACACAGACTCGTTGTGTGTGACAATTAATTTTCGTGAAATTTTTTTTCCAAAATTTTACACTGTTTAGGGAAAACTAATTAAATATTTAATTACCAATTGCTTAATACTGGCAGACAATCATCTGACCCATAGATTGCAGCCATCTCAAGCCAGAGGACGAGAGAACTCTAGCCGCCACGCATATAAAGGATTTAGAGTGAAAAACTTTGTTTTTACGGGTTTACTTGTTCCTATTCCAATTAAAGTCAGACTAAGCAAGACAACAAGAACAATAAGCACCACGAGCATACGAGTTTATGTTTGCAAGTGCTTCGAATGTCTATCGTAAGTTAATGCTTTCAGCTGGGTCACAAACAAATGCATGTTCAATTAATAATTTCTTTAATGGTTGAAAGAAAAATCAGCTCTTAAAATATATATTTTAAAAAATTGGTTTTACTGCCATGCGGGACATTTGGGGATATGTAGCAAGCACTCCCTAGCTTGGACAAACGAGGTAATGTGCGCGTATCTCAAAAGTGGCTCCGTGATGTCAGCTTCGGATGCACTGGTCTGCAATAGTTTGGAATAAATAGTCTCATGAAGTGATTTCGATCGCACTAAGTGAAATAAAACCGGGAAAAGACGAAACGTTTTTCTAGCCAGAGAATGCCGGAACCTCGACACTGGGGGACACCCACCACGTGGAAGCAAAGCTTACCTGTGCACGTGACTCCGTCTCCTGTATAGCCAGCGATGCACTGGCACTTGAAACTTCCATCGAAATTTTGGCAGAGCCCTGTCGTCCTCGAGCAGTTGTTTAACGATGAAACGACACACTCGTCCGTGTCTAAGAAACAACAAAAATGTACGTGGCGTTTGTAATTAGGGTACCGATGTGTGATTGCAAATGTGCACACGCATTTGAGAAAGACTTCAAAAGCTCAGGCGATGACTCGAGAAATACTGTATCTTGTCAGTCATTTAAAATGAACAATGTCATTGTTCTTAACGAGATGTGAGCCCAGTAACGTTATCTCTTCCTTCAGAAGAACATACGTTCTTGCAGCTCTTTGTAGTGGTAAGAACACTTCACAGTATATGATTAGGTTTATACTGCAAATAAATATTGCGTTGATAACAAACCTGCTGGCAAAAGACTTACCAGTACAGATTCGAAGTGTGCTATTATACTGGTATCCCGCCTTGCATGGACATGTGTATGATCCAATCGTGTTGCTGCACACCATCGTGTTCGCGTCACATGGTTGGTTTTCCTTGCACTCATCAACATCTGGTCGAAATATAAACAATGCACATCACAATCGAGCAACCATATACAAAACGATGGGTTCCAACAGATCAATGTTAGTGCACAGCAGGTTTCCGTACGAGTGTGCACGACACGGGTATACGATCGTAAAAGTCTACATGTAATGATTCGTTAATCTGCCAAACCCATCGGGCTGTGAGCCTGTACAGCGTTGTGAACCACTCCACGTCAACCTTTGAGTGCTGTCTCGTTGCATGTACAAGTTCTCACGAAACTCAAGTTTTCTCCAACATGAAACACAACGATTAATATAATGGTCCAACATCCCAATACAAGACTCAAATGGCTCGGGCATGTACTCAGAATGGACCAGGACCATATACCCAAAAAATGCCCTCAGGTGGACACTACCGGGCAAAAGGAAACCTGGGAGACCCAAGACCACCTGACACAAGGCTGTGAAGGATGAGCTGGCCGCAACGATCAACCTCTCTCGGGGCGAGGCTCAACATGTTGCTAAGGACAGGAAGAAGTGGAGGGAACTCATTGTGGTCTCGTGTCTCCCATCGGGGATGAAGAGGATTAACTAACTCTCCCTAGTCTATAAATGTCTTCGTGGTCTTGCCCCACCATATCTTGCCACGCCTGTATCTTTCCATGTGCCTTCTCACCCTCTACGTTCTCAATCTTTGTTGTCTCTCTCTTTGTTCCTCCTCCTTGCACTGAATCCGTGATTCCACTCTCTCTTATTGCCCCCTTCACTGGAACAAACTTCCCCCTCCGCATTAAAGTCACCTTCACTCACTAGTTTCCGCTTCGCACTCAAAATTCACTTGTTTTTCCAAGCTCTCCCCACGACCCCTTAATCTCCCTCTCATAACTGCCACCGTTACTCTTCCCTCATATGGCTTTCACTAATTCCACCTTCATTCAATCCATTCATCATTTACTGTCATCAATAACAGATGTGCCCTCCATTGCTTCCTCTCATCTATTTCAATCACTTAATCTCCACCATTAAATCCATAAGTACTCTTGTTAATTCTGTGTAAAGTGCCTTGTTATGTTAAGATAAGATGAGAACTAACTATTCCAATACAGTGGCTTAGTTTTAAACCAAAAACAATCTTGAGAATGAGTGAGGCTTTCCCAGACAAGTAAATGACAAAATGGTAAAATCCATGATAATTATGGCCATGGTAATTTAAAGGATGCTATGAGAATATCAATGTGGCAGATAATCTCCTTCTACACACTGCATAAACAGGCCTGACTGCTGATGAGATGATGAATGTCAAAACCGGTCCATATATTTATTGTAATTAACCAATGTTGTTGATGAGATTGCACTCTCTGAAGACATTTTGGCTGATGGGATGTGGCAAAAAAATACGGGAAGCAGGCATTATGTCTGCCCCTTTATTTAGTTGTTTTATATATCTTTTAGCACATATATGACAGACATTTGTAGTTTTGTTGGACCCAGATTCTTGGCAGATCCACCAAAAAAAATCCTCATCACAATATTGTGTACCTGTACAAACTGTTCCATTCCTTTTGTAGCCTGGTAAGCACTCGCATTTGTAACTTCCAAAAATATTCATACATTCTTCTGTGTCCTGGCACAAGTATGGATTGGCCGTGCATTCATTTATATCTGTACACAAAAGAACAGCCATATTAGTTCTAATGTAATACATTAAACAATGTTCTGCAGTTTGCTACTCTGCCTCTATTGTTTAATTCATTCTCCCACCAATCACAGGTATTTAAATTCACCTAAGGATCCTTTTATATAGGAACAAAAATAATATGTCCATCAGTTCTTCAGTAACAACACTTACTTGAACAGTTGTCATAATATGATCTCGAGTGAGGGCTCATTCTGTCTGTGAGGAACCCGAATGGCAAGGTATATATAACGTATGCCCTTGATTTAGGTTTAAACAATTGTGAGCGACAATAGATGATGCTGTCAGGAGTGCAGCATTAGTGGTGGAGAGTGAGGCAATATGAGAAAAGTGTTTCTCAAACTCCAGTGCGAGGTAGATCAAATAAGCATTGTTGTGGTAGGTCAACAGGATTTCTACGGGGTGGTCTTTCCTCACCATGGAAATGTGAATTCCCCATTTGACCTAAGAGCCACTCTGCCCTTTGACAGTCTTTATTACAAATATATACAAGTAATTGTTTTTATTTGTGAAGTTGTTTATGCTTGCCCAGTATAGTTTACACTTCCAATAGCTAAACTAAATTATAATAAGTTAAACCTAAGCAAAAAGCGAGGTGGCCGGTTGGCGAGGTGGGGTCAGAGCACTTAACCTGCGCTACTGAGACCCTCGGTGTGAATGTTGGTTCAGCCAACCATGATTGCACTGAATTCTCAAGTGCAGTGAATTGATAGTCTCAAAGCCAGCAAATTCCAATTCTGAGAGTGTAAAAATATTTGGCTGGCCATTTCTCTGTAGCAGGGCATGTGGGATAGTATGTGTGTGGATAAAGAAAGGCCCTTGATGGGATCTCCATATTTAGTTATGTGACTTGGCAGCAGAGGTCGCAATCGGGTACCCGATACCCGTACCCTACCCGATACCCGGCTACCCGTACCCGGCCGGGTACGGGTACCCGTTTGCGACCCTGGTGCGGCCGGGTACGGGTAAGGAATCAAATTCCGTTTGCGACCTCTGCTTGGCAGGCCACCCGCTAACAAGGAGGGAGGGGGGGGGGTCACTACTGTGTGAGATTTATGATCTCTTATGAATGTCTTCTTTAGCTTACGACATGATGCCAATAGCACAATAGGACAATAATTGTAAAAGATATATATACGCACTGAAAATACTTAAATAAGTTTAATTACATCGCCCGTCACATTATCTACGTAAGCTGCCTATTTTTTTCCCCATTAACATTTGAGCACGTGTCCTCTTACCTGCGCAGTAGGTTCCATTCCCAGTGAATCCACGAGCACAGGTGCAGTAATATGACCCATTATTGTTCATACAATCCGATATACTGCTATTACAACTGTTTGTTCCCCTCATACATTCGTCGATATCCATACAGTCCCTGCCATTTCCTTCATAGCCCAGTTTGCATGCACACGTATAGGAGCCGATCGTATTGGTGCAATTGGCGTCGACGGAACAAGTGTTCTGCCCACTTATGCATTCATTTATATCTGTAACAAAAAAGAAACTGTGTAAGTTTTCAGGCATTAATTCACTTTTTCCAAACAATAAATAAAAAACCTGTAATAATTATCATTTATAATCGTGCTTTTAACTCTTAATTTTAGATTCCAGGCATGATACATTACACTCGCTGGTTTATGCATATTACATGGGACCTTTTTTTGTCAATATCAAAATATGATTCCTCAGAATAGGTTTCTTTTTGGTGTTTGAACATCTTAACACTTATTTTATTGCCAGAAAGGATAAAACCTATTCTTATTTTATTTCATACTAGTTGTATTCAGTAACATACATTGTCCATAATGTCCGTTATTCAATAATTATAATTTGACATCTTTTGGGCTAGGTCAGCAAAAGCATATGTCCACACACTTGGAAACTTGACGATTATATTGCACGAATTTCATCCCTATAAACTTTCACATGTTCAACATCTCAACTGTGAATCTTTAAAACATTCGCGAATACAAATATATATGTTGCAAATATTTCAACCATACGGTTAAAGCTGATAATTATAATCAAATAATAATACAGTACATGATATCTCTATAAACATCCTGCACATATTAAACAAGTATATATACATCTTTGGGCCAGGCATCATTAATTGAAGTATACACATCAGCTTGGAAGATAAATATGGGAATATAAATAGTGAGATTGCATTTACACGTAATTTGATCGATCAATACCTCCCTGAACGAGAGGCCACATTTTAAAACGACTAAATAATTTTAACACTTTTTTAACTTTAGCATCCATAACTGTATTCAAGGTTCGAAGAACTAATTTCTACCAACATAATCCTAATCACCCTAACCCTCCGAGGCAGGATAACTTTATTTATTTATAGAATGTGGTGTCGGTAAAATATGTGGTAGGGAGTACGCGTATCCAATGAGGAAGTGTAATAATTTCAGGGCTGTATATAGTGTGGCATGTTGCGTGTCAGCGCGGACATTATTTACACTTAAAATGTCCTGCTTGTTTGCTGTGTAAGATGTGTTGTATATGAATAATACACTGGTATGCAATGATGCATCGATTAAACTGTCAAAACTCATTAATATGATCACTGTGCAATAATGCATGTGAAACATCTATAATAAAAAATAATAGTACGATGTTATAGGTAGTTTGGTTCACATGAACCCTGCAACCAATGGAGATATTTACACCGAAGTAGAAAATAACACACCAATTATTGAATGGAATAGCGACCTCGAAACCGTGATAATTCATTAAACTCATTATAGTGAGGGGGTGATTCATTACACTCTAGGTGTACAAGTAGCCCAGCATATAATAATACAATTCCTACGAAATAAAACAAATTAACCTAAAATATTGTGTTTGATCATGTATTACCTTCACAATTTGTGCCATTATAGCCGGAAGTGCAGACGCAGGAATAGGACCCGATGCTATTTTCGCAAAATGAATTGTTTACGGATGAGCAAGGATTATTTCCGACTGAACATTCATCTTCATCTGCAGGTGAAAAGCAAAACCGTCATTGAGTTTAAAATCGACACTTGAATACCAAGTACAGATTAATAAATGTAATGCTGATAATTGGTTCTTTACCCTTCTATCTGGCAACAAAAGGGTAAAGAACCAATTATCATATTTTTACTGGCAAATGAGGTTCCCATAGTAAATGTAATGCTATCTAAGGCAACCATGGCGAAACAATTATTTTACTCAAGGCACTCACTCACTTGCAGTCACCACCTGATCACTCTTTTATTCCCTACTAGCTTTACTACCCGGCTTCGCCCAGGACTTGGATTCACCACGCCTGGCCGCCTTTGCCTCCCAAGCGGCGATTTTCACACACCACACGAGTTACTCATTTGAGGCTGAGTCGATCTAGGGGAGGCCCAGGACCGGTTCAAACATTCGTCACTTGTGTTGGGCGTGAGCAGAAATCGAACTTGGGTCTACCGCTACACTACCTCTTCCCACAATAACCCACACTGGCACCAACAGCAACACCTCCTAGGTACACATACACGCGCTTGCTGCAGACACATCACTTTCAGGGTGCGTACGGCAGTAAACGACTCAAATAATAAAGCAGCAATGCTGCGCGAAGAACGTCTTTGACCTGCAACACATTTGTATTTCACTTTACCCGCGGAGGGTTGGGGGGGGAGGGTGCGTGACATCAGCAGGCACACTCCGTTACGCTTCCGCATGCGGGTTACATGACAGATGTGACGTCACAGCTCACTTGCCGTGCAAAATATATGCATTATTGCACCCCTCCTGCCCCCAAAATACAAGTCTATTTATTTTTATTTTTGCATGCTGTACAGTCTGGAAAGTACCCACATGGCAAATTTCAAGTTTGTTGCATGTCAGGAAGTATGCTAAACATTTTGAACAGACACACATTCACAAATTTCCCTTATATATAGAAGATGACTGGTTACTATTCCCATAAACTTCACTAATTCTTCCACCCATTGAGGACTCAGTATACCAGATTGACCATTTCATCTGACTCGTGTGTTCAATCACCATGTTGCAGGTCAAAAACGTTCTCCTTCTGCGTCTTTCCTCCCCCCATCGCTTTCCCAAGTTCTTAGAACCCTTGTTTATTTATGGCTTGGGCCTATTTAGGATTTGTGCCCAGGAACCGTGATAATATAACAATTTAATTCGCCCACATAGTTCCTGCTTTTGTGAAATCTCGGACGTTAAACAGGACAAGGCCTGGATAGTGTTTGATTGGGTGACCACAATGTATACCAAACGTTATAAGCTGTGGGCTTACATTGCAGGCAGCAGACATCGGTGAAGCAAATGTATTACTGTAGTGTACTATGCTCCCAGGTATATACTCCTGGACTTAACTAACCTGCACTGGCCAGTATGGTTATGCGTGGTCAAATAAGGCAGGCAAGTAGACTTAAGAGAAACCAAAATCCGTGGAAGGTAGGTATGAGTGAGTGTGAGATTCACCTATATTACAGGTCAGTAATGCTGTGAAAGTCAAGACACAATTCCCTTTGAAATACTTCACATGTTCAGTAATGTCTGTGAAAATTATGGAATGCTTCCCTTTCAAATGCTATATATGTCTGTCATGACAGCAAATACTTATCCATAAACTCCACATCAATAGTTTCAAGTGCCATGGGGGTAGCTAAAAAAGTGTATAGCCCTGTCCATCCAGTGCTGGAGAGGGTTTTGACCACGCAGTACTACACCATGCTGGTCAGAGTGGGTTATTAAAGGGGTAGCTAGAACTGGTTCAACCATCGCACGTCACTATAGTTGAAACTGGCTGACAAAAAAAACAAGGAATGTTAATAATCCAGGAACACTTCAACATTTCCCATGGCAGCTACCTCAAATAATTAGCGTGCTCAATGCGTCACTTATGCAAACTGCATTTCCCAACGTTTCCCAATCCGCAACACACACGGATGCATGTCTATGTATGAAGATGGTTGCAGCCAGTACGGGTGGGACGAACCCGGAGCACCCGGAGAAACCCCAAGTGTGCGAGGCGGCAACGCTCTATCCCAGGGGGTGGGCAACCTTTCAAAGAAGAAGGGCCATTTTTATTTTCGTCTTTGACCGAAATACTTCGAGAGCCGCATCACACGCGGAGCTACTTTTACACACGCACACATATAGCAGGTATACAGCAGCCAAAGAGCAGTCAAAGAGCCGCACGTTGCCTGACACCTTTGGTCTATCCCAGGGGTCGGCAACCTACGGCTCCGGAGCCGCATGCGGCTCTTTACAGGCTGCTTCTTGACGATATGTACGTATGTACATAGATGCATTGCGGCTCTTGAAATACTGAATTTTGTACCGAATTGGAAAGAAATGGCTCTTCTTGTTATTTTGGTTGCCGACCCCTGGTCTATCCCATCCACATGGGACCCAATGACAATAGACCGGACATGGCTGCACCGCCATCTAGTGGTGAGCCAGGGTTATGGCACCCTCAGGAAGGCCTCGCCTCCACAAAGATGGATTACAGGGCCACGTTCATAGCCAACCACCGGCCTCGAGGGACAATCCCGGGAAATCCGGGCCAGGTGGCAACCCTACTCGCTATTGACGTTAGCCATGGACGGCAATAAACCTCGGGTCGCTGGGTTCATCGCCACTGCGCTCACCGCTGCGCCACCGCTCTGCCATGGCCGATGACATGGGTCTAAAATACGAATGTACCTTCTCCAGAAATAAAGAATACGAACAACTTCATTGGCCGGAACAAATAGCCAACCCTTCGTCTGGTAATCGGGGGCCCGCAAGAGACCGCATTCCGAAATAGCGCCCTCTGCTGGAAATATTGTAATTTTTTTTCCATCTATTAACGATCACCACCGAATCTAAACTTTTCCCCACATTTGCTTTACATTTCACAGAGATGGGCAAATACTAAAGTCTGAAAAAGTTACTACATTTGCTCAAAACAAATATCCAAGGCAGTATGCGTATACTTCTCAAGGGGTGTATTTTAGAATATTAAACATTTACCTTTTAACTATTACCCATCACCAAAACACAGATAATGTGAACAAGCATATACAATATAAACCGTTTTTATTTTACAGCAGTTGCAGTTGATATTCAGATTGCTAACTGCCTTCACTCTGATATAATTAATTTCAACAAACTAATACATGACCAATTCAGGAGATGATATTTGCACACACGGTGAAAACATGGATTTATAGGTGAAAAGTGTGTAACATTTAATGTTTAAACAAGCATACTGCAGTACTTTAATGCAAAAAAGTGTATCAGGCAGCGTTAATGGACTTTGCTTTCAATTCCCATGTTGTTGAATTTTACGTTTCAAAGGTTTTTGTTAAAAAAAAACTTTCAGCATTGCCAAGAGTGCAGACAATCACAAATATGTATTGGCTGTTTTTTTCTTTCTGAGAAGTGAATCTGGCCCACGAACTGCAAATAACATACTTTGAACAGCTTCTATTTAGTGACTAGCAGGAAACAAAACTTTCGAGACTTTCAAGAAAGCACCATTTGGTAGATAAGTTAACCTCATACAAATTATGAGAGAAGCCCGCACTAAAAGTATTGGGTTACGTTACTGGTATCACAGAGACAATCAGACCTAAACATGCACGGATGCAGCGATTCTTTTACCTTGACAAACCATAAATCCATCTCCTCTGAAGCCAGCATTGCATCTGCAGTCATAGTGTCCAGGTGTGTTTACACAATGGGCATTGTTGACACAAAGAGATGAATTCAGGGCACACTCATCAATATCTGTTCAAAACAACACAAAAACACGTAAGGAATGGCTCACAGTTGAATGGGGTTCACATTTTTCGTTCCAGGTCAGATCTCGGATACAAACATTTGAAAACAATGTGCTGCATTAACATGTCAACATACATTCAAATTTAAGTAAAATGCATGTTTCAATATGAAAAAAACCGGGCAGGGGAATGATGTTTGACCACATTTTATTATTTCAACTAACAATGAGTAGCTTCACAGCTTCTATGCTCTGCTTCATGCAAAACTTGTAGACTATGGGAAGTATATTTAGACTTTAAAAATAACAAAAGTGCAAAACATACAAGGAAGCCATGCTTAAGTGGGTTTTTTTTCCGACGAGAATACTTTCTTTACTTTACTTGTGCTACATAATTGACAAATATACCAAAGCCTCAAAATACCTTCACATCTGTCGCTGTTCATGGTGACATTACGGTAGCCCTCATTGCAGCTGCATGTGTAGCCATTAAATATATTCGTGCACGTTTGATTACACGTAGACAGCTGTAACACGCACTCGTCCACATCTACAAAAGGCAGAGATCAAGCAAAGAAAATACAATGTAGTTGAATCGTTTCCAAAAATATATATTTTACCTTTCTGCATTCTCTCTTAATAACACCAAAACCCTGTTGCATTCTCAGTTTGCAAGCGAGAGCGTCAAGAGCAACCAGGGTTATCACCACCATAATGAACATCCCCACACCATCACCACCAAGTAACAATCATAACTCATAAGCCATACATAATATAGACAGTATTAATACTAACCTACAGAGCATACTCATACAATATATATTTCATGAAATTACAATTTACACGTGAGAACATGAAATGAGAAAAGCAAATTAAGCAAACTGTACGCACCGAAACACTTGCTCCCGTTGCCTGTGAGCCCAGCGGGACAGGGCCCACACGAAAAGCCTAGGGAGGGTGCACGATCATCCGTGCAGTTCACTCCAGGATGACAAGGGCTGTCTACACAGGCATTGTAGTCGTCCGTGCAGTACGCTCCCGCGTAGCCAGGATCACACAGACAGCCGGAAACCTTCAGGCAATCGCAGACATTTAACAAAAATGGAATGATAAAAATTAAAACGTAAATAAATGATACAACTTTTGGCGGACGTTTCCCTAAACTCAATTAAATGCTAAATGGTGCTGCAATATACAAGTCACGGCTTGTGTTTTCCTTCTGACAAAAATAACACCATTAAAATATCAATTGTTAGAGCATTACAGATATATATTTAGAAATATGTTTTAAAAACTTGTACTTGATATTAATGTTTTTTAAAGCAATTAAGTAATATCAGTGACCATTATATAACATTCGGTTTCATATGCAATTATACATTTCCTGGTATTTATTAACGTTGACTCATCGTGGCCACAGAGAAATACAGCAACTGGCACGTCATAAATAACAGCAGCACAACATGTGCCCGTAAAACATACGACGCGTCCGATACAAAAAGCCGCACACTCCGTTGTCATAGGAACCCCAGAATGTTTACATTCCCTGAAATATTAAGATTAACTTGTCAGCAACAGTGTCCACACTGATGACAGAAAAGTATGCCAAATATATGTTTTGGTCATTATTTTGTTAAAACAAGAAAAGGAAATAAAGGCTTTTGTAACAAACAAAAAAGTGCTGATGCTTTGTCGCAGATTGTTTCCTTGTCGTCCGGACGTAACTTCATGATGCACGCTAACTTTAAACGCAGAACAAAGGATTTGTTTAGGAGTGAATATGCATTGGTTAATTTTCTTAATATAGAAAAGAAAAGGTGCTATTACAATAACTCTTAATACCAGGGCATTTAACTCTTTGCCTCCTCACAATTTGATTAACAAAAACATTGTTAGTTAATATTGTAATGTAAGTAGAATCTGCAGTGGCTGGTGGATTAACATAAACCTAATCGCAGAAATTATATGTAAGTATATATGTTGAACTTCTTTCGCACCATACGAAGGCAACCATGCTTATTGGAGGTGCGGGGAATGACAACAAACTAAACACAAAAAGCACATGGACCTAAATAATACATCCTTACAACAACAAATCAATGCTTACATCTTGAGTGAAACATAAAAAATCTGATCCAATTAATGTATGGATTGTAACAAGCATCCTGGCTGCTTTGTAATACTGAAAACCTGCTAACCATAAAACATGTATTTGTGCTATTGTCATTCTGTGGTACATAAGCACAGCTTAGTGCCTCTGGATGATTTCACATGCAAAAATTATAATTCTAAATGCTTTAAATATTTGAGTCATTATCAAAGTGTGTGGTCTATTGAAATACGTACATTAAAGGACACGTGATATAATATACAAGAGCAGGCCTTGGGTGCCAGTTCCAAAAGTTCCAATTGGTAAGACATGAAGTTCTCCTGCTGTGTTTGTTTCACCTGATGACGGTTGCTTGTGTTGCGATCAAAACGTCGTGATCTATTCATTTTCTACCTACGTGACTTTACTGAAAGAACCAACGAGTATGGATTCCTGTAGTCACGAAAGCTTCAAATCAAGAAAAAATGTCGGTCATACTCCCTGCAGCAGCATGCCATGGCGAAACTGCTACAATACAGCAACGATAAATCAGAGCCATAAATACGCTTTCTTATAAGAAGGGTACAAGCGGGCAGATTGTTTGGCAGACCTGAAAAGTGGATCCGTCGCTGCCATTGATGCTCAGGGTGGTCTGGTTGGAGAGGCACATGGAATTCGCGCTGCAGTTGCACAGAGTGAGGTTGAGCAGCAGCGCAGAGGAGGCCTTGCCGTCGCTGGCGCTCACCACGCCAAACGCTGGCTCCGAGCTTCTGGGACTCCACGTCAAATTCCCATCGCCTGCAACAGCCCGCACCAAAAAAAAAACTTTTCAGATTGCTCATTCTGTGTCCTTATCTTAGTCTCCGTGCCAATTAAACCTCTTTTTCCATTGGACAAACAGGCCGCGCTGGGGCCATGGCATGCAAAGCTGGCACAGCTCAGGAGGCACCACGTAAATTTTTCAATGCAGAAGCTGAAGTCGTGCCGCTGACGTCGCACACAGTGAGAAAGTCGAGGCGTGTAGTAACGCTGTTGTCACAATTTATTGACGTTACATGCAATGAACGTGTAATTAGCCCCCCCCCCCAGCCATATTTGGCCATTCATTCATCGGATATAGTCAGCGAAGGAATAACGATTGTGCCAAACGTGTGACCTCTTGCGACAGCATAAGCATAAACTGCTCTTGCTGCCTATACCAGTGTCTCGAGTGATTTGTTTGACCCGTGTATCACGGGGGGTGGGGGGGTACCACAACGGTGGTGGGCATTCCTTTGAGAGTCGCAGTCCACTTAGAACGCCAGCCGCCAACTGAAGTGCACCATTTTTTGGAGTTTGTGCATCAAGACGGGGCAATGTGTCCAAAAAGTGACAGCCATATCCCTCGAACTATGCTCTCACTTGCTAGGAGACCGGTCGCAGATGCAGTGGTGAAATGGTTGATTAAGTCAAACCCGCCATATTCAGATGGCTTGTGAAGCAAGCGTATCACTGTTTGGCTCTGGCTCGGCACGGCAATTAGCCAGTGGAAAACCACCCGTATCGGGAGGGCCATGCACTCATTAGCTTTGCTTGGATATGCCAGTGGAAATAAAGTATTATATAAATTATCCCTTTGTAATATATACTTTATAATATAGGTATTATGTTAAATCATTTTGAACTGTAAGAGTGACCATTATATGGAAAGAATAACCCCGTCATGGCAAAATGTGGAATTTTCACCACTGGCTTTGGGCAACCAACAGAGAAAGTCATATGAGCATGGCGAGCCCTTGGCCTGGAGTCTCATCTTGGCGAATGCTTATTTTACTACAGCATGGATGTACGCGGTTGTGTTTTGTACAGCTCTCCGATGTCTTTTTGGGTTCTGCCACGTATTACTCGCCATGATGTCCAACGTTTCACTTCATATCCTAGGAGCTTCAGAAACTGAACTTCAGAAACTGAAGCTCCTAAGGAACTGAATTTTCCAGCACGTAGAAAGAAACGTCAGACATCACACCGAACAACAGGCGCTGCACTCTGAATGTACATCGGACAGCGATGTTCATTTTCAAGTAATAGAAATTTCTAATAAGGTCATCTTATAGACATTAATAACCCACTTGTAATCGTGAGGCCTGATGAGTTTGTCGTAAGGGTGAAGACAATGGTGTCGTTATTGGGGTCCTCTGCAATTACTTTGGCCCACACCGTGGAATTCACTTTGGTCGAGAGCTGTCCGCTGCTTGTAATGTTGGGAGGGAAGTTTTCTGCAACGAAAAAATATTCAAAGCTTTTTAGTAGTTTTCACCTTTTTTTTACTCATCATTTAATAACATAAACACTTGTTCGTAGAAAAAATACGAATAAAACCCACGCAGTGTTTGGCCCTGCGATCCAAATTCTCCAGCGCTGTTCTTCGTGGCCATTCCAAAATTGGGGTCGTCAGTGCTGAGCACATCAAAAATGCAGTCCTTTTGCCCTCCGCAGGAAGCGCTGACGTTGGCCAGCTTTTCGGCCGATGTCCGATTAAGGAGTTCTTCATAAAACATCGGCACAAAGCTGTTGTTGTTGTAGGTGTGCCAGCTCTCCCCAGCACTGGTGTTGTAGGAAAACAAGCTCGTGTTTGCAGCGATTTGCCCTGTAAAGATTACATTTTTAAAACGGTGAATATAACAAGAATGTATGCACCTGCAACGTCGTACTAGGCATTTTAATCTTAGGTCATTCTGTTGCAAGAGCCACAGTTACATGTATGATGTATTCCTTTTTAAATAGTTTTAATCTTAATACTCGCTAATATTTGCTCATCATCATAGTTAACGCTAATCAATTAGATGTTAACATTTACTAAAGGATGGTTAATTACCAAATCAGTTTAATTCAATAAAACACGTACAAAATTTGCATTCCTAGATACCTGGTATGTAAATAAATTGACTGATTTCTAGTATCTAAGCCAAAATTTACCCATAATGCTCCACTCAAAAAGCAGTAAACCTTAAACTAAAAGGACGTACGCCGACAATGCGTGATTCCTCAGAAAGCATTCATAAACTGAATATATGTTTTGAGACCGATGACAACAAGATCAAACGTTGTTGTGACATGAAATGTAATTTCGTTTGGAATGCTCACGGTGCAGTTCTATATGAGTCGTCTGAAATACCTTCCTTGTTTAATTTTATTCGGCCACTCTTTCAGGTGTTTTTTTTTTAAGCCACGCGACAACAAATGTAAATGGTGCTGATTGCATGAACATAGCAAGACTCAAAAAATTTAAATTGCAATGGCGTTTACAGTAGAACTCCTCTTAACGACCACCCCTGTTAATGACGAATCGCTTAACGACGGGACCTTCATAGAGCCCAATGTGTAGTATATGGTGTAGTGTATATTAGCGTAGTGTATAGTAGTGTAGTGTATAGTGGCGTAGTGTATATTAGCGTAGTGTATAGTAGTGTAGTGCCTGCCAAAGAGCCCAATGTGTTCGCTTACCCGCCATTCTCCCGTTAACGATGGGCTGTTGTAGGTACAGCAAATATTAATTTAATGCATTGATTAACCATGTTTCTTTTAATATTATGTGTTTACAATGTTGTTAGTATGTTTATGTATTAATATCCATTGTTTAAATATTATAAAGTATGTGTTTTGTGGGTCAAAAAAGGGTAACTTTCGATGCTATGGGAACGAATTTAGCTTTTAACATATATTTCCTATATTCGCTTAATGACTAAATCACTTAACGACCTGTTCAATGGAACCAATTGCTATCATTAAGAGGAGTTCTACTGTATTAAGAATTGTTCAGCTGCATCAATATAAATGCTCATATATAAACGCATATTGCCATGAAAATGCACGTGTTTCTCTGCTAGCTTCTCTTACTACACATATGAAGGGAAATTGGAGAAAATTGGTTCAATAACCAAAGTTAGTCAGGAGGCTCCATGTCAGATTGTTGCCGAATGACATCTGAATTGCTCCTGCTCCCGCCTTGTCACACACTTTTACTAATCTGCACTGATAAGCATGGTGAAGTATGGTCAAACAACCCACACAGCCGACACAATTTGAGAAAATGTATAAACTACTCACATGTGACTCCAAAATCATAGTATAGCTGGTTCTCTGGAGGGATATTTGTTCCATCGAAGGGCAGCACAGTGCCATTCTTAGATTTAAAATCATCTTTAGGATCACCGTTGAAAACACCTGCAAGTAAAATATGGAATACACTTAATTTTATTTTAAAAAACACTCACACAAATTACATGCATCACAAAATATATTTAAATACTGCGTTTGTATTTGTGAGATGATTTATATGTGTCAGCTGTTGTTTATTGGAGACACAAGTAAAAAAACATTTCGTAAGGAGACAACCCACAGACCGACAGAGGTAGATGAGCATTTGGTGTGGTGGTGGCGGTGAGTGGGATGGATGGACATCTCACCCAGCAAGCCTTGCGTTTGGTTGACGAATTTTTGGGGTAGCAGGGTGATGAAGTTGAGCGCCCCGTAAGAAGTCGTCACATTCACGGAGATACCCGATGGGAACGACGCGATGACTGACCCATACGACAGCTCGACTGACGTCTGGTTGAAAAACGTTTTGTTTTCTAACAAAGCACGTTGAAATGAAAAAAGGACAAATGTTTAATATATATAAGCTACACATGCAATACTAATGTGTACGTTTTCGCCGTCACGCTGTATAATGTCTCTCCGATGTGTTTTCTGGTTGCATCAGGTATTGTTCAGCATGATGTCCAACGTTTTGCTCCATGTACAATAACCTTCTTCAGGAGCCTCTCAGGAACTATCCGAACAAGCTTCCAGCTTGATATCCCACGGAGGCAAACGTGGGATTTCGTGCCGAGCAAAACGTTTACATCCACAAACAACATTTGAGAACATTACAGCAAAATTATTATTTCTTATCCAGGAACGCATTAACTTAGTTATCAAGGATGGTTTTACGAAGGTCTAATTTACAAAATATCCTTACTGGGGTTTTTTTTTCTGTGGGCAATAGGGAACATTCAATGTATGTACTGACTGCGACTGAACTTTTTGGTATATTAAGATGAAACATCAAATCATACGTAAAAAAACGTGATGCATTGCATATGTCACAAAAAAGAATCACACACACAGCATCTTTCAATGACTATATATCAAGTGTATGTGCACCTCAATACAAAGGGGGTACCTGAGACTTGAGTAACTTGACTATCTAATAGCACGATAGTGATGTTGTCTTTGAGAATCCATTCAACCTGTGAACACAAAAGCTCGTTACAGGTGCACTTCGTCTTCACAACAACAACCGCCATTTGCCACAAAGTGGCGGTGATTTCACCGCGGCACTTGTGCCAGGCTATGTGCACGTTAGGGCCACGTGAAGTGTCAAACGCCCACTGGCAGCAGGTAATGGGACAGACCCAGGTGCTATGGGTTGACTCACTCAAATGACTGGCCGATGCACCACCTGTGCCCCCCTACTGTGTCAACGTTGTCATAAGTGCACCTGTCCACAAACGTTAACAAAACGACAAAGGGTTAGGGGGCAAGCTGAGCGCTCAAGGCCACTTCTCTACCCACCTTGCTGCTGCCATTTTCTTGGGCCACGATGGCCACAAACGACGTGGCTTTTGAGGTCCCATTGGACCCTGCGATCGCCGTCCGGGCCTGCATGGTGAAATGGTTCTGATCGGCAGACACCTCCAAGACCGTGTACTCGCCCAGGCCGTTAAAGGTGTACGAGACGTTGTCCAGCGTCGTGATGTGAGGGTCGCCAAGGAGAAACGCTGCCAATGCAAGAAAAATATTACAGCAGGTTGTGCACGTTCAAGAGTTTACACAGTAAAACACATCTGCATGCATAAATGTGCATGCAAGTGTTTGTAGAACTGTGCTGACAGGTAAGCAATTACATATTCTGTAATTGCAGTCACATTTTTCGGAAAGATATTTTACTCAATTCTAAATGTTTTGTGTGGATAGGATGTAATTTATATGTTGGCTCTGTCTTAATAATACAATTGCCCCTCCATCAATTCGAAAGTGATCACGTGACAATGCTTCACCACTATGCTAGTCCGTAAGTTGGTGAATTTGCCAAGCATACACAAAAGGGGTGGGAGGGGGCAGCATAGAAGTGCAGTAAAACTATCCATTTTGCTGTACTGCCAACCACAAAATCCTTGCAGAGTGTTCATCGAAGCACTATGCAAGCACAATCCTGACGGGATCACGCATGTTGCGTTTCTGAACATACATGTAATATAAATATGCTATTTAGCGAAGAGACTGTGAGACTCACCGAAGAAGGGAGGCCTGTAGAAGGAGCATTGGTTGCGAGGGCGTTTCTCTTGGTACAGGCGACACAGCCGACTGTCTCCAGACTGACAGCAGTATCGGTAGGGATCCGCTTCCTTTTCTAATTTGAGCAAAATAATGAATACGTAATAAAATGTTAGTCAATCACTCATTGTAAAGTATTGTTTCGAGACTTCATTAATCAACTGAAACATATATTCGACTAACGAAGATACAACTATGGGTATGGTTCTGCGATATTGCGATACCCCACTATATCAAACAAATACAATACAAAGACAATGTAATTGGATCATGATTTTCGCTGTCCATGTAATTATTGAATACTTTTCTTGAGTAACTGACCACGTGTGCATTATAAGCATGACAGATTGTAGAGTCACAATGCTTACAAGACTAATGGCAGGCTTATGATTGAGTGTACTGCAGGTGAATAACCTTTAAACAATCTACATTCGTACTTGAAGGACATCAGAGGACAACAACGAGATCATACGGGTGTGAAATACAATTGCATCTGCCAACGTCTTTATCATCAAATTGCTGAAGTGTAAGTATCGTATCGTGCAAAACGATTACAAAGTCTGAAACATTTAGTTCGATATGTTTCAAATATGCCCATGACATCACATGACTTCTATAATAGCACCACTTTATTTTTTTGTGAAATAGCATACCGTTTAAGTAACTTACGTTGATATTCTTGTCTTTGTTGTTGCATATAATACGCCCCACCCCACCACCACCACGACCAGTAGTACCAAGGAGTGGGCAGATACCTCTCGTACCCACCAGACAGCAGAGAGCCCGACCAGCTATAGTGGCATCTCACCCCTCCACGATTGTAGTCTGGCCAAAGGCTCTGCAGACTCCGAGATGCTCCTAAATTGCACACGTTGCCAGTCCAGTATTTGTTTTTTTAGAGGATGCAGGTGTGAGAATGTGTTTGGACAGAGTGAAAGGCAGCATGGCAGTGGTTGCTTCCGTGGTTTAACAAATGCGAATTAAAAAAAATTTCAAGATAGTTACAAAAGTTCTCAATTGTGAACATTACAGAAATCAATTATATGCAGAATATAAGTACGTGAGGAGAAATAAATTGCATATTAAATTGCTTCAGAACAGCTCCAGTAATCAGACATAAAACAGCAAATATTACAAACGTACCTGAGACGTAGGGAGGATTGTAGCCATACATTTGTATGATGTTCCCGTCAACGTAGGACATGTCAAAATACCCTTGCCAGTAGAAGCAAGGGCAGGTAGTGAAGGGACTGAAGTAGGGGGCGTATCCCTCATTTTGATACCAATTTAGGCATTCGCGTTTTGGATTTTTGGTATACACTGAGTTAAGATCCAACCTGAGTGTTGATCTCCCCTTCAAGCCTGCAATGGAGTCAAATAATTTGATCATATAAAACATGTATTTAAGAGCACTGCTATATATGTATATGTATTCTAATTGTTTTGTTTAAGCATATACCTTAGTGAGAAGGTGAAATATACACCAAGATAGAGCACCCTCTTTTCATGACTCCCTAATAATGTAGAGCATAGGGTTGATCTCCACAAAAGGTGTTAACTAGCGAAATACGCATCTTAAATGGGATGGACTTCAACCAGCAGTGGACAGACCAAGGCAGATGATGATGAGAGCATTTAGAATGTATGCACACTGGTGCTGTAATACACTCAGTTCTCTACGTGAATACAACTGTTTTACCCTACGGGAATTACTTGATGGTTGCTTTCTATGCTGATCATGAAACAATTAATCCCCTGGACTCTCTGAAGCATTCAGAAAACACATTTTAAGTGCATTGCCTTTATTGCTGTTTTGCAAAATATGGGAAACCAAGTGTCTTCTTTAATGTGGCCATATATGACACACTTTGACATGTATGCAACACATTACAATAATTACATGCTTTGGGCAGTTGCAACCAGCTATATCATGGCCCTGACAACTGGAAAACAACGCTTTGGAATTAATTGTGAAGGCAGCATTGTAAAATTTCTCATACTTGTCGAAAAGCAGGTAATATTTCGCAATGAGTTACATGAACATTAAAAAAATATTTTGAAGGGTAAGTGTTTGACCTTGTATTGAATGAAGCAGCATTTTCCTCAGACATGTTGCATTGTAATGTTAACACAAAAGAACACTGAGCATAAACAATGTGCGACGAAAGCAGTTCATATCTGCAAGTACGAGTTCCAGTGCTCATGACGAATGTGTCAGGAATGTTTCGTGATTGCTGTCAAGATTTTTCGTTGAACACACAATGCCTTATCTTTTTAACATACCAGCATTGCCCTTTACCAGTCCACTGCTGGATAAAGCCCTTTAGATCAAAAAGGTTGTTTGGTCGCACCTCACGACACTGGTCAGTATGGATTGGTGAAAGTGCAGTGCCTAGCGTGCCAGAACAATGATGTTCACCGTGGCTAGGAATCAAACCCAGATGGCCAGCAATGGTTAGCACCAAAGTTTGATTCCTGATCATGTCTAACATCAGTGGTAAGTGACACCTAATCAGTCCTGGGCATCCAACCTTCACCAACCCACATTGACCAGCAGAGATAAATATATCCCATATAGCCTGTAAGTGAGCACCTATGAAGGTCAGCATGGCACATGAGGGGGTGGGTGGTTAATACCACGCCCGGCCGTATTTGTCTCCCCAGTGGTGATGCTTACACTACTCACCATTTGAGGCTGAGTCGACCTATGGGAGGCCCAGAACTAGTTCAGATAATCGTCACTGGTGTTATGAGCTAGAATCAAACTCGGGTCGCCGGGTTTGTAGCGCAGTGCGCTAATCGTTGCACACTATGGCCAGCTTATTGAAGCATGGGTCAAACAATCCCCATGACCGAAAGTCATGAGAGAGCCTTTTATCCAGAAGTGAACTAATCTTCTGTACTATAAGAGTTTAGATTGCATTTTTATTTATCTCTGTATTGAATAATTTGAATTGTTAACGTTGATGCATAATTTATTATTGTTTTTAATGGTTTATTATCGTGTATCTATATTTGCCAAGCATCTTGCAACAAATTATTGTGAATGGCACCAAACTAATTAAAATTGTATTGATTGAATATACATAGCAACAAAAATGTAGTATTCATTTTAAACACAGTCAATATATTAATGAGTTTACAAACATTTCACAAACTGTCTAATGAACTTGCTAAAGTTGCAAAACTGTATGAAATATGGTGAATACATTCTATATAGTCTAAGAATAAGGACAACATAACTCCAGACTAATATCCTAATTAAATTTGGGTCGGATAATGTGGTCCCAAAAAGAACAGAGTGATACTTAATAAATTTGGGGGGTTTCTCAACACGTGGTGTGACTTGTGCGTCTTCCATTATGTGGCATCGTCACTAAAATAGTTCAGCAGCATGCCACACAATGAGAATCACAAAACATTTACGCAATTTACTAGCAGACAGACATCCATATGTTCTTCTTTTCAAGTTTATTCACCACCGCATGGAAGGGTTGTACATTTTTTGCGAGTGGTTAATTGAAAACCAATTGCCTGGGAAATGCCAACCTTCAAAATATGGTCAATTTTATACAAAATCCATGGTAATAATACTCCCTACTTAGACACTGTGTGGTAAAATAAATTTTTTTTTACTTTTCTAAGACAATCTCAATGGAATTGCAAAGTGTGCTGGCTTCTGACAAAGTCACGCCAACATCCCAATGTCAAGATGTATTTTGACACCAAGATAGGATCTACGACAGTAGTGTGCAGGTGTTTTCATTCACGTGCAAAGGACAGGGTATTTCAACAGAGGCGTATCTTTTTTTTAACAGAAACCGGAAAAATACCGGTTTGCAATATACCATACATTGTGCTGCTACGTGTTGCGTGACAACATTGACGCACAGCAAGTCTGAAGACTATCCGCCTTTCTGTCATGCTGCAGTATGTTCATCTTAAAATGTTTAAATGGTTTAATTGATTCATCACAGGAGAGAATGCATCTCTTAAGTTCGTGGATGCGGAAAATGTGCACGAATGCATAAAGGAATGCAATTGCAAGGTGCGCAGTGTGCGTACATTTACAATTCCATGTTGTACATTGCACTTTTATAATTGCGTTTCTCTATTTGTTTCTATTAATTTTTCTCAACTGTATAACGAATTTGTTATTTGATTAATAACCTTTTCTTCGTATAGAGTTAATGGGCATGTAAATTCATACGACCAAGAACACAAACCTACAATATCCACTCTTGCAAACAATTCTATAACATGTATACAGTCACATTTGATCACTACAAATTCATATGAATACCTGTATTTGTTCCAACAGCCTGGTCTGGACGATATCGTACGGTGACATTTGGCGACACTGAGATTGGGTCAATGTAAAGGCTATTTCCGTATCCACTGATAAGGGAAGGAATGATGGGAAGAAAAAACACATCATCCAAACACTCATGTAAGAGATTAGAGAAATTAACACAACAACTCATTCATGCATAAATGTTGAACGACTCAAACATCTTGAGAGGATTTTAAAGAATGACGATTCAACAATATAATTCAAATAAATAATGATCCGTTATTATTTAGACTTTCAATTGCAATTTTAATGTATCCAATTGTCATCAACAAATTCAAACATAAAAAATCAAGATATACTGTCTTCTTTAATACTACTTTAGTTTGCCTAAAGAGTACATTTTTAGTTTTCAATGTAATGTGTACAATACAATTATTACTTTGAAATTTAATAAAAACACGCAAATATAATAAACAAAAACACATTTATGGTCAAATTCTGATTCCGTATGTTTTCAAATCGGTTGATCATTCAAGGTGGATTTTTAAACAAATATCCAACAAAGTAACAACATACTTTGCAGAAATCATACACTGTTACCATAGGTATTCTAACATCTAAAACAAAGTGTGTTAAAGTAACACAAGGTTAATCTTATGAAAATACTGATGTATTCGATACAACGAATGTAGTAGCATCAAGTTATGGAAATACAGGGTGATCCATTTTTAGACACCCCCATTACAATGATATGGAGAAATCAATAGAGAAATAACCAATTATATTTCAAAGCCTCTACAAGTCTCTCACCGAACTCAATACTACATATTAGATCGTTTAATGCTCTCCTCGATAGGATATAGTGCCATTGTTTATACAATATTCAATCACCTGTTCTGCAGTACACCAAAAGGTCGTTAGAAATCAATAAAGAGCTATATAGCTCTTTTCAGAAGCAACCTGGCTACAAATGATAGCTCAAAGAAGTGGCTTATCACGTAGAAATTTATAGCAGCCAAATAATCTAAACGCATGTAGATTCTAAATGTGGAGGGAAACAACAGCGGACATGGAGAAAAAACCATGCTACCACTGGGAGAACATGCAAAATCTAAATATACAGACATCGGGATTGGGATCGAACCCACAACCTCCTGTATACCAGGCGAGGTAGTTAACATCTCACCACCATGGCGCGATGTTATAAATGGATCATCCGGTATATAACTCATAAAATATGATTTTTCAATGAATTATTACATTTTCAAACTCACCAAAAACAGTTACCATCTATATCGGTGATGTTTGACCTACCTCATGAAGCCCATGACAACATTGTTGACATCTCTAACTTCTGTTCTCCATCGCATGCCTCCATCCTTAAATATTTGTAGGCAGAATGAAAATATGCCATCTGTGCTCAAGATGGCTTGGAATGTGTTTGTCTGAAAAGTAAACAAATATAAATTCATGCAGAATGGATATCAAATGGATATTATTCCAAACAACATGCAGTACGACTGAGAGATGTATATTGACATTCAATTTGCTTAGAGTAAACATGTCATTGTGGTTGGCTACAATTTTACAGTAACAAATATTGAAGATAAACATGTAAATGCTTATACTATTTAGGACTTCGTGAGAGAAGATATAAAAACTCACTTTAGTTTCAAAGTTTTTTGGAAGGTACTGATTGAAGAATGTAGTGAAGTACAGTCAAGTAATTTCCATGGCATAGTCAGATAAAATGTGTCAATCCTGCAGGTGTATGCCAAGTTGCACCCCACATGAGGCATGGACAGGAAGGTCTACGAGTTATGAAGTCAAGTCAAAATAATTTGACTCGTGTATGGGCCTCAGCGGGGACAAAGAATTAGCTGGAATGCAGCAAGTGTTGCATTGAAATCCGAGTCCAAACAAAAAATTGCTAAACACCATTGCAGTGCCATGCAACCCTATCCAGAAAAAAAAACTCAACGGGATCTGAAATATGAGCTGACCGTAAACATCTCGTGACATCTATTTATAACCTATGCATAAGTGGCACGTTTACGAATATTATTTTTCAATTCCCATTTACAGAAATACAATTTTTTTAATACATTTTATTACAAATAACTATGCAATGCTTCACCGCGGTAAGGGGAGAGACGTTGGTGAGTGTGCTTCACTCAAGACCTGGCAAATGCATTCAATCCCCACCCATGGCTAACAACAGTTACGAGAGATATCTGAACCAGTCTTGTCCCCCCCTCCACCACCAACCTCACAAACTCAAACCGACCAGCATGGTGAAGCATGGTCTTAACAACTCCCATGACTGACGAGGTGTGTGGAGGCCTTGCGTGGCATGCATGGCTTAGTATGGTGTGACGGCATGTGCCTGAGTATGTGATGGATCGTGCCTCACACCCGATAGACCCAGAACCCACTCGGGTCTAGGTCACGTAGGACATTTCAAGTTTACCTTATGTCTGCTGAGGTAACATATTGCCGGGACAAGATAATGTGCCAAACCAAAACAAATAAAATAAAGAAATTATGTAACTGTGATTTTTGTGTGATTATCAAATATCATTAAAATTCAATAAATACAGTTATTATTGACTAACATATATCAAATACTTATTGTTATTGGATTACATATATGTTTTTTATGCCCAAAAAATCAAGCCACATTTGATTAAATAAAATCATTATTTGCGAGATTTGTTTTGTATACTTAATACCTACACATGCACACACACAAAACATTTATTGAAAAATGCATTAAAAATGTAAAAAAATATATGAAGTGACATTCAAGTATGACCTGCAATTGAGTAGCTAAATATTCTTACATATCTGCCATTGTTGCTTGCTGGCACAGCAGGAGCTTCCTCCCAGGTGATCTTTAACATCCAGGTGGGCACATAGTTTTGTATATCCGACGTAGAGCTGAAGTTGGCTCGGACCTGCTCCTGCACCTTTTGACGGAGCTCTATTGCATTTTGGCTCGGGTTGCCCACAGTAAAGTCATACTCCTGCAAAATGGAAGCAATGTTGTTTGAGGTGGAAATACGAAGCCCAACATTTACTCCAGCAATACATTTATGTTAGGTTTGCAAATGTGTGCATTCACGTGAAAGCTAGATATATTTAATGCACGGAAAAATAAATCAAGTGGAAATGGGCAGGACACATCATGACAACAATTGATGAGTGATAGAGGAAATTAACTACATAGTGCATAGTGAAGAGAAGGCAATCGAAGAAAAAAAAAGACGGTGAAAGAGATGGCGAGACGAAATAAAAGAGTTTGGAGGTTCACTACTTGAAAACCGAGGAAAGAAAGGCATGGAAGAAAATGGGGCAGACCTTTGCCCAGGAGTGGGTAGTTACAGGCTAACAACAATAACAGCAACTGGATACAGAGGTGCCGATGGCTTTTACACTCTTCAGCGTACAGCACACAAACCTGGTAATATATTTTTCCAATGCCGGATGAGAAGTCACAATCGTCCCAGAAAACTGCAATCATGGGAGTATAGTACCACCATGAATTTCTAGTTGGATTGGGATAAGCAAACTTTGATTGGTCTTCGTTTTCTTTGAACACAATCAACCCGTTGTCTGTGAACTGGATACCACACGCACAAACGTGCATCAATTAAAATATCTGAGCATCTTAAATGACAGAAAACAAATGCACCAGTGCCACTTTTGCACAATTCAAATAGGACAACAAACAAAGAACTGGGCATTACACAAATTAGGCAATATGAATAATTGCACAAATTAGGCAACCTCACAATTAAAATAAAATAAACTACTTCGACATAGTGAGTGTAATATTGAAGACAATTATCTATAGCTTTATAAAAGTTGTTTTATTTATTGAACAAGTCAACGGTTTTTTGGTTTATGTGAAACTGCATGCACCATCGCTATCTCAGCATGGATTAAAATCAGTTTTAAAATCAGTTCCTGTATGTGTGTACAGCCAACACCGTGATTCTTTATGAGAATTTCTCCTTCATCAAGATAATTGGACGAATTATTGATTTTTCATTCTAAATGGTGGACATACCATGCCCAATTAAAAGCTCCTTAATGATTATACAAATGATTTCCCACATCTTTAAAGTGTATGCAACGTATCCATGAAATAATTGAAATTCAAAGCCCGTATTACTTCACGGCTACATAGCTAACCTCTATATGATATCTAACTGGACGGTCCAACAACATTCTTTTTAATATAAAATACAATTAAAAAGTGTATTGTCGGATATTACAGTGTCATATCTAAAGTGTGAATGCTGTAAATTTGATATACTTGTATCAACTATATAAAAAACTGCTTTTGTCTTTAGTTTGTTGTCCTTCCCCCGCACCTCCGATTAGCACGGTTGGCTACATACGGTGCGAAAGAAGTTCAACATACATACATCAATAGAGTTGTATGGACAAAAGATGTTTCTGTAAGGCCACATCATTATCTGGCGAAAATCGTATCAACAGACCCTCCACCGCCCAATATAGCCAAACAAACGTGCTAATAAAGGATTTAAAAACAAAGTTTTTCACTATAAATCCTTTATATGCGTGGCAGCGAACTTAATATAAAGGATTTAAAAATATATTCGCCTGTGGAGGACGCGGGGATCGATCCCGCGACCTTTGGCATGGGAAGCGAGGGCGCTACCAACTGCGCTACTCCGTCACGGCCTGTGGAGGGGTTACGCTCTGGGCTCTTATACTGTGACGTTCAGCCAAAGCGATGAATGAGTTATATTTGAATATATGTAAAATAAAAAAATTTTGCCTAAAAAGTGTAAAATTTTGGGAATTTTTTTTCACGAACATTAATTGTCTGGCACAACGAGTCTGTGTGGAAAATGTCAGCTCGATTGGATCACGGGAAGTGGGTTAAAAAACGACCGAAAGATTTGCACGGTCGTAAGCAAGCAAGCACGCAAGCAAGCAAGCAAGCACGCAAGCAAGCAAGCAAGCATGCGAACTTAATATAAAGGATTTAAAAAGAACGGAACTCACAACCAAATTTAGCTAAGCAGATTCCCCGATTTCCTGGATTTTCCTCAAGGTGTTTCACGCAGTTTCAAGCGAAACTTTGTGTATCTAATTGCTAAATTTGGTCTTTGGGAATTGTTCTTCAACTTACCAGTTGACCTGAAACAATAATAATCCTTGTACACGTGACAATGTAAGTAGTGTGGTTATGTCAGGTAATGAGGGTTTATCGACACAGATTTAGTCAGATCATAATGTGAGTTTAACACGTAGGCTTTCGTGACCAGTATTATTCATAATAAAGATGTTTGGGTTAGACGCATTATTTACAAATGTGTCGCAACCCTCCACCACCCGACACGGCAAATCAGTAAAACATGTGTCACGTTGACAAAAAACAAATAGTTCACTACTTTTTAGCCCACCGGTGTGTTGAAGAGGGAATCCACAACATTTGCAATGTCCTAACCCAAAATTATATTACGAATCATATTGGCTGCGAACACCAAGCTGTTGCTGTATTATATGTTTTCATACAAATGCAACTACATTCTGACATTTTTATTTAAATGTATGGCAGTCACATTGCTATCGCATGGTTAGAGAAAGCTCTGGTAGAAGTGTTTTCACACTGATAAAACTTGTGTTGGACAGCCCGATACACACAGCCTAGGTACAAATCTGTAAGAGATATGTACCAAGATATGAGAATAGGGTTTCCCCTTTTTTCTGGCAACAAAACAGGTGAAACCTTTTACAAGGAATCATGTCTGCATTAACCACAATACTTGTGGTCAGAATGCAAACAAAAAAACGTACTCTGATAATATATGCATTGTCTTTGAAACTGATTGGTCCACACCAGAGGCAGCTTTCTTTTGAGCCTAGTCTCAAAACGGTGTTATGATTCCTTGTCAAAGGTTTCAGTTTGATGTTTTAACATCTTAACACCTGTTTTGTTGCCACAAAAAAGGGGAAAAGCCATTTTCAGATATGAATTTATTTATTTAGGAGTTGCACCTTCCCTTAATTTTCTTTTTTACATATGCGAGTTTTAATAATTATGTTCTCAATGCTCGGGCAACAAAACAGCACGTAAGTATTTCAATAACTTCAACATATTCCGGTCAATATGACGTCTTTAGCTATAATGAAACTCTTAAAATATTTTATTCCATTTTCAGACGTTGACATATGTATTGTACAATATCTTGTAACAGCATCAGTTGACATTACTTACATACAACTGTTGGTAGAACCTGGTTCCGAATGGAAATCCGTACGGTGGTGAGAAGAACGGAGACACGTAGTCTGTGCCCCAAATATACGGACTTTGGTCGTACACATTTCTCCCATAATCGAAGAGCCTCTTCTCTGTTAAAATAAATCAGTTACACTATTAAACAAAGACTCTCACAGTGAATATAATTGTAACACATTAAAGTAACTTTTGGGTAATAGAAAAGGTCTTGCTTAGATGAAGGTGTCAATGGGAAGTGATAATTTTTTCAGAAACCATTAAACCCTAGTTCATGATTTGGAAAGGTCACAATACGTAGTTGCAGAAGTCAGCATTGTCAGGTATTTATCCAATCAGTATCAGATGAGTATCTCTATTTTGAATTAATTGACATATACATGATATTGAATTTGTAAATATTAAATGTTAATGGAATGCGTATTATATGTATATATATATTATATGTATATATAATATGCATTGTTTACACCTGCTGATTCTGGATGTAATCTTCAGCAAACGTCAATATACAATTGTCAAAAATATGCTTGCTTATTAACATTTCAGTTTGCTGTCAAACCAAAGCAATTCGCAGAATTACCCACGTGACAACTTTACTGAAATTGAATTATCGTGTGTTTTATTATTCTCAAAAGCAGAGTTTGCATACCGAAGCACTGAATGCCATCTCCCTCATAGCCAGGCTTGCACGAGCAAGCGTATGAGCCAGGCGTGTTGGTACAGAGCCCAAGCGTTCCGTGGCAGGGAAAAGGTCCAACTACGCACTCATTAATGTCTGAACAAAACATACAATGTGCACACAGTTACATACATGTAGACATGCTGTGAGTACTGAGCTGAGATTGCATCCTTTAAAAATCACATTTTAGACTCTATTTTCATGAAGGTCAGCAAGCTTAAAACAAAAACATTTTATGTTCTTCTCGGCATGAGAAAAACAAGCATTACTCAAACTTCACCATAACAACTAAAACCGAAGTAATATTAAGATATTTGAAAGGTGCAGCTCTGTAGTTGCTTGCTTACAACACTGCTGGTAGAAGAGCCTCCCAAAAGACGCAGGTTTAGTTAAAAAAAAAGTTAGATATGTTGTAAAAAATATATACACATTTACAGCCTTTTCTTCAATCCATGGACAGGATAAAGACCTCCCCACACTGTGTTGGTAATGAGGGTAGTTTGACCTTACTTCACCACACAGCAATTTACAATCTGATGAAGGCAAGGCCCAGGACTGGTTCAGATATCAAATTCAGGTCACGGGGTTCATAGTGCAGTGCCCCAACCACTGGACCACCGGTTCAAACTATGTATGCAGTACCATGTATGGCTTAACGAGTAAATGAGCGATGTTCAATTGTTATAAGTATATGTTATAAGTATTATAAGTAGTTATACGTCAATTGTTATAAGTAGTATGGTATATGTATGTTTACCAGTTGCACAGCGAAGACCAGTCCATCCACTCGGACAAAGGCACAAGTAACTATTGACACCATCCAGACATGCGCTATTGTGCTGACACTCGTTTCCAATGCAGTCATCGATATCTATTGAGAAATCACAAACATCATTCATGTAAATGCCACTTTAACAGTCCAAGATTTACACTGTTGACTGCTACATTAATCATACATTGCAAATGAAACACAAGACGTTGAGAGGGACAAAAAAGTATTACATAAGGACTCACGCAGAACATAATACAGATTTCATGGCAGGATAGGGTAAGTGACCTGCTAAGTTTAGAATCACATCACCGACGAATGCACCATGCATGCACATCCTAGCGGTGTCACTGCAATCCATACAGTGTCTACCGCCTCCCTGTATTTGTTAAAAGAACTTAGCATTTAACTTTCACATGTTTCAAAACTGTTGATGTTTCCTCCTGCCTTACGAAAAAAGAATAGGTTTGGAATACAATGTTACGAAAGTGTAGCAGACATAGTCACGAAGAGGAGTATGTGATTCACTCAAATTCACACTCTTGCTGGCACATTTGATTCTCATAGAAATCAATTAAAAAAATTAGAAAATAATAGCCCACATTGTATTTTGTAGGATGACAACTATGGTCAACTTCCAAGTAACCCACATTGATTTTGGAATGAGAAATCAGATAAATGTAAAAGATTATTTTCATTGGCATTCATTTAATTGGAAATCATACCCATGCGTGAGGATTTTTAGTCCAGAATTCTACCCCCTAAACTAAAGTTACTCAAAAGTAATAATTTACAATACATTCGAATACTTATGAGTTATAATCCCAGTCAGGGATCGTCTTTTCTCGACATTCCTCAACAACAGCGGTCAACCTAAACATGGGCTCCTTCATATGAATGTGGAAATTCTACCACTGGCTCAGCGTAACCAAAAGAGATCGCACAATTCTACAGCGTGTCTTCTTGGTTGGCACTGCATGTTCTTCACCATGGCATGATGTGTCCTACGTTTCGCTATACATACTAGCAGATTCTTAAGAGAACTGAATACACGTTGGACATCATGCCAAGCAACACAAAGTACAACTGGAAAATACAACAGAGGTATACAGCACAATCACAAAAGCTATGAAATAGTATGATATAAACACAGCCTAATGCTCATCTGAGTTGAAAACTCTTACATTTGACTTAATACAAAGAATGTGGGAAATGAGTCTTACTGTATTGGCAGTATTGCCCTTTGTATCCCAGCACACAGGAACAGTTGTATCCCTTCAGAATGTCAATGCAGGTTGCACCATTTTGGCACTGTGCATTCACGCAGTCGTCGATGTCTAAACAACATCACAACGCAGCGGTTATACACACAAAAGGTTAATACACTTTTTAACTGCATTGCGCAGCAAACGATTATTTTGATAGAACCACTTTCATACGCAAATTACCCACACGCAACATTCACTTACACATATCTTTAGACATATTTACTTCTCTCTCAATGCCAGGACTTATTTATCAGTTGAGTTGAGTTTATTTATGCGCTCTACTATTTTGCACATGTGTCTCATTTGAAAATATAGTACAGTACATTATGTAAAATGCGTTTTGAAGTGCTTCATCATGTTCATTATCTGAACACATATGCACCAAAACACACTCTTCACGTTCATGTATAAGCACTCAACAACTTTATGTTGGAAAGGCCAGAAAGTTCTAAAAGCTGAAAATGTGCCCGTTAAACTTCAGCTTAAAGGCATTCAAGTAACACGACAATCAATAGTAAGGGGTAGAAGTAAACTACCTATTCCTGGGTTGCAATTCAGTTATCGTAGTAGTGCATCTGCCTGCTCACACCACAGGACGGTGTTTGGGAGGTTGTTATGAACGAAGCACACGTACTGGGCTAAAGACACTTTTTTGTTATGCTCCATATGTATATGAGACAAGCTGAGATGTGTTCGATCTAGAACGTTTTTCAGTGAAGACGAGCATGATCAGGACTCACTCGTAGTGCATGTGTCGCCCGACCACCCCTCGTCACATCTGCAGAAGAAGGCGTTGACCTGATCCACACAGGTGCCGTGGATGCACGGGTTGGAAGCACATTCATCCACAACTAAGGGAAGCAAAGGGCAGTGTGAACACACAACTTGTGCAGTCTGCACGATGGCACAGGGCCACATTGCACACTACAGATAAACAACAATGAGACGCAAAATGTCATTCGTATTAACCACCGTTTCATGTCTGCTGAAAAAAAAGATCTAAATAGGCAGTGTGAGGTTGTAGAATTGTATTTAATATATACGTTTTATTTGTTAAGTTTATAGGTGTAAAAGCATCAATGTGCAGACATTGGTGCTACATCTACATTTCCCATATAGAAAATGTGTTTTTGCTATCGTTAACCGTGTACACAAATAAATAAAATATTTAAAAATACTTTTTTTTAAACACGCTTTAATGAAATGTACTGTCCAAGCTGCCCCTCCCCCTGCCCCCTTCCCCCATCGCCCCTCCCCTCCTTCCACATCCCCCGCCCCTCGGCGTGGCTCCCCGAGGCTTGCCGTAACGTAAGGGACCGTGGTGATTTACAGGCAACGTGAGTTGAGCGTGGACAATTAGAGCCGTGAAAAAGATTGTTTAAAAATATATATTTAAAATTTTCAATGATAGAATATAGTATTGTCATCAGTATGACATGCCTATACCAAGTTTGCAGTCGATACGACATTGGGAAGACGGTTGAAATTGAGTTACAAGATTTGAGGATACAACAGAGTCAGTTAAATAAAAAAGCGTGTAAAATATTAAAAAATATATATTTTAATGTTTTAATGATAGAATATAGTCTTGTCATCAGTATGACATAAGCATACCAAGTTTGCAGTCGATAGCACATTGGGAAGTGGTTAAAATTGAGTTATAATATTTTTTGAAGTTACGACAACAGACGGAGTGAGTTAAATAAAAGCGTGTAATAATAATAAAAAGAGAAATGTTTGTTAATATTCATGGACTTTTGAATGCGTTTAAGGATTTGCATTTATAGGGCACTCAAAGTGTTCTCCATCGTATCTCATCTCAACCATTTTGATACCCTGCTGCAGTCCGGCTAAAGATGATCCCCAGTGGCAGCTGTCCCTGTGCGGCACTCAGCGCACGCAACACTGGCCTGCATGTGGGCTTTCATCTGCCAGTAGGAGCCAACGTTGCTATCTGGTTATTCCCAATTCAGTGATTTTGCGAGTAATTTATCAAAACTAGCCAACGGCATGTGTATCAGCTTACGCAGTGTACAGAGGGTCCCACTCCAACCGGGTGCACATCTGCAAGAGAAGGAGCCCGGTGTGTTGACACAGGTTCCTCCATGGGAGCATGGTCTAGAGGCACATTCATTTACATCTGCAAAAACAGACACACGAAAGGTCATGGAAATATACCCATCGATGTAAAACGCCCGGTTACCTTTTTTTTTTACAAAAATACATTTTGATTACGACATTTCTGCTAAATGGTATTATACGAAATTAACATACAGTACATGTAAGCATGTTTTGCCCCAAACTGACATCACGTAGAATATGTAGTAGTAATGTCACCAAGCATATTGTTGCCTCTATAAGTATGTTGTTTCCATTATAAGTTCATAGACTACATCCACATGCTCAGAAGCATTTACCCCACAAACATTGATGTAATTAAAATGTTCCACTCACCTTCATCACAGTAGACACCGGTCCACCCACTGGTACAATGGCAGGAGAATTTATTTACCATGTTTTGACAGGTGCCAGAATTTGTGCAAGGATTACTCTGGCACTCATCAACATCTGTGGGGAACAAAAGAAAACATAAAAATGGAGTAAAGCCTTTGAGTAGCACACAGGCTCATTCTAATAATGATTTACTCGTTAATCCACGAGGCCCCCCCCCCCAAACCCCCTAAGGACTCTTTTTTCACGAAGGTCCTCCATTGGGATTTTTTAAACATGTTTTCAGGCAATTACTGAGTGTCTGTACAAGTAGGAAACAAACCACTGTAGCACCCAGCGATAAAGCGCACGTGTAAAGGGGGCAATACTCTTATCCCTGAAAGGAATCAAAACGTATGATAGCTATTATTGGACTCGGTGTTCTTCCTTCTCCTGGCGAGCCTAGGGTATGGCACCTTGATGCCCACGGGAAGGGAGCTTCAAATTATTTGTGCGATCCACCAATTCTCACCTCCACCATCCTGGATTACAGGTGTGCAAAGCAACCACCGCCCAGCATTAAGTTGTAACAGGTATGTAACCATTATTAATAGTACAATGGTACACATGTGTATCATGTAAAATATAATGGTTCAGTCCAACTTATTTCTTTCAACTCAATTTTGCTGTACCAATGAAATTAATATCCTTAACAACACATCCCCCAAACCGCACTAACGAAGTATGGTAAAACAAAAACCCATGACCAAGATGATGTGGGGAATTAACAACGTCAAGTTCACTCATTTCGTGTCTATGTTATTTTATTGTGCGGTTCTGTTTGAGTACACCCCTCCCCCTTCTTTCCCTCTTCATTCGCTCCCTTAAAAATTCCTGATCGTTGCCCCTACGTGAGTAGGGGGACAGTGAGACCAATCACTCTTCCCTCGATCATGCTTTGTTTGTTTAAAGAAAAAACACAAGGGCTGTGGAACTGGGAAAAATCTCCATAGTGACGGTTTTCACGTACCAATGCATCTGTTAGCAACAACGAGATCCTGCGTGAACCCAGGAGAACAGGAGCACTTGTAACTTCCGATGGTGTTAGAGCATTCTTGCTCACACGGTTTAGGCTGTTCTTCACATTCATTCAAATCTGTATCGTTCAAGAGCACCGCATGCAGTCATCAGGCAATTGAGCTTAAACAAGACAGTATTGGCAATGTATCATGACAATTATTGCATTGCTTGCAACTAACAGCTATTCATTTAAATATGTATCATTCTGTAGCATTGCATGTAGTTATCAGGCACAGGCAATTGAGCTTAAACAACACAGTATTGGCAATGTATCATAATAATTCTTATATAGCTAGCTAATCAGCAGGTCTAGAGGTATGTTTGAGGGTACGTGAAGCACAATCATCATATTAGAAACATAACATTTTAAAACAATGTTTAATCTTAAATGCTTTAAATAAACATACAGTATTACTGATATCTCCTCTAATGAATGGATACTAGGTGGGAGAAAGCATAAAAATACAACAGATTGATCGTGCAATAGTATGTCAGCTGTGCTGGCAAATCCAGTTTTACCTAAGCAGTTTTGCTTGCTTTTATCAAGGACGTAACCATTGTTACAGGAGCAGGTTGGCCTCTTTGTGTTGGGATCAATAAAGCACCTTCCATTGGTACAGGCCAGTGTGCAGCTCACAATAGCTGAAAAAATAACATACAACATATACAGCGCATTAACCTCCATACGGTATCGCAGTGTAATTGTTCACAATTCAAATCGTAACGTGTGTAATGAAACAGTACAGTAATGCATACACAATGACTCAATATTTTTACAAGCAAATTTAATGTATTTTTTTATATTTGACTGTAAATATATTTAGTATGCTGTAAAAAAATATATCTGTTTATATGAACGCGCTTATATACATTCAGTAAACTTATTAAACAGCTACCATGTGATGTTTGGGTGTAACGAGATGGCCAAAACAGATGAATGTGAAATTTAATGTTTAGATTACATTTTTGATGCAGGGCAATACTATATTGTACTCTAAATAATGACATTGATTTTCTTTATTCAAGCCTACCATCCCACGATTAAAATGATACAGTGAAGTCATTTTCTAAATATTTAGTTATCATTTCTAATTCCTATTCTCTATGAGCCGTGTCCTTTCTCAAAGACTTCGGTGATCATGGCCTTCTTCCATTTGGCTCTGTCCATGATATGATACTTCACTCCCAGTTGCATCCAATTGGTCAAATTGCTTATGCACTGGTGACCATTGCCTAGATTTACGATTCAAATATGTACTTTAAATCTTATAAAGGTTGAAAATATGAGCTATATGTAAGACTTTGGGTCAGTCACAGCATATATGGCAGCATTTGTATTCACATCTCTGAGATACAGAATTAATATACTGCCGTTCTTGTATTTGTTAATGTTTCTATATTAAACTAAATCTGAATTAAACACACAGCAAACACTTATTAAGAACCAGTCTAGGACACAGGAAGTGTGGCCAGCATCACACCTCACCAGCTTTGTCTCCCTGATGCTGGTGTGTGCTCACCTGTGATTAATCACACGTATGATTAATCACACGTATGACACGTATAATTTGAGCACTCTGCTAATAGCTACGGGTAACTAGTTGCGTTTTTTAAATTATTATTTAAGTTAATGCAATGGTGATCAAGGATTGGGGCCCTAGCCCCCGAAGTGCACAGTTTAGATTTGGGTGGATTAAGTGCCCTTTCAGCCGCGTGTTGTTACATTAGCTCCAATAATAATAATGTCTCACTGTTAAATTTACGTCAATCGACTGACAGGAGCTCGGTGGAGTCGCCTCGCGTTTTACGTAACGCGGGTTTGAAATGGCGCGTTCGATTCACTCGCACTTATTTTTGTTGTACATGCGCGCACTATGAATGGAAATAACGAGCGCTTATTTTTGTTGTACATGCGCGCACTATGAATGGAAATAACGAGCGCTTATTTTTGTTGTACATGCGCGCACTATGAATGGAAATAACGAGCGCTTATTTTTGTTGTACATGCGCGCACTATGAATGGAAATAACGAGCGCTTATTTTTGTTGTACATGCGCGCACTATGAATGGAAATAACGAGCGCTTATTTTTGTTGTACATGCGCGCACTATGAATGGAAATAACGAGCGCTTATTTTTGTTGTACATGCGCGCACTATGAATGGAAATAACGAGCGCTTATTTTTTTTGTACATGCGCGCACTATGAATGGAAATAACGAGCGCTTATTTTTGTTGTACATGCGCGCACTATGAATGGAAATAACGAGCGCTTATTTTTGTTGTACATGCGCGCACTATGAATGGAAATAACGAGCGCTTATTTTTGTTGTACATGCGCGCACTATGAATGGAAATAACGAGCGCTTATTTTTGTTGTACATGCGCGCACTATGAATGGAAATAACGAGCGCTTATTTTTGTTGTACATGCGCGCACTATGAATGGAAATAACGAGCGCTTATTTTTGTTGTACATGCGCGCACTATGAATGGAAATAACGAGCGCTTATTTTTGTTGTACATGCGCGCACTATGAATGGAAATAACGAGCGCTTATTTTTGTTGTACATGCGCGCACTATGAATGGAAATAACGAGCGCTTATTTTTGTTGTACATGCGCGCACTATGAATGGAAATAACGAGCGCTTATTTTTGTTGTACATGCGCGCACTATGAATGGAAATAACGAGCGCGTCTGGGACGTGACGCAGACGGAGCGCGTCTTGCGGAGCTGATCGCGAGTCGGGAGGCAAAGTTGAGTGGCGTTGATGCCTTGAAGTGCAGCAGCATCAGCAGCAAGCAAGCGGCAAGCAGTACTGACAACCACCACACGTGGGGGCAGCATCAGTCAGCCATCTCCTCCACTCCTTCCACCACTTAGCAGTATTTGCGCGGAAAATCGGCTTCGTGGCGAGTTCTTTAATCAGTATTACGAGTGTTAATAAACTTGTTTACTTTGAGCAATACAACTCGAATCAATAGCTATAACGGAGTTGGAAGATGATGAGTGCGTTTTGGTTTTGAAAAACTGAAGTCGTTTTTGCAATTGCAAACGCTGGGTGATAGTGGTGTTGTTGCGATGTAGAGCTGTACATTGGAAAGGCGCACGATGGCTGATCAGAGCTTAGTTTCAACATTGAGCGAGCTAATGGGGCTGAGCAGAACATGCGCTATGGCAGCGGTGACATTAATATAAGAAACAATAACTGTTTTTGATGTTTTGTCAGTTAAATATGATTTTTCTTATTGACATTGTTCATAGAATTCGAGGCTAAACGAAACGTGTAAGTATTATGATGAACTCGGACGTTTAGGAGGAACATTAATGTTTCTGGCAGATGTTTGTATGTTAAATGTTCCTAGATATGATCGTTATTGGGCGATTAACTACAGGAGGAGAGGGGACAGGAGCTGGACCGGCTCCACTAATTTTTATATAAATATTTATTTTAAAGGCTACGTTGACTTTGGGGAGGCCTGGGTCAAATTTGGATATCGCCAGCCGTCTTATGTGCTTTGCCAGGAATTTAAATCGACGTTGCCAGGAATTTAAATCGACATTCGCCACTATTGCAACCAATCACCACTCTACACATTGTATGTAGTGCCTGAAATATGCGCCACGCGCGGAAGTCGGGGCACGTGCGCGCAGAGTACAGTGGGAGCATACGAGGTCGAGGTTGTTATTGTCGTCAAGATGCGAGGAGGAGGCCAGGGACGGGTAGGGGGCGATTAAGGATGCAGGGCGCTGATTGGCCGGGAGGTTGTTGTCGCTAAGTGGCGCCGCGTTGTCTGGAACACGTGGTGGGTGCTGGGGGCGAGGGGCGTCGCGGGGGACGCCACCTGATTAATTAGAGATTAATTGGCTTGGGCATAAAGGGAGGGGGTTTTGAAGGAGACGGGAGTTCGCGCCTGGGAGGAGAAGAAGAATGTTGGAGCGGAAACAGCGGAGCCAGAAGCAGTGGAGAAGTATAGGGTAGCAGTGGAGAAGTATAGGGTAGCAGTGGAGAAGTATAGGGTAGCAGTGGAGAAGTATAGGGTAACAGTGGAGAAGTATAGGGTAGCAGTGGAGAAGTATAGGGTAGCAGTGGAGAAGTATAGGGTAGCAGTGGAGAAGTATAGGGTAGCAGTGGAGAAGTATAGGGTAGCAGTGGAGAAGTATAGGGTAGCAGTGTGACGGCGAAGCCGATAAAGAGCGACTGAACTGTGACGGAGAGAGTGGAGAGGAGAGTCGACAGAGTGAGAGACGCGGAGCGAGCGAGGCCGGCAGAACGCGGCGGCGAGCGAGCGGAGAACGCGCTGAAGGAATGTTAATCGCTATTAGTGGAATAAAGTGAGGAAGAAAAGCAAGAAGCTGTCATGTTGAGTTCAGCACTACATGTATACACACACACCATCATTACTTTTACTTCCAAAACATATGTAAATGTTTCCCTTTACTGTATTTTTCTACGTTAACATTTCTTGGAGTGGAAGAAGACTACATTAAAATGGAAAATAGGATCCCGATTACACCAGAAGATGCGTGTCTCGATCAAGTGTACTGTGAAATAACCTCGACACATTATGCGCAGAAAATTATGTGCCGTTAACTCACGCTGACAACTTATGCCATCTTGCTGCATCTTGAAGCCACCGAAGCAGCTGCAGTTGTAGCCCTGGCTGTTCTCAAAGAGGTTCAGCTCATTGCACACCTGAGCGCATTTGTTGCTCCCATCGCTGCACTCGTCAACGTCTATAAAGTGAACGAGAAGCGAAATTAAGACGATGCTGAAAAGGACAAATTAATGCAATTGTATAGATTTTTTTTAATAACTATCTCAGCACACACTGGATATCTAAAAATATAAACAGCTGCACACAGTATATCCTCTTATCTGCAGTGATGTTGTGGTGAGATTGAATTTTGTGGTTGCGATTAACCACACATTGACTTAACGTATACATTTTACAATAGGAAACCATAGGGCCATGGATAATAGGTTTCCACAAATACTACAGCTTATGGATAATAAGAGTCGTGGGTAATCGGGTTACAGATAATAGGAATTATACTTTAATTAACACATGGTCATCCATTTATAGATACTCAATTGATGATATCTGACGCCATATACGTGACTAATGTTGATAACTTGACACGCTAAATGTTAATGAAACAGTGTAAATCTACAGAAGTGTGTGTACTGACGGCATTTTTGGGTATAAATGATAAACAAGTTGCAGCAGAACACCAATAATTCTAATTTAAATAATCTACGAATCCTTGTAATTCGCGGATAATTATATTTGTTGGTTCGCGATGCCCTCTGATAATTCCGCGGCAAACCGCGGTGGATTCAAAATGCTTCACGAAAACGGAAATCGCGGTCCGTGCAAGCGGGTGGGGCGAACGTAGGAGGACTGCGCTGTCGAGGTTTGTTGAGTAACAAAACGATACGCGTTGATAGCGGATTTGACACAATTTGGGTCTGAGAAGAAACGAAACCACTCGCGGATGAATTTAGGCACGCTTCCCCTGTCATGCGCACATTTTTCACGGATTAATGGAATCTTTCATGCTATTATCTGCATCACACAACCGCGTGGGCGCAAAAGAACACATTGCATGGATTGTTTGGTCAAACCTGCGCGGTGTGCTGCTGATTACATGATTTGTGACATAGCCTCTCAAATCAACACGAATTATTGCATTTCTGCTGTGCTGTATATGTGCAAACGAATTGCTGTAAGCATTGTGAAAGCAACCTCAGTTACTACTAAAAGGCTACAGAGATAAGTTACCTGTTCTTTGCGTCACAGATACCCCATCATTGGAGTTATTCCCATAATCAATGGTTTTCACGTTGATGACATAGAGGACACCTGCTCTCAAATTATCAAACTTGGCGATGAGTAACCCATTTGGACTGATGGAAAGGGCAGAAACGTTTGCCGGAGAGATGAGCACCGAATATTGTGCCACGTCGCCCTGAGCGCTCGTCCAGACAATTTCCAAGGACTTGTTGGTCACTCCTTGACTGGTGAAGGTCAAATTCCTTGCATTCCCTGGAACTGATGAGTACAAAACGATTTAGTATGGCGTTAACTATGGACAGGAAATTCAAACATTTGTGTGCCCTTCAAACCAGCATCCGATTTGATAATAAGAAACACGTCCCGATGTGTGTTGAACTTCTTTCGAACCCTACGTAGTCAACCATGCTAATCGGTTGTGCACGTTGGTAGAAGCTATACATTAAAAACTAGAGTGTCACTGCCTCAATTTGTTGCTGTTGCGTGTTGTGGTTGTTTTTAACACACGCCAACACGTGTTAAAATGTACTAACTCCAGCAGGGGGGGAATATCACAATAGATGATATACCCTTATACAGTAAATGAATAAGCACTCGTGTTCATGAAATGATTTCATCACTCCAACTCCACTGGTTTTTCCTCGTGGTGTGCATTGCTCTCTTTTGGCTGGCGCTCCGTCAACAGTTGTCAATCAGCCATGCATGCTCACTTTATTCAACGGTTTTATTTAACTTCACTTGTGTTTGTCGTGGTCAAATCTTGTAATCAAAAGTTAGTCTACTTCCTGCTGTCCAATCAATTCCAAATTTTGCACACGTATTCAGATCCGGTGGCAATGCACGCCTGTGTGAAAATCGGCATCAATTCATCGATTAATTGCCTCCTTTCAAGCAATTACAATATTTGTATGGACGGTAAATTAATTCTATATTTTTGTGAAGGTCAAAAAACGCCGCGGTCCCTAAACTGTGGAATTGGCCCGCACAAAACGCAGGCGCCATTGACGTACTGTACTTCTCGACCGTGAGTTAAACGAAGTTGTTAATAAAAGCGTTGTTTAAAAAAAACGTTTTTAAAGGAGTGTATCTTTAGTTAATCTGCTGTGTTTTCCTTTAAGAGGAATTTTTTAGGTTAGATCGCGTAAATATAAATGTGTCGTTAAACCGACACCACCCGACAGCCATTTAGTAAGGTTTGTCACGTACACAAAACGTGGCAATTAGTTACTACTTCAGCACATCGGTGTGTTGGAGAGTAAACCCCATTGATATTTACGTGATCTAACACAAAACACTTTTTATGTATAATATTGGTCGTGAAAGTCTACGTGTTAAACGGGTTTGTGTTTGTTCCCTCATCCAAATGTGCCCTCCCGTGACGGTTTCAGTCTGTGGACATATCCCTATGCTTACCCGTCCATACATCAAAGATAGCAGCAAAACATATGGAACGCTTTTTGTAGTTATACATCTGTATCTCCATTTATCAAGTTCAAATTCACAAGAATTGCTCTATTCTGATGTCTTTCATCATTTTAATCCTGATCCACTTGCAATGATTACCCTGGGTATATACAACACAAAACAACACAAAAAACGTGCACTGTGCATACAAAATGTTTTCGGGGCTTAAGCATTATGCAAACCCGCCAGTTCCTGAAGAACTGCAATGTGGCCATCTTGTATTAAGTTGAGCTAATTTGTCTAATCAACAGACAGAGAACGGTAGACCAAGTTTGTCATTATTGAGACTCAGAAGAATATTACACAGTAACCTAATTAATGCTCATTGCTGGCAGGCCTACTTCTGGAAAGCTCACATTCGTTGTGTATTCAGTCCTCACTTCTACACTCTGGGGATACCTATAAGATTACCTCATAGAAAACAATAAATTCAACTGTAAATGACGAGTAATTTACAAATTTTCTTTTAAATTGTCTCTGCCAATAATTGTCTTTTGTTTTGGACACGTATAAATGAGTTTTCCTGACGTTTGTTATGAGTATAACTTGTGGCACTCTGCAAGTGAAATAGTTTCTTGTAGTTTTCATTGGTATCTATAATGCCTATGTTAGAAAATCTAATATCGTTAATACAGGAAGTACTTCCTTTATTAAACACGTTCACAAACATATCTTAGGTGCTATGTAAAGAATAATTCTTTCATCGCCTTGACTTCTTTTCAGATGTAGTGAGTGTTGGGGTTTGAGAAGCAATATTGTACAAATCATGATTGAAATACAGTATATAACATTTATGGTATTATATATGAAGGATGATCATCATGTACGTGATCTACTGCATTAGTTTTAAAAAAAAATCATATATATTACGTTGATTTTTCAAATACGTATTCTTCTGCGAGCATTACAAAAAATTGCAAATACTATACAATAGTTATGTATCATACTATACAATAGTTATATATTCTAACCATCGAACAAAGACGATCACTGCATTGCGTGCTTTCAGATGCACTTCTGCGGCCGTCTGGAATGCTCTTCCGATATTAGGAAGCCACTGCAGCTGTGCACTTTTAAATCTAGATTGAAAACTAATTTCCTTGGAACTGCTTTTGTATTTAGTTTATTGTCCTTCCCCCGCACCTCTGATTAGCACAGAAGTTCAACATAATACATATTGTTTGTGTACAATATTGACATTAAATAAATGTCCCTCAAATCGGCTAAAATGGCTTCGATGTAGTTGAAGTGTAAATACCTGTCCTCGCAGTCACAGACACTCCTTCACCAGAGAGATTTCCTTTCCCAATGGCTTTCACAGTGATGATGTATAGGACTCCGGGTCTCAGCCCAGCAAACTTGGCATTGAGTGAACCATTCGGGCTAACAGCAATGGAGGGTGAATCTCCAGGAGAGATTAATGCCGTGTATCGTTCAACATCTCCCAGAGCACTCAGCCAAATGACTTGCAGAGATGTGTTTGTTACTCCTCCACTGGCAAGAGTTAGATTTCTTGGCAAACCTGGTACTGGAAAAGTGGCATGTAAATAAACAACATACATTATGGGTAACTAAACATAGTCTTAGATGATGCTGTATTGTTCATTGTAGAAGTTGTATGGATACATGACGTAGTAATATATACATTTTAAGCACTTAATATATATTTCATATCGCCAATGAATTTCCCAATTGTATTATCATAAACTTGTCGTGGAATGAACGTAGATATAGGCGAGCTCTCACATTATCTCTAGATGGTTAGCCACATTTAAAATTACCTATGGGATATTCACACGATAATTTATGCAGCACAATAATTGGTGTTCACAATGAGACCATCAACTGACTCCTGTACATTTCAGAACCTGGTTTAACAAAAGGTGGATATCCACATTTTAAATCGAGATCTTAACACTGTTAGTGGAATAGTCAGGCATAGGTCCTGTTTACATAACATAACTAACCTGGAGATGTTGTAGATGGCGATGCTGTTGTGGTTGGCGATGTTGAAGATGTTGTTGAAGATGTTGGTGAAGATGTTGTTGAAGATGTTGTTGAAGATGTTGTTGAAGCTGTTGTTGGAAGAGTGGTTGTAGTTGGGGTATATGTTGTTTGTGACACTATTGTGGTTGGAGATTTTGTTGTGGTTGATGGTGATGCTGTTGTGATTGTTGTCAATGTTGTTGGTGATGCAAGTGTGGTGGGGAGAGATGTTGTGGTTGAAGATGCTGTTGTGATTGTTGTCGGTGTATTTGTGGTGGATTGTGAAGTTGATTGGGTGGTAGTTTCTTTTGTTGTGGTTGGTGTGGTTGTCTGCGGTGTGGTTGTTGTCAAATTTACAGTGGTTGTCTCTGTTGTCGGTGTATTTATGGTGGATTGTGAAGTTGATTGGGTGGTAGTTTCTTTTGTTGTGGTTGGCGTGGTAGTTTGCGGTGTGGTTGTTGTCAAATTTACAGTGGTTGTCTCTGTTGTCGGTGTATTTGTGGTGGATTGTGAAGTTGATTGAGTGGTAGTTTCTTTTGTTGTGGTTGGCGTGGTAGTTTGCGGTGTGGTTGTTGTCAAATTTACAGTGGTTGTCTCTGTTGTCGGTGTATTTATGGTGGATTGTGAAGTTGATTGGGTGGTAGTTTCTTTTGTTGTGGTTGGCGTGGTAGTTTGCGGTGTGGTTGTTGTCAAATTTACAGTGGTTGTCTCTGTTGTCGGTGTATTTGTGGTGGATTGTGAAGTTGATTGGGTGGTAGTTTCTTTTGTTGTGGTTGGCGTGGTAGTTTGCGGTGTGGTTGTTGTCAAATTTACAGTGGTTGTCTCTGTTGTCGGTGTATTTATGGTGGATTGTGAAGTTGATTGGGTGGTAGTTTCTTTTGTTGTGGTTGGCGTGGTAGTTTGCGGTGTGGTTGTTGTCAAATTTACAGTGGTTGTCTCTGTTGTCGGTGTATTTGTGGTGGATTGTGAAGTTGATTGGGTGGTAGTTTCTTTTGTTGTGGTTGGCGTGGTAGTTTGCGGTGTGGTTGTTGTCAAATTTACAGTGGTTGTCTCTGTTGTCGGTGTATTTGTGGTGGATTGGGAAGTTGATTGGGTGGTAGTTTCTTTTGTTGTGGTTGGCGTGGTAGTTTGTGGTGTGGTTGTTGTTAATTTTACAGTGGTTGTCTCTGTTGTCGGTGTATTTGTGGTGGATTGTGAAGTTGATTGGGTGGTAGTTTCTTTTGTTGTGGTTGGCGTGGTAGTTTGCGGTGTGGTTGTTGTCAAATTTACAGTGGTTGTCTCTGTTGTCGGTGTATTTGTGGTGGATTGGGAAGTTGATTGGGTGGTAGTTTCTTTTGTTGTGGTTGGCGTGGTAGTTTGTGGTGTGGTTGTTGTTAATTTTACAGTGGTTGTCTCTGTTGTCAATGTATTTGTGGTGGATTGTGAAGTTGATTGGGTGGTAGTTTCTTTTGTTGTGGTTGGTGTGGTAGTTTGCGGTGTGGTTGTTGTCAAATTTACAGTGGTTGTCTCTGTTGTCGGTGTATTTGTGGTGGATTGGGAAGTTGATTGGGTGGTAGTTTGCAATGTTGTGGTTGGTGTGGTTGTCTGCAGTGTGGTTGTTGTTAATTTTACAGTGGTTGTCTCTGTTGTTGTCGGTGTATTTGTGGTGGATTGTGAAGTTGATTGGGTTGTAGTTTGCAGTGTTGTGGTGGGTGTGGTTGTCTGCGGTGTGGTTGTTGTCAAATGTACGGTGGTTGTCTCCGTTGTTGGTGGCGTATTTGTGGTGGATTGTGAAGTTGTGGTTGGGGCTTGGGTGATTGCTTCTGTGATTCTGGTAGATTGTTCTGTTGAAGTCGATAGTGTGGTGGCTTGATGTGTTGTGGTTGTCTGCGGTGTGGTTGTTGTCAAATGTACGGTGGTTGTGTCTGTTGTCGGTGTATTTGTGGTTGTTTGTGAAGTTGATTGGGTGGTAGTTTGCAATGTTGTGGTTGGTGTGGTTGTCTGTGGAGTGGTTGTTGTTAATTTTACAGTGGTTGTCTCTGTTGTTGTCGGAGTATTTGTGGTGGATTGGGAAGTTGATTGGGTGGTAGTTTGCAGTGTTGTGGTTGGTGTGGTTGTCTGCGGTGTGGTTGTTGTCAAATGTACGGTGGTTGTGTCTGTTGTCGGTGTATTTGTGGTTGTTTGTGAAGTTGATTGGGTGGTAGTTTGCAGTGTTGTGGTTGGTGTGGTTGTCTGTGGTGTGGTTGTTGTCAAATGTACGGTGGTTGTCTCCGTTGTTGTTGGCGTATTTGTGGTGGATTGTGAAGTTGTGGTAGGGGCTTGGGTGATTGCTTCTGTGATTATGGTAGATTGTTCTGTTGAAGTCGATACGGTGGTGACTTCCTTTGTTGTGGTTGCCTGCGGAGTGGTAGATGTCAATTCTGTAGTGGCTGTTGTAGGTGCAGTTGTGGTGGATTGTGCTGTTGAAGTTGATAGGGTGGTGACTTCCATTGTTGTGGTTGCCTGCGGAGTGGTAGTTGTCAATTCTGAAGTGGCTGTTGTAGGTGCAGTTGTGGTGGATTGTGCTATTGAAGTCGATAGGGTGGTGACTTCCTTTGTTGTGGTTGCCTGCGGAGTGGTAGTTGTCAATTCTGAAGTGGCTATTGTAGGTGCAGTTGTGGTGGATTGTGCTGTTGAAGTTGATAGGGTGGTGACTTCCTTAGTTGTAGTTACCTGTGGAGTTGTAGTTGTCAATTCTGAAGTGGCTGTTGTAGGTGCAGTTGTGGTGGATTGTGCTGTTGAAGTTGATAGGGTGGTGACTTCCTTTGTTGTGGTTGCCGGCGGAGTGGTAGTTGTCAATTCTGAAGTGGCTGTTGTAGGTGCAGTTGTGGTGGATTGTGCTGTTGAAGTCGATAGGGTGGTGACTTCCTTAGTTGTGGTTGCCTGCAGAGTGGTAGTTGTCAATTCTGAAGTGGCTGTTGTAGGTGCAGTTGTGGTGGATTGTGCTGTTGAAGTTGATAGGGTGGTGACTTCCTTTGTTGTGGTTGCCTGCGGAGTAGTAGTTGTCAATTCTGTAGTGGCTGTTGTAGGTGCAGTTGTGGTGGATTGTGCTGTTGAAGTTGATAGGGTGGTGACTTCTTTTGTTGTGGTTGCCTGCGGAGTGGTAGTTGTCAATTCTGAAGTGGCTGTTATAGGTGCAGTTGTGGTGGATTGTGCTGTTGAAGTCGATAGGGTCGTGACTTCCTTAGTTGTGGTTGCCTGCGGAGTGGTTGATGTCAATTCTGTAGCGGCTGTTGTAGGTGCAGTTGTGGTGGGTTGTGCTGTTGAAGTTGATAGGGTGGTGACTTCCTTAGTTGTGGTTGCCTGCGGAGTGGTTGATGTCAATTCTGTAGCGGCTGTTGTAGGTGCAGTTGTGGTGGGTTGTGCTGTTGAAGTTGATAGGGTGGTGACTTCCTTTGTTGTGGTTGCCTGTGGAGTAGTAGTTGTCAATTCTGTAGTGGCTGTTGTAGGTGCAGTTGTGGTGGATTGTGCTGTTGAAGTCGATAGGGTGGTGACTTCCTCAGTTGTGGTTGCCTGCAGAGTGGTAGTTGTCAATTCTGAAGTGGCTGTCGTAGGTGCAGTTGTGGTGGATTGTGCTGTTGAAGTCGATAGGGTGGTGACTTCATTTGTTGTGGTTGCCTGCGGAGTGGTAGATGTCAATTCTGTAGTGGCTGTTGTAGGTGCAGTTGTGGTGGATTGTGCTGTTGAAGTTGATAGGGTGGTGACTTCCTTAGTTGTGGTTGCCTGCGGAGTGGTAGATGTCAATTCTGTAGTGGCTGTTGTAGGTGCAGTTGTGGTGGATTGTGCTGTTGAAGTCGATAGGTTGGTGACTTCTTTAGTTGTGGTTGCCTGCGGAGTGGTAGTTGTCAATTCTGAAGTGGCTGTTGTAGGTGCAGTTGTGGTGGATTGTGCTGTTGAAGTCGATAGGGTGGTGACTTCATTTGTTGTGGTTGCCTGCGGAGTGGTAGATGTCAATTCTGTAGTGGCTGTTGTAGGTGCAGTTGTGGTGGATTGTGCTGTTGAAGTTGATAGGGTGGTGACTTCCTTAGTTGTGGTTGCCTGCGGAGTGGTAGTTGTCAATTCTGTAGTGGATGTTGTAGGTGCAGTTGTGGTGGATTGTGCTGTTGAAGTTGATAGGGTGGTGACTTCCTTTGTTGTGGTTGCCTGCGGAGTGGTAGATGTCAATTCTGTAGCGGCTGTTGAAGGTGCAGTTGTGGTGGATTGTGCTGTTGAAGTTGAAAGGGTAGTGACTTCCTTTGTTGTGGTTGCCTGCGGAGTGGTAGTTGTCAATTCTGAAGTGGCTGATGTAGGTGCAGTTGTGGTGGATTGTGCTGTTAAAGTCGATAGGGTGGTGACTTCATTAGTTGTGGTTGCCTGCGGAGTGGTAGATGTCAATTCTGAAGTGGCTGTTGTAGGTGCAGTTGTGGTGGATTGTGCTGTTGAAGTCGATAGGGTGGTGACTTCCTTAGTTGTGGTTATCTCTGGAGTGGTAGATGTAAATTCTGAAGTGGCTGTTGTAGGTGCAGTTGTGGTGGATTGTGCTGTTGAAGTCAATAGGGTGGTGACTTCCTTTGTTGTGGTTACCTGCGGAGTAGTAGTTGTCAATTCTGTAGTGGCTGTTGTAGGTGCAGTTGTGGTGGATTGTGCTGTTGAAGTTGACAGAGTGGTGACTTCCATTGTTGTGGTTGCCTGCGGAGTGGTAGTTGTCAATTCTGAAGTAGCTGATGTAGGTGCAGTTGTGGTGGATTGTGCTGTTGAAGTCGATATGGTGGTGACTTCCTTAGTTGTGGTTGCCTGCGGAGTGGTAGATGTAAATTCTGTAGCGGCTGTGGTAGGTGCAGTTGTGGTGGATTGTGCTGTTGAAGTTGATAGGGTGGTGACTTCCTTTGTTGTGGTATCCTGCGGAGTTGTCGTTGTCAATTCTGACGTGGCTGTTGTAGGTGCAGTTGTGGTGGATTGTGCTGTTGAAGTTGATAGAGTGGTGACTTCCTTTGTTGTGGTTGCCTGCGGAGTGGTTGATGTCAATTCTGAAGTGGCTGTTGTAGGTGCAGTTGTGGTGGATTGTGCTGTTGAAGTCGATAGGGTGGTGATTTCCTTTGTTGTGGTTGCCTGCGGAGTGGTGGATATCAATTCTGTAGTGGTTGTTGTAGGTGCAGTTGTGGTGGATTGTGCTGTTGAAATTGATAGGGTGGTGACTTCCTTTGTTGTGATTGCCGGCGGAGTGGTAGTTGTCAATTCTGTAGTGGCTGTTGTAGGTGCAGTTGTGGTGGATTGTGCTGTTGAAGTCGATAGGGTGGTGACTTCCTTTGTTGTAGTTGCCTGCGGAGTGGTTGATGTCAATTCTGTAGTGGCTGTTGTAGGTGCAGTTGTGGTGGATTGTGCTGTTGAAGTCAATAGGGTGGTGACTTCCTTTGTTGTGGTTACCTGCGGAGTAGTAGTTGTCAATTCTGTAGTGGCTGTTGTAGGTGCAGTTGTGGTGGATTGTGCTGTTGAAGTTGACAGAGTGGTGACTTCCATTGTTGTGGTTGCCTGCGGAGTGGTAGTTGTCAATTCTGAAGTAGCTGATGTAGGTGCAGTTGTGGTGGATTGTGCTGTTGAAGTCGATATGGTGGTGACTTCCTTAGTTGTGGTTGCCTGCGGAGTGGTAGATGTAAATTCTGTAGCGGCTGTGGTAGGTGCAGTTGTGGTGGATTGTGCTGTTGAAGTTGATAGGGTGGTGACTTCCTTTGTTGTGGTATCCTGCGGAGTTGTCGTTGTCAATTCTGACGTGGCTGTTGTAGGTGCAGTTGTGGTGGATTGTGCTGTTGAAGTTGATAGAGTGGTGACTTCCTTTGTTGTGGTTGCCTGCGGAGTGGTTGATGTCAATTCTGAAGTGGCTGTTGTAGGTGCAGTTGTGGTGGATTGTGCTGTTGAAGTCGATAGGGTGGTGATTTCCTTTGTTGTGGTTGCCTGCGGAGTGGTGGATATCAATTCTGTAGTGGTTGTTGTAGGTGCAGTTGTGGTGGATTGTGCTGTTGAAATTGATAGGGTGGTGACTTCCTTTGTTGTGATTGCCGGCGGAGTGGTAGTTGTCAATTCTGTAGTGGCTGTTGTAGGTGCAGTTGTGGTGGATTGTGCTGTTGAAGTCGATAGGGTGGTGACTTCCTTTGTTGTAGTTGCCTGCGGAGTGGTTGATGTCAATTCTGTAGTGGCTGTTGTAGGTGCAGTTGTGGTGGATTGTGCTGTTGAAGTTGATAGGGTGGTGACTTCCTTTGTTGTGATTGCCTGCGGAGTGGTTGATGTCAATTCTGTAGTGGCTGTTGTAGGTGCAGTTGTGGTGGATTGTGCTGTTGAAGTCGATAGGGTGGTGACTTCCTTTGTTGTGGTTGCCTGCGGAGTGGTGGATGTCAATTCTGTAGTGGCTGTTGTAGGTGCAGTTGTGGTGGATTGTGCTGTTGAAGTTGATTGGGTGGTGACTTCCTTTGTTGTGGTTGCCTGCGGAGTGGTTGATGTCAATTCTGTAGTGGCTGTTGTAGGTGCAGTTGTGGTGGATTGTGCTGTTGAAGTTGACAGGGTGGTGACTTCCTTTGTTGTGGTTGCCTGCGGAGTGGTTGATATCAATTCTGAAGTGGCTGTTGTAGGTGCAGTTGTGGTGGATTGTGCTGTTGAAGTCGATAGGGTGGTGACTTCCTTAGTTGTGGTTGTCTCTGGAGTGGTAGATGTAAATTCTGAAGTGGCTGTTGTAGGTGCAGTTGTGGTGGATTGTGCTGTTGAAGTCAATAGGGTGGTGACTTCCTTTGTTGTGGTTACCTGCGGAGTTGTAGTTGTCAATTCTGAAGTGGCTGTTGTAGGTGCAGTTGTGGTGGATTGTGCTGTTGAAGTTGATAGGGTGGTGACTTCCTTTGTTGTGGTTGCCTGTGGAGTGGTAGTTGCCAATTCTGTAGTGGCTGTCTGTGTTGTTGGTGCATTTGTGGTGGATTGTGCTGTTGAAGTTGATAGGGTGGTGACTTCCTCTGTTGTGGTTGCCTGCGGAGTGGTTGATGTCAATTCTGAAGTGGCTGTTGTAGGTGCAGTTGTGGTGGATTGTGCTGTTGAAGTCGATAGGGTGGTGATTTCCTTTGTTGTGGTTGCCTGCGGAGTGGTGGATATCAATTCTGTAGTGGTTGTTGTAGGTGCAGTTGTGGTGGATTGTGCTGTTGAAATTGATAGGGTGGTGACTTCCTTTGTTGTGATTGCCGGCGGAGTGGTAGTTGTCAATTCTGTAGTGGCTGTTGTAGGTGCAGTTGTGGTGGATTGTGCTGTTGAAGTCGATAGGGTGGTGACTTCCTTTGTTGTAGTTGCCTGCGGAGTGGTTGATGTCAATTCTGTAGTGGCTGTTGTAGGTGCAGTTGTGGTGGATTGTGCTGTTGAAGTTGATAGGGTGGTGACTTCCTTTGTTGTGGTTGCCTGCGGAGTGGTGGATGTCAATTCTGTAGTGACTGTTGTAGGTGATGTTGTGGTGGATTGTGCTGTTGAAGTTGATAGGGTGGTGACTTCCTTTGTTGTGGTTGCCTGTGGAGTGGTAGTTGCCAATTCTGTAGTGGCTGTCTGTGTTGTTGGTGCATTTGTGGTGGATTGTGCTGTTGAAGTTGATAGGGTGGTGACTTCCTTTGTTGTGGTTGCCTGCGGAGTGGTAGTTGCCAATTCTGTAGTGGCTGTCTGTGTTGTTGGTGCATTTGTGGTGGATTGTGCTGTTGAAGTTGATAGGGTGGTGACTTCCTTTGTTGTGGTTGCCTGCGGAGTGGTAGTTGTCAATTCTGTAGTGGCTGTCTGTGTTGTTGGTGCATTTGTGGTGGATTGTGCTGTTGAAGTTGATAGGGTGGTGACTTCCTTTGTTGTGGTTGCCTGTGGAGTTGTAGTTGTCAATTCTGTAGTGGCTGTCTGTGTTGTAGGGGCAGTTGTGGTGGATTGTGCTGTTGAAGTTGATAGGGTGGTGACTTCCTTTGTTGTGGTTGCCTGTGGAGTAGTAGTTGCCAATTCTGTAGTGGCTGTCTGTGTTGTTGGTGCAGTTGTGGTGGATTGTGCTGTTGAAGTTGATAGGGTGGTGACTTCCTTTGTTGTTGTTGCCTGTGGAGTGCTAGTTGCCAATTCTGTAGTGGCTGTTGTAGGTGCAATTGTGGTGGATTGTTCTGTTGAAGTTGATAGCGTTGTGACTTCCTTTGTTGTGGTTGCCTGTGGAGTGGTAGTTGCCAATTCTGTAGTGGCTGTCTGTGTTGTTGGTGCATTTGTGGTGGATTGTGCTGTTGAAGTTGATAGGGTGGTGACTTCCTTTGTTGTGGTTGCCTGTGGAGTGGTAGTTGCCAATTCTGTAGTGGCTGTCTGTGTTGTCGGTGCATTTGTGGTGGATTGTTCTGTTGAAGTTGATAGGGTTGTGACTTCCTTTGTTGTGGTTGCCTGTGGAGTGGTAGTTGCCAATTCTGTAGTGGCTGTCTGTGTTGTTGGTGCATTTGTGGTGGATTGTGCTGTTGAAGTTGATAGGGTGGTGACTTCCTTTGTTGTGGTTGCCTGCGGAGTGGTAGTTGTCAATTCTGTAGTGGCTGTCTGTGTTGTAGGTGCAGTTGTGGTGGATTGTTCTGTTGAAGTCGATAGGGTGGTGACTTCCTTTGTTGTGGTTGCCTGTGGAGTGGTAGTTGCCAATTCTGTAGTGGCTGTATGTGTTGTTGGTGCAGTTGTGGTGGATTGTGCTGTTGAAGTTGGTAGGGTGGTGACTTCCTTTGTTGTTGTTGCCTGTGGAGTGCTAGTCGCCAATTCTGTAGTGGCTGTTGTAGGTGCATTTGTGGTGGATTGTTCTGTTGAAGTTGATAGGGTTGTGACTTCCTTTGTTGTGGTTGCCTGTGGAGTGGTAGTTGTCAATTCTGTAGTGGTTGTCTGTGTTGTAGGTGCAGTTGTGGTGGATTGTGCTGTTGAAGTTGATAGGGTGGTGACTTCCGTTGTTGTTGTTGCCTGCAGAGTGGTAGTTGCCAATTCTGTAGTGGCTGTTGTAGGTGCAGTTGTGGTGGATTGTTCTGTTGAAGTTGATAAGGTTGTGACTTCATTTGTTGTGGTTGCCTGTGGAGTGGTACTTGCCAATTCTGTAGTGGCTGTTGTAGGTGCAGTTGTGGTGGATTGTTCTGTTGAAGTTGATAGGGTTGTGACTTCCTTTGTTGCGGTTGCCTGTGGAGTGGTAGTTGTCAATTCTGTAGTGGCTGTCTGTGTTGTAGGTGCAGTTGTGGTGGATTGTGCTGTTGATGTTGATGGGGTGGTGACTTCTTTTGTTGTGGTTGCCTGCGGAGTGGTAGTTGTCAATTCTGTAGTGGCTGTTTGTGTTGTTGGTGCAGTTGTGGTGGATTGTTCTGTTGAAGTCGATAGGGTGGTGACTTCCTTTGTTGTGGTTGCCTGTGGAGTGGTAGTTGCCAATTCTGTAGTGGCTGTCTGTGTTGTTGGTGCAGTTGTGGTGGGTTGTTCTGTTGAAGTCGATAGGGTTGTGACTTCCTTTGTTGTGGTTGCCTGCGGAGTGGTAGTTGCCAATTCTGTAGTGGCTGTCTGTGTTGTAGGTGCAGTTGTGGTGGATTGTTCTGTTGAAGTCGATAGGGTGGTGACTTCCTTTGTTGTGGTTGCCTGTGGAGTGGTAGTTGCCAATTCTGTAGTGGCTGTCTGTGTTGTTGGTGCAGTTGTGGTGGATTGTGCTGTTGAAGTTGATAGGGTGGTGACTTCCTTTGTTGTTGTTGCCTGCGGAGTGGTAGTTGCCAATTCTGTAGTGGCTGTTGTAGGTGCAGTTGTGGTGGATTGTTCTGTTGAAGTTGATAGGGTTGTGACTTCCTTTGTTGTGGTTGCCTGTGGAGTGGTAGTTGCCAATTCTGTAGTGGCTGTTGTAGGTGCAGTTGTGGTGGATTGTTCTGTTGAAGTTGATAGGGTTGTGACTTCCTTTGTTGTGGTTGCCTGTGGAGTGGTAGTTGCCAATTCTGTAGTGGCTGTTGTAGGTGCAGTTGTGGTGGATTGTTCTGTTGAAGTTGATAGGGTTGTGACTTCCTTTGTTGTGGTTGCCTGTGGAGTGGTAGTTGTCAATTCTGTAGTGGCTGTCTGTGTTATAGGTGCAGTTGTGGTGGATTGTGCTGTTGATGTTGATAGGGTGGTGACTTCCTTTGTTGTGGTTGCCTGCGGAGTGGTAGTTGTCAATTCTGTAGTGGCTGTTTGTGTTGTTGGTGCAGTTGCGGTGGATTGTTCTGTTGAAGTCGATAGGGTGGTGACTTCCTTTGTTGTGGTTGCCTGTGGAGTGGTAGTTGCCAATTCTGTAGTGGCTGTCTGTGTTGTTGGTGCAGTTGTGGTGGGTTGTTCTGTTGAAGTCGATAGGGTTGTGACTTCCTTTGTTGTGGTTGCCTGCGGAGTGGTAGTTGCCAATTCTGTAGTGGCTGTCTGTGTTGTAGGTGCAGTTGTGGTGGATTGTTCTGTTGAAGTCAATAGGGTGGTGACTTCCTTTGTTGTGGTTGCCTGTGGAGTGGTAGTTGTCAATTCTGTAGTGGCTGTCTGTGTTGTAGGTGTAGTTGTGGTGGATTGTGCTGTTGATGTTGATAGGGTGGTGACTTCCTTTGTTGTGGTTTCCTGTGGAGTGGTAGTTGCCAATTCTGTAGTGGCTGTCTGTGTTGTTGGTGCAGTTGTGGTGGATTGTTCGGTTGAAGTCGATAGGGTTGTGACTTCCTTTGTTGTGGTTGCCTGCGGAGTGGTAGTTGCCAATTCTGTAGTGGCTGTCTGTGTTGTTGGTGCAGTTGTGGTGGATTGTTCTGTTGAAGTCGATAGGGTGGTAATTTCCTTTGTTGTGGTTGCCTGCGGAGTGGTAGTTGTTAATTCTGTAGTGGCTGTCTGTGTTGTTGGTGCAGTTGTGGTGGATTGTTCTGTTGAAGTCGATTGGGTGGTGACTTCCTTAGTTGTAGTTGCCTGCGGAGTTGTAGTTGTCAATTCTGTAGTGGCCGTCTGTGTTGTAGGTGCAGTTGTGGTGGATTGTTCTGTTGAAGTCGATAGGGTGGTGACTTCCTTTGTTGTGGTTGCCTGCGGAGTGGTAGTTGTCAATTCTGTAGTGGCTGTCTGTGTTGTTGGTGCAGTTGTGGTGGATTGTTCTGTTGAAGTTGAAAGGGTGGTGACTTCCTTTGTTGTGGTTGCCTGTGGCGTGGTAGTTGTCAATTCTGTAGTGGCTGTCTGTGTTGTAGGTGCAGTTGTGGTGGATTGTTCTGTTGAAGTTGAAAGGGTGGTGACTTCCTTTGTTGTGGTTGCCTGTGGCGTGGTAGTTGTCAATTCTGTAGTGGCTGTCTGTGTTGTAGGTGCAGTTGTGGTGGATTGTTCTGTTGAAGTTGATAGGGTGGTGACTTCCTTTGTTGTGGTTGCCTGCGGAGTGGTTGTTGTCACTTCTGTAGTGGCTGTCTGTGTTGTAGGTGCAGTTGTGGTGGATTGTGCTGTTGAAGTCGATAGGTTAGTAGTTGTAGATTGTTCAGTCGAGGCTGTGAAAAGACAGTATAAACATCAACAAGTCGCATCATATTAAATATGCAATGTCTACAAACACTTTCCCTCTTTTCATTATTTCATGATTGGAGAATCAATTTATGCAAGAAGACTAATTTGCAATGGTGACCTGATTCACGAAGTGGAAAACGTTTCCGTGTAAGTCAGTCTTATATTTGCAGAGCTGATGTATATACATGGGATGCAGGTGCTCCCCAAGGAACACATTAACATGTAAAAACAAATCAGTAGAGTGCATCAGGGGACACAGGACAATCCTTCGTGGTCACGCAAAGGACAGTGGACCACGCCTATAGAAATAATTAACGAAGGGTGTTTGCAATGAAAGTGCAAAAAGGGGGATAGGGGATTGGAGGAATACCACCAAAATATATAGATTGATGGGAAAGAGGAGAATTTGAGAGAGGTTATCCTGCATAGGGGGGTGGAAGTCAAACTCGGGGGTCTCTAGGGAAGGAAAGGCTGGTCGTCAACAACCATGTTCGTACCCTACAGGTGTTCCTATTATACTCTTTGGTTTTTTCGGTAAAGTCATGTAGGTAAAAAATTAAAATAAATTAAATCACTACGTGTCGGAGGCAACACAAGCTTCCGTCTTCAGGTGGAACCGTCACAGCAAAATTACTGTATCAGGTATTTTTTTACCTACGTATCTTTACTGAAAAAACCAAAGAGTATGAATCCTTGCAGTCACGAAAACTTCAAATCTAGAAGTGTTCCTATTAGTTTTGTTGGAACAATAAAGTTATCTTACCAGACCGACTCGTGTGGACCCCCTTTCACTGCAAATTAAAACCGTGGTGCAGCATGAACTAATATGGAAACTTTATTAAATGTGCGTTTAGTATTGATGAATGGACATTGATCAAAATCTAGTCGTAACTCTCTGAAACGTTTATCGAAAATGTTACGCTTGTCTTATATTGCATTGGTTATAAATCTGGCTTGTTTAATCCAGTGAAACTCAACTGCAGTTCTCTCTTTCTTGCTTTGCTTAGACCAGTGGCTCTTAACCCGGGGTTCACGCACCCCGTTGGGGTGTGAGATGCCCTTTTTGGGGGTGCAAGATATGGCCAATCTTTTTTAGAAGGTAAATCATCGAAACTCAAATTAAGCACGGGCACGTAAGTACAACTACTTTGTTTCATCAAACCTATGTATTTACATTAAACATCTTTTTTACACACTTTTATTGGACTTGCCTCGTCTGTTTATATTCTTTCAAATCTTTGATGCTTAATATATTCGGATTTACGAAGCCTAACGAGCCGACATTTTCTGCCCAGACTTGTTTTGCATAACAATTCAAGGTTTCATAAAAAAAAAACTGGTCCAGGTCCTGCCGATCCTGGTCCTATTCGTGTTATTTTACTTAATTTTAAAAATGAATACTCCCACATTTGACCCCCCCCCCCTCTTAAATCACGGATGGTTGTGCGCAGCTATTCGGGGAACATCTTGTCCAATTACAGTGGATTTTGGGGAGCCTCTGACCAATGAAAGGCGCGCGTTCCAAGTCCTGGGTGATTTGTTAATCGGCGTTAAGGGTTATAGTGATGCAGCTCTTAACAGTTAACATCTCTTGTATGCAGAAGGTTGTGGGTTTGATGCTGACCCTCACGTCTGTATATTTGGAGTTTGCGTTTTCTCCCCATGATCGTATGGGATTTTCACTCCACATTTAGAAACATGTCCTTCGAGTATTTGGCTTGCTATAAATTTCCACATGATAAACCACTTAATGGGCCTCTCATTTGTGGCCAGGTCGCTTCAGAAAACAGCTATATAGCTCTCGTGGACCTTACCTGGTAAAATAAAATGGACATAGTTTTCACGGTAAAATAAATTCGGTTAAAAGAAAGTTTTTCAATGCAAACACTTTTATTTGCACTCAAAAGTAGAAAATAAATTATTTTCACCCCAGAAATTAAAAAGATTTGATGTGCTAAATAAAAGGCGAGGGTTAGTGGATCAAACATAAAATGTTGCCAAACTTCCCTTCATGTGGGCATCAAGGTGCAATACTCTGGCTTGCCAGCAGAATGCAGTACATCAAGTGTAGACTGAAATATGTTTTGTTTGAGATACGTAAGTTCACGCGTAAGAAAGTTCCACCAGGTGCTCCGGTTTGCTCCCACATGTATAAACACTCATTAATTAGCTGAAACCATTTTAATATATAAAGAAATGCAAACTAATTGTCGGTGCCTGCTCTCAGCTTGGCAGCATTCCAGCTTTTCTATGGATCCACGGCAATTGTGAGGTGTAATTTGTATGAATGACACTATATCAAAATAATTGTAAGATTATTATGAGTGTGTCTCCTCGCTCAACCAATGTACAGTATCTACAACCAGACTGCTTAGAGACCTGGGAATTAAGGGCCAGAGCCAGCGTTCGGCAATCAGAGCTGTATCGGAGGCGGCAGAAGGCAGCAGTCAGTGGCTCTGGATGAAGAGGAAAGACCCCAGCTGGGCCTCAAAGTGAGAGGGCCAGGAGATATGCAGTCAACAATGCTTGACTCAGGGAGGAGGACGCCCCTGCCATGCATAGTCTCATGGGATGTTGGCTATCAACAACAAGGCAACTCCTATGACTAATTGGGAATGGGACGCAAGCGTAGGATTGATCACCCTGTCGCTGGCCGCCTTTGGGGAGGGTGTATAGTATGAAAGGCCGAAACACCCTAGGAACCAAAGGTTCACTACTGACGATGCGCTCCCCAAATTTCACCAGGCTCACTGTTCATGGACTCTTGGAAGTGCTTGCACAAAGGATAGTAACATCTCATCCTGTGTTCTTTGGAATAGAATACTATATTCTATGGTTCTTTCGGTAAAGTAACGTAGATCGAAAAAATAATAAATAAAGTGATTAAAAATATCACGACGTTTCCATCGCAACACAAGCGGTCGTCATCAGGAACAGGGAGGTTAGCCCTGAAGGCAAGCTGTTAAAAAGGCTAATGGTAATGTAGGAGAAAGCTCCGACACCGGCAGTAGGTCTACACCAATCATAGAGCTGTTTATAAAGGTTTAGAGATGGGCGGGGCAGCTAATGTTAATGTAAGAGAAGACTCCGACACCGTCAGTAGGTTTACACCAATCAAAGCATTGCACCTCGCTCCACACACCCACACTGCTGACGGTGGAGGATGACAAGAAAACACAAATCAAGTCATGAACCAAAGTGGTTGATGACATCTTTACAATGATTGCTGAGGATATAACCATCTTCTTGATTGAAATTGTGTCTGTGTCTGTAAATATGGATGGCTTCATGAACGAATCTTTGGTGCCGTCCATAAATGACGTCACGCGATTTTGGCCGATTTTTTACCCCTCCCCCCCTCGTCACACGGCGTCACAAAAAGTCAGACCCCCCTAAAAAATGATGTCACAAAGCTCTGCCCCCCCCAACCATATTTCCATTTTGAAAATAAAACTTGCTTCTAATCACTTAACTATTGTCATTATAGTGCGTAGTTAATGTGGCGCTGCACTCTGATGTAGGAGAAAACATGTATTAAAAAGGAGGCGTTGGAAAGCTGAAATTTAGCATAAAATTCACTTGAAAATATTCAACGTCTAACTAAAACTGCAAATGTTCAGAATATTATATTGAAATTATCTTTTAATAATAAAATATTAAAAGTAGTTATAACTATAAAAAATACTTTTAACTTTGTAGTAGAACGAAGCAAAATGGAGAGTACAATTATAACAATCACATTCATTTCACAATGAAAAGCCCTGGTAGAATCATTAGAATAAAAATGTTTAATAACAACTATTCAAAAAATTTCCTAAATGTATGCTTCTCCATTCTCCCATGGAGAAGCAAAATGCTCCTTCATGGAATAAATAAAATGTGACCTTAGTAAATTTAAATAACCAAATAGTTAATAATGAAAATTAATTAAAATGTGTTATAACAATTCTATTTAATTAATATTTATTTAAAGTTGCGCATTTTTATGTGACGTCACATTTATCAAACCCTCCCCCCCGTCACACATCGTCACAAATGTCTGACCACCCCTCCCCCCTCTAGGTGCGTGACGTCATTTATGGACGGCCCCTTTGTTGATAGCCAATAGGCTTGCAAAGTACCATCGTCTTAGAGAAATCAATTTCGTGTGAGCCAGCTCCATTAAGATAATGATCAGCCACGGCAGAAGTATTGGTATAGAATACTGCTAAGCCAAATGACTTTGTTACTTAAATGACTGAAGATGATAAATGATGACAGTTATGATGATAATTAATATGAGAATATAGTGACCACTATGACACTGCTGCTGCAGCTGATGATGATCCACTAACCACAAAACCACCTTCGGCCACCAAAACTTGCCTCCAACGCACTGGTTTACACTATGTAGTAGCGCTAAGCACAGCAGGTGTCACTGAACCGTTTGCTGTGGCCAATACAGAAGAACTTCAGTAATCCACATTAGGGATGAACGATTTGGGGAAAATATCTAATTGCAATTTTTCTGACAGATATTGCGATTGAGATTTGATTTGCGATAAAAAATTTTAAGTCTAGCTTCAGTTCAATATTGACTGTGTAATAGATTTAAAACATGTGATGGAGCATTACCACATGATATCATCAAAATATGAACTGCTCTACATAGAACAATTGTTAAGTAAAAAAGTTAAAATAATAAAATAATAAAACAATTCCAATAAGAAAGTAATAGGAATTTTCTGTAATCAATAGAACATTATTTACTGATATCCAGCATATAGCTTATAAATTGACAAACCACAGACAAACCATTGACACGACAGTTAAACCCTGGGCCAGACGCGCAAAAAATCGCAGCCTTTGCGATTTGCTAATCGCATTTTTCAAATTTCGATTTGAAATCGATTAATCGTTCAGCCCTAATCCACATTTATATGGAGTACATATCACGGATCGTGAAAATCCGCCTTCACTGCGGAGGTTTGACCCAGAAATCCGCAAAATAAAATGTGCGCGATGTGGCGTAGATTCCAAGAGGTCTTTGCCCGCTTCTGGTAGAGATCCAGAAATCCGGAATTTCGTTGTAGACTTCTGAATCACCACTACCACGGATTTCGGGAGCAGTGCTCTAACCTAGTTTTGCGATATGTGATATTTAGCAAATTGCACAGATTGGAAATAGATTTTTTGTTATTTGGATTGTTCATTGCCCTGCTTCTACGTAATAGCCAAATGTAAGCCATTTTTAACAGGAGGCACAATTATTAGGCCATAGACTTTTTTTTAGGAAGCAGGGTGTCCAGGTCATTCAGAAATGATATGGAAATATATGCAATACATATTTGACAACAGCATGTAATGCTTTCAAGGAAACGCTGATGGCTTCATATACTTTATGTCAATGAAATTAAGACCCCAGTTTTATTACATTGTCAAGGATCCAACTTTCCCAACATTGTTTGAGTCCAATACGAATTCAACCAGGAACAATGCTTGTTATGAACCACTAGATGGCACACTAAGCGATGTTTTTTTCATTACCTCGTACTACGTGTATTCATATTCTTTGGTTATTTCGGTAAAGTCACGTATATAGAAAATGTATTTTAAAAATTAAGTGAATACAAAAACACTAATGTAGACTGTAGCCTGGTTCTTAATCGGAGTGAGTGTACTGGCAATCTTTAATGTAGACAGTAGCCTGGTTATTAAGTTTGGTGAGTGTACTGGTAGTCTATAATGTAGACTGTAGCAATGGTTATAAAGCTGGGTGAGTGTACTGGCAGTCTATAATGTAGACTGTAGCCTGGTTTTAAGCTGGTGAGCGTATTGGTAGTCGAAAATGTAGACTGTAGCAATGATTATTAAACTGAGTGAGCGTACTGACAGTCTATAATGTAGACTGTAGCCTGGTTCTTAACCTGAGTGGGCGTCCTGGCAGTTTATAATGCAGACTTATTGGTTCTTTCAGTAATTAAAATAAAATAATAATAAAAACCACGATGTTTCTATCACAACACAAGTGGTCGTCATCAGTAAAAGGGGACTAACCTACTTTCACACCTTACGTGCTATTCGGAGGTGCTGCAAAGAGGTACACATTGCATTTGTTAATTAATGTTTTATACTATATTATAAAATGACTATAATAACTAACATTATTTTGCGAGTGTAGTTGATTTAGTTTATAAAATTACTGTTTTTGAGGAATTTAAAGGAAGCTACTTTAGCGTTAATGACTGTTGAATTACAATGCAGTAGTACATCTTACTACATGATTGATTAATGACAACGATGTTTTAACTCGAATGAACGTTTATAACGAAGACTAAAAAAGGGACTCATCAGAAGTAATACTCTTTATAGATAATTGATACTAGCAACAATCGATAATACATTTCTAATAGTGCTTATAAATGGAGGCACATTATCTGCTTACACGTGTTACAGTGTACTTTCTATTCACATGCTGAATTAATTAGATTTATTTACAGCTAACCCGTTTTATGTTAATGCATATATAACTGCATTTTTTTAAATTAAAAAATGAAACCAGCAACACTGACTAGTTTTAATCTTAACATTTTTAGTCGGGTACTGGGAAATTTCAAAGTGTTAAAAATGCTTAAACTCTTTTAGAAAGCACATTTACTAACACTGTAGATGGATACTGATTTTAAAATGTTTACTGCTACTCATTCCAAATAAATAAAAAGCACGCAAATCTGTTGTACGTCTATGCTCCCATGTCAATGCTCCACGGCTGGAAATTCAAGTTTTCCTGAATTAGACAATGCAAAAAGCTAATGGTAGCCTGGAATATAAGGTAAACATATTTAACGATAACCCTCCACCACCCGACAGAACCAATAAAATCAAGTTTTCACGTGGGCAAATTTGCTAATTGATCTGGTTTCTCACCAAACCAGAGGAATGTTGAAAAAGTCACGAAAAAGTAAAAAAAAACTAAGAGTATGAATCCTTGCAGTCACGAAAGCTTCAAATCTAGAAGGAATGTTGAAAAGCCAAAGTAAAATGTCAATTGTTTTACATAAAATTTTTGCTTGCTTTCCACATTCCTCCGGTTTTGCTGAAAAATACAAATCAATTAACATAGTTTCCCATGTGACAACTTGATTTGATTTTAATTGGCCCTGTCAGGTGGTGGAGGGTTAGAGTTAAACATTTGACTTTATACTTGAACGATCGAGCCCGAAAGGAACGAGAGTATTTACCAATCAATTGGTCATGAAATCCAACGTATAAAAGTGCTCATGAGAAGGTGTGCACACGGCAATACTTATGTATAAAATGTTAACATAAGTTTTTTCTATTCAAGTTTTCTAATGCATTGTTTATCTTGTCAATTTGCCAAAAGCCATAGGGTTTATTCGTATTTTTAGTAAACAAAGCACAAACGTATTGATAACCAATGAACGATTATTAAACTAGATTAAACTTGTTTTCATATTACTGTCATTACCACGGAAGTATAATTTATTGTCAATTTGTGACATTCAAAAAATAATTGGCGAACTACAATGCACTCATTTGTTGCTTCAATCAAACACTGATGATGTGCATTTAGATATAAGATCACATGGCATAAAACAGATTTATAGTTGCAACAAATTACCAGCTTTATAACAGTGCAGAATTCTTAAATCACATGAACCTCTATACATTTCTTGGTTGCTTGTACGTTACGCTATTAATAGTCATCATCGACATTAATTTGTTCCACTATTCACAGTTTATATTGACACAGATAATAATGATGAAAACACCCATCATCCTTACCTGAAAATAACAGCGACAGAATAAAAAAAATTTGCCATTTAAACCTCATTCTTGATCTTGCAAGCATCTTCTCGACTGATTATGATAAACAATGAAGTAGACCCCACTCCTTCCCTCCAGTGATGCTGCTTGTTTCAGCAGTGGGTTAAAACCAATGTCTGTTAAGGCTCACAGGTGCTCTTTAAACAGCAGAAGCAAAACCAGCCGTGACTTACTCGCTTCATACGTCAGCTCCTTAAATTACTTTTGAGAACTGGTTTGGAATTACCTTTGTGAATCACTGTGGGTGTATGCAGTTTGGCTTTGACCCGCCTTTTTGTTCATGGTGTCAAAGGAACGTTGAATGATTTTGCGATACGGGATCTACAGAAGACATATTTCAAATGCCAAAATAATTCATTCCCAAGTTGTAAAAATATGATTTTGTTTGCAGTTGTCATTTGTTTAACTTTTACTATTGAGTTTAGCATGTGCGATTAAATCACGGTCATAAAAAAAAATCTACACATGTTAATAACACTGCCCTAAAAAAAAAATAGGTGACGTTTTGGGCAATGGGCCTTCTTCATAGCACACACGCTATTATATATTTATTTTAAAGACATTGTTCTTGACTGTGTCGAGAGAACTTGTTCATTGTGATTGTGCATTGCCAATTCTGCTTCACTAAACATGTTTAACAGTCATATTTCGCAGTCATGTATCGCCTTTAGGACAGTTTGGCCCAGAGTAAAGCAGTCAACAGTCAATAATTAATTCGAACGTGGATATCACGCTGGCAAACATACTGCGTATATTCATCATCAGCAGCCAAGAACAATATACTACTAGATGAAGGTCCCTATCTCACCCATCAGATGTCCAGAGGAGTTTCAATAAGTAAAGACAGGTTTAATACCAACCTGTTTAAGTGTAATTTCTGCAAAAATATATATTGGTAGTGAATCGGGCATGGTAACTCTGATTAGCATGGTTGGCTCCGTATGGTGCGAAATAAGTTCATCATACATATATATTGCCCTGATGCTCATGTGCAGTAGTTTCAACATTTAGCCACTAGATAGCAGACGTTTGGCATAAGAGCATCATATATGGCAACACCATTGTCCATCTGCATATCAAAGAGCAGCGTGATGCAATTAATTTCGTGTCATGTTGATCACATTTACTTCTAGGTTTTGTTTCTTGGCAAAAGGGTTACAGATTGTATTCATTTGTAAAGGATGCCGAGAGCTTACACAACCGGGCACATGTGGCGCGGGGAACCTTCTTCATAATAAAGGTTTTTTTTGGGTTAGATCGCGTAATTTATAAATGTGTCGTAACCGTCCACCACCCGACACGGCCAAACAGTAAAAAATGTGTCACGTTTACAAAGGACAAATAGTTCACTACTTTAGCCCACCGGTGTGTTGAAGAGTGAATCAACATCATTTAAAATTTGAGTACGACGTTTCGCTGGTAATTACATCCAGCTTCATCGGGCAATTTTCCAGAATGGTGAGACTCTCCTCTTGCTCCCGGTCTTAAATAGAGCAGCAGCAGCAGGGTGACGTCATCATTTGATTCATGCAGGAGCAGTGATTTGAGGCGTAGAGGGGGAGCGTATTGTAATTATATAATAGACCAGCTGTACTATCCGGCTTCGCCCGGGACTTGGATTCACCACACCTGGCCGCCTTTGTCTCCCCAGTGGCGATGTTCACCCCACAACAGTTACTCGTTTGAGGCTGAGTCGACCTAGGACAGAGGTCGCAAACGGGTTTTGAATACTTACCCGTACCCGGCCGCACCAGGGTCGTAAACGGGTACCTGTACCCTACCCGTACCCTACCCGATACCCGGCCGGGTACGGGTAGCCGGGTATCGGGTAGGGTACAGGTATCGGGTACCCGATTGCGACCTCTGGGATGAAGCCATGTTGTAGGCGCGGGTGGGTTGATTCTAGGAACTTGAATTGTGGGAAGAGACAAGATGTTGGGAAATGAGTGACAAACGGTTACTCACCAGTGACTCACGGCTTACCCGTACCCGTACCTGGCCGCACCAGGGTCGCAAACGGCTACCTGTACCCGTACCCGGCCGGGTACGGGTATCGGGTAGGGTACGGGTATCGGGTACCCGATTGCGACCTCTGACTCTCGATGATTCCAATTTTACACGCTTGTTGTTGTCGTCGTCATTGTTGTCATTGTTGTCGTTGTATCCTCAAATCTTGTAACTCAATTTTAACCCACTTCCCAATGCGGTATCGACTGCAAACTTGGTATACCTTTGTCATACTGATGACAATACTATATTCTATCATAAAATATAAAACATTTCAAACATTCTTTTTTATATGTTATGTTTTGGCTTGGGTCTAATTGTCCACGGTCAACTGACGTTGGCTGTAATTGGCCACGGTCCCTTACGTTATGGCAAGCCTCGGGGCCACTTCCTGGAGTCGTAGAGTTCTGCCATTACTAGTACATTTAATAAAAGCGTGTTTAAATTAAAAAAAAATATTACTTATTAAATGGAGGCCACGGACTGCGCCACGGAGCTTCTAGCGGTAAACAAGGTACCGTATTTACCGGGTAATACTTCGCACTACCTTTACCCTACCGGGTAATTCTTCCGAGCTACCTTTACCCTCCCCTTTACCTTACCCCTAGGCATGTCGACACCTTTACCTTTACCCTTTTACCCGGTAAAAAGGGTAAATGACCTTACCTTGCGAGACCTATTCGTAGCGCAGCGTGCTAACCGCTACACTACAATACGTTACGTTTCTACATGTGCGGATCACGTGACAGATTTGACGTCACAGCTCACTTGCCGTGCAAAAAATATATGCATTATTGAGCTCCCCCTCCAAAAAAGTGTATTTTTATAATTTTTGCATGGTGTACAGTCTGTAAAGTACCCACATGGCAAATTTGCAGTTTGTTGCATGTCGGGAAGTACGCTAAACATTTTGAACAGACACACATATTCACAACTTTGGCTTTTATATATATGCAGATTGGTAATCATTCAATTGTTATTCATTTGTATTTGTTTCCCTTATAAGGAATTGTAATTGTATTCTATATTGTATTGAATAATACTCTTCCAGGCCGCACTAAGCCTCTAGCTGTCAGAGCGATTAAAGTTATTTATATTTCTCTCAATTTCAATGGATTCTCTAATTAGTCTTGGCCAATAATAATTTGTTTTACACAACACATCAACGTTATCAAAATCAATTGAGTGTCCTTGTTGACAAGCATGCTCTGCCACTGCCGACAGTTGTGTTTGAGATAATTTAATATTTATTTGGTGTTCTTTTGTCTTACGCTGATGTAACGTCCCGTCTGTCCAATATAGCATCTGCCACAAAAGCAATTAATCCGATATACACCTTCTGTTAATAATTTAGGCAATTCGTCTTTAGTGCCAGATACCAGTTTTTGAATGGGAAATGCGTAGGAGGTGGGCGGGGGGGTTTCAAAGTCATATTATGCCCATGCATTATGCAGGATCAGCAGTACCAAGGGAGGGTGCAGGGAGTAGCATTAACAAAGGAAAGGAATGTTAATAGTATGTAGCTGCAGTTACTAAACAACCACGTAGAAAACTAAAGTATAAACTACATAAAAACCTAAAGTATAAACTGCATAGCACCATCAGTATACTTACTATACAATAAGCTGAGTTACTAACAGCAAGTAATACATTACAATTCTACGTCGTAAAAATTATATAATATGCTTCCATCTAAACTTTATTATCTTACATCACACGAGCATACACCGTATTATATACTGTCATAGATAAACCCAACATTAAATTATATACTGTATTGCTATAAACCACCTATATAACACTATGTATTATTCTACCCACCCTAATGTGTATCACACTGCTATATGTTTACTGTACAATTACGATACTATGTATTACTTGTACATTGTATTAAGCATATAAATGTTATACTATTTGTTATTATACACTGTACCATTGACCGTCGTGTCAATGGGTGAGTCGTGGGGGGAAAACTTGCAGCGGAGCAAAGAATCCATTCCCTGCGGAGAATACAATGCCGGTGAGTGGAACGCGGTCTGAAAGTCACCGTAAACGTGAACACAATCAGTTAAGATCCGAAATGGTTTATTACGTCCTTCCAATGATTGCTAAGCCAGAATCCATCTTCTCGGTTAAAATTGTCTCTGTGTTTGTATATGTGGATCGCCTCATGAACGAATCTCTCATGATAGCCAGATGGCTTGCAGAGAACCTCTGTCTTGGAGAAGTTAATGTCATGTGAGCCCACTGAGTTGTAACAGTGATCTGCCACGACTGAGGTGTTTGTCCTTCCGTGTTTCAGGTCTGCTTTATGTTCACGGATGCGATCCGAGACATGTCGTTTGGTTTCCCCAAAGTAACTACTACCACAGAAGGAAACTTAGTTTGTAGATGCCAGGGTACTGTATGTATGGAACCACATCTTTTACAGACGGGACCAGATCACGGATTTTATGTACTGTGTTGAATCAGACCTGGATCTTGAGTTTAATCAGGATTTTGGAGATCTTTTTTGTGACCCCAGCAATGTAGGGTAAGGTGATGGTCTTGAAAGGCTCCTCAACAGGATCCTTCGTGATGGTTGGAGTGATGGCTTTGCGGATTGTGTAGTCGGAGTAACCATTAGCCTTAAGAGCTTGGCGTACGTGTTTGAGTTCACTGGCAATGTGTTTCTGGTCGGAGATGCATTGGGCTCTATGGTATATAGTCTTGATGAGGGAATTCTTCTGGGATGGATGGTGGTGGGAATCCGGTTTTAGGTAAGCATCCGTATGGGTGGCTTTCCTGTAGACAGAGTGGCTCATTGAACCATCAGGTCTCCTTTTAATTAGGACATCCAAAAAGGGTAGCTTGCCATCTTCTTCGACTTCCATGGTGAATCTGATGGCTGGGTGTATGGAATTGATGTGGTCGAGAAATTGGTCTAGAGCAGGCCGGCCATGTGGCCAGATGACAAAAGTGTCATCTACGTACCTCTTCCATAAGGTCGGGCGTAGAGTGGCAGTCTGGATGGTGTCAGTCTCAAATTTCTCCATGAAGATGTTGGCTACAACCGGAGATAGGGGGGAGCCCATTGGGGTGCCCTTAGTTTGCTTGTAGAAAGTTCCATTCCAGGTGAAGTATGTATTGGTTAAGCAGTGTCTCACCAGGGAGGGTACCCCAGCATTCAGTCCTTGATGAACCAAGTCTTCAATGATTGCGATGGTGTCAGGTACAGGAACCTTGGTGAATAAGGAAACCACATCAAAACTGACAAGCAGGTCGTCTGGGGACAGGGCAATCCCCTTGATTGTCGATACCAGGTCAGTAGAGTTTAGTACCGCAGAGGTGGTTTTTCCAGTGAAAGGCCGTAGGATTTTAGACAAAAAACGAGCCAATTTATCTTCATCCCATTGTCTCTACTATCAACTCCCCCACCTATAAATTGGCTCGTTTTTTGTCTGAAATACTACGGCCTTTCACTGGAAAAACCACCTCTGCGGTACTAAACTCTACTGACCTGGTATCGACAATCAAGGGGATTGCCCTGTCCCCAGACGACCTGCTTGTCAGTTTTGATGTGGTTTCCTTATTCACCAAAGTTCCTGTACCTGACACCATCACAATCATTGAAGACTTGGTTCATCAAGGACTGAATGCTGGGGTACCCTCCCTGGAGATACACTGCTTAACCAATACATACTTCACCTGGAATGGAACTTTCTACAAGCAAACTGAGGGCACCCCAATGGGCTCCCCCCTATCTCCGGTTGTAGCCAACATCTTCATGGAGAAATTTGAGACTGACGCCATCCAGACTGCCACTCTACGCCCGACCTTATGGAAGAGGTACGTAGACGACACTTTTGTCATCTGGCCACATGGCCGGCCTGCTCTA